TGCGCTGTACCGGGCTGTCTCTTTTGCTTCGCGAAGGCTTGACAGAAGAAGATGTTCCATATGAGAAAAGCTTTTGGGGTGCTTTGGAGGACCCAACACGTTACTTAGTGACCTTCATGGCTTTTGCACAAATGTTAGTTGCCTTTAACAACTTTCTTTAAATTTTAAAAAACAATGCATATGAAGAACATGCAAAAATTATGTTTGATGATTGTGATATGCTGCAGTGCCGCGATGGTGGCCCCAACAACCGTAGCGGTTCAGTACATTTCTCCGGCGTTAAAGGGGGCGGTCATCCTCTCCTTGGTGTGGTTCCTTCATCGGTGGAAAACCAATGTCATTACCCGAATGTTGTCTGCTAAGAGTTTTGTTGGTCCAGACAGGGAGAAGATTTTGACTTTGGACAAAGTATCATCAGTTGGTCTTTTTGCAATCGGTTTGATGGCTTCAGCAGAAGCATGTGGGGTAGCTGTTCAATCTATCTTGACCGTTGGTGGAGTTGGAGGTTTTTATTTTATTTCAATTCTGTGGATTTCTTACTGATTGTGTAATATTTATTTCATTACTCATCATTTTTCAATTTCTTTCATCAGGAGTGGCCACTGCTTTTGCTGCGAGAGATATCCTTGGTAATGTGCTGAGTGGTCTGTCCATGCAATTCTCAAAACCTTTCTCCATGGGAGATACGATCAAAGTTAGTGGAATGTGAAATCTTTTGTGTTACATGCTCTTTGCTCCCTTCTTTTGTTAAGTTTCCCATTGGCAAATTCCCATTCATATATTTCCTCAAGATAGATATAGTGTCTTACTTGTTCCCATATTTCAGGCTGGATCCGTAGAGGGTCAAGTTGTTGAGATGGGACTTACAACAACATCGTTGTTGAACGCTGAAAAATTTCCGGTTTTGGTACCTAATTCATTGTTTTCCAGTCAGGTCAGTTTATTTATTTCGCATCACTTATCTTCATGTTTCAACCATTTGATTATCTCATTTGTTACCTATACATTTTCATGGACAAAAATCAGATTGACCATAATGTATGATAACATATACAGGTGATTGTGAATAAGTCACGCGCTCAATGGCGAGCTATGGCATCCAAGATCCCACTGCAGATCGATGATTTGGATAAGATTCCTCAGATATCAGATGAAATCAAAGAAACGTTGAGGTCAAACACAAGAGTTTTCCTAGGGAAAGAAGCTCCCTATTGTTACTTATCCCGAGTGGAAAAATCTTTTGCTGAACTCACCATTGGATGCAATCTCAAACACATGGTATTATCTCTTTCTCTCTTTAGCCTTTGTAACATTTTTCTTGTTTTTGGAATGGTTACTACTACTAGTGAGCTATGCAATAAAATCTGGACAAGGTTAGTAACTTTATACTGGTCATTTGTCTCAGGGGAAAAATGAGCTTTACGCAACACAACAGGAGGTTCTTCTTGAGTCGGTTAAGATCATAAAGAAGCATGGTGCGTCGTTGGGTACCTCCTGTGACAATCCTACATCTTGAGTGATCATTTGGTAGAGATGAAGAATGCTATGTCGCCAGATGAATTTGAAAACATGTGTTCTTCGGTAATTACAAAAAAAATTGAGTTGCCTTTTGCCTTTTATTTGGGAGGGTTCAAGTGAAGAAAAAAAGAATCATATTGACTTTAAGGTTCCAAATATATTTTGTACAGCAAAAAACCCAAATCAACATGTTTCAAGCTATAATTAGTCTGGATCTTTTGTATGTGAGCCGGTTCGTTTGATGAGTTTTGCAGTGCATGATCAAAATTCATTTTTAACGCCCCCATCATTCTAAGCACACGTATAAGAATTTTGGAATCCTTGTTACATAGTTTCAAGATGAGGGTCGGTTATAATAAACTAGTTATATTCCCGAAAGATGCGATATACTGTATAATTCTTGCCAATCTCGAATCTATCTACATATAAATGGTGGGGCCAAAACAGAGGCATGGGAATAACATTTGCTTGGCTCTTGTGCAGTGATTTCTATATATTCAGCTTTATACTTGCTGCTTCAACACATCTCGTAGTCTCCATTTAAAAAAGAATCACTTTCATATCATTTACAAGCTTGTTACAATGTCACGACCAATACCAATCGAACGTACGAAATAACTAATAACTTCAGAGTCTCTTTATCATCAGTTTCAAATTTTATCCCTTTTTAACTTGTTTTTTTTTTGCTGTTCACAGAAATGGTGAGTTCGTTCAAATCATATAACAGAACAACTCACTTGTTCAAGATAGACAACTTCTCTTTATTCAAGAAGCATAAGATCGAAATGGTCGAATCCTCTGTTTTCGATCTCGGGGGTCACAAATGGTAAGCTTTTTTTTCTTTCTTTCAAATCTTCTAATGCTTTTTAACATACACAATAAAACTAAACCACTTATATTTAAGCTCAACTATTTTTTTCCATGTTTCTTGACTTGGTTTGAAGCAGGAAACTCGTTGTGTACCCAAATGGGAATAAGAATGGAAATGGTCATGTCTCCATCTTCTTAGAGAATCAAGCTTCAATAGATGTTAAGATCGACTTTGAGGTCTTTGTCATCTGTCAGAGAAGGCCATTTTGGCACACTAGTGGTCTTTCTCTATCAATCTTTCTCTATACAGACATATAGAGATATATAGCTGTGTGTATATCTGTTGTGGATGTTGCTGCTTTTACTTGTGCAGGAAAAAGGAGCTTTGGTACATCATCAATACCGCAAAGAGTTGGGACTCTGAGTTCGATATCTCTTGCTGATCTTGAGAAAAAAGGATACATTATTGGAGATTGTTGTATGTTTGGTGCCAAGCTTTATGGGTTTGAACCTGGTGAACCCGCAACAGCGGAATGTTTTAGCCTAATTGAGAAGCCTCTCAATCACAAAGTCACTTGGATGATGACCAAGTTCTCGTCTTTCGACCCTGAAAAGTTCCATCAGTCCAATGAATTTGTTGTTGGAAACCGGAAATGGTGATCAATTCTTACTATTTTTTGTTTTCCCAATTCAAAAACACTTTTTACAAAACTTACAATGAAACTGCATCATTACTTATTGACACTGTGTTTGATCAGGAGGATTGAAGTTCATCCAAGAGGGTTTAAGTGGGGAAAAGGCAAATCATTTTCTGTGTATATATTGGGACGAGGGTTCATCAACAATGCGCCAAAGACAAAAACTTTTGCCAAATTTAAGCTTCGTGTATTGGATCAAGTGAACCGGGATCATGTTGAGAGAAAAGGTATATCTCTTTTTCTTTTTCTTTTGAGAAAATATGTATTTTGCAAGTTCCCAATTTTCTTAAAAGTTTTGTGATGGTTATTTAACTTTGTTTTTGTTTTGTAGGTTGGGGCTGGCTTGACACAGAACTGGGATTTGCGGATTTCATGCCCCTAGAGAAAATGGTTGAGCCATATTTGGTCAAGGATAAACTGTATGTGGGAGTTGAGTTTGAAGTCATTTCTGTGACTAACTGTTGTTAGCTTAGCTTCTTAGCTTTTCTACGTCTCATGTGAATTAAAATACATGCAAGAAGTTTATATCATGTGTGAATAGAAATGGTGGAAAACAGTAAGTTGATGATCTCGACAAGAATGCTTTATTATTTCATAAGAGGGGCAGAGGGCATCACCAAACTTACTTATAAATCAATATTTCAAAATAAACTCACTAAACAATACATTACTCCATAGTTTTCCTTTATTCCCTTTGTTTTTAAACCTTTTTCTATTATCCCTTTCTTTATTGATTTCCATACGAAATTCACACACCAATCAAACATATTGACCAACAATAGGGATAATGATGGTCATACGGTACAAAGGAGCTAAAGTAGTGGAGAGGTTTACACTTGACAATAAGTTAATGGATTTTCAAGAAGATATCAAATTCAATTCAACGAAGGACTGTAGATGACAATGGGGCTTCGGACAGAGTGACGTTGGCTCTTCCACACGAGCAAGCCCGACACAATCTTCCCAGGCTTCATTAGCTTGGCCTTGACCACGACTTTGAAGCTCCTCTTCTGTGAGGCCTTTGAGAACGACAAACTCATTGGCTCCACCGTGATTTCAACACCCTTGGGTGCCCTAACGGTGGCGTTGTAGACCGACGATGGTGCTCCCACGTTGGTGACTCTCCGCCTGAACACAGCCATGGTCGACGTTTTGGCAGATCTCAACGTCAGCTGAATGGTTGGGTAGTTTAGAGAATCATGGCCGAGTCCAGGGACAATGGAGGAGCAGTTCACGGACCGAGACCCCACCAATGGAGCCAGAGTGGTTGCGTTGTAGCCTTCGCCGCATAGGAACTGGACATAGGAGATGTCGTCCATGTCGTAGACTAAGCCAGGGCTAGCAGCTCGTCTTGGGTTCACTTGGCCTCCTCCATAGGCGAACTCTGCGTCCTTGTTCACTCTTGCGCTTATCGGTTTTGCTGCCAAACAAGACATATATATATATATGAATGTTTTAAGGACTTTCTGTTTTTGAGAGCGAAAGCAGAGAAATACATGAAGAGAAGCGGGGATAAACCAAACCTGAGGTAATGATGGCGGACTTGATTGCAGCGGGAGTCCAATCGGGATGGAAAGACTTGACATAAGCGGCTACACCAGCAGCATGAGGGCAGGCCATTGAGGTACCAGAGAGGATGGTGAACTTTGAGAATTGGGTGTCACCGTCTAAACCAGTCAGTGATCTCTTGAGAGTGAAGGCGGCCAATATATCAATCCCGGGTGCAGCAATATCAGGCTACAATCCACAGAAAAAAATAAGAAAAGATGCGCATTTCTCCTCATATATAAATCAAAATGACAGTGATGAGACATACCTTGAGAAGGCGTGTTGATCCTGGATTGGGACCTCTTGATGAAAAAGAAGCAACAAATGGAGCAGGGATTGTAACTTGCCTGGTTTGCTGAATCACAGCCGATGGTGATCTGCAACAAAACACATACATATTTCTAGAGGGTTGTTTCTTGGTATGGCAAGCTATAAAGAAAAGAAAAGACATTACTATCCAAGAAGAAACCTTGTAGAGTTGATATAGCGGTAAATGGTCTCGCCAATGGAGGAATTAACAGAGGTGGCTGGAGCCATGAAAATCTGAGCGTTATCAAGATATTGATCAGAGACGAGGATGGCACCAGCACCTCCATATCTTTTAATAGTCGACTCCACACCACCTCCTCCCATTCGACACACCATTACCTTCCCCTTCACTTTCTTTCCGTCCAAAGAATCAGAGAAGCAGTACCTTTTTTTATTTGTTTTGCATCATCATCATCATCATCATCAAAGTCAACAAACAAAACATACATATATCATAGGAGGAGGATCATGGTCATGTATGTACCTGGCCAAGTACTTGTCGTCTGTGGTCTTAGCAGCATCAACCCCACTTACAAGCGGGTAACTTTTGGCTTTTGGCTTAAACATGCTTATTCCCATCCCCTAATCATCCATTTTCAGGCTCAACTTTTGATTTCAATTTTCTTTCTATGATTAGGAAATTAATAAGAGGAGACAAAAAAGATGCTTACAGAAAAGGATTTCCCGTTGCCGAGATCTATCTCGCTCTTGAACGTCCGATCGATGCCGCTTGCCGCCACCGTCAATATCCACGGCTCGTGGTTCGTTACTGTCCCCGATAACGGTCCGTCGTTCCCTGCCGACGCCACCGTTAGGATCCCTTTCCTCACCGCGTGAAACGACCCAACGGATATCGAATCCGAAGAATAATCCGCGATTGGACCGCCGATTGATATGGATATAATGTCTACCCCGTCGTGGATCGCCGCTTCGAATCCGGCGAGGATGTCCATGTCGGCGCACCCGGATCTCGCCCAGCACACCTTGTACATCGCCACCCTCGCCGACGGAACCGCGCCGCGTGCGGTACCGCTTGCTATGCCATAGAGGCTCGCGTTTGCCACTAGAACACCGGCTACGGTTGATGACGTGTGCGTCCCATGGCCGTCGATATCAATTGGTGATCGGATTTCGCCGTTAGGCACGTTGCCGTCGTGCTTGAAATACTTTGCCCCGATTATTTTACTGTTCAAATTCACATAAAGGACCCTTATGTTTACGCATTATTTTCATTAACTCCCCTAAACTATTCAAATCGATCAGCCAACTCCTTTTTTTTTAATATCCTTTAGGCTTTAACAGTGGTTTAAGAAATCTTATTTGTTTGAATAGGATCAAGAATTTTAAAAGAATCTTGATCAAATATTTATTTTAAAAATGAGTGTATAAGTAGGAATTGATAGTATATACTTGTTGCATCCGGTGAAATTTTTATAAGGACCACACGAGCCTTTCCATTTTGCCGGGGGAGGGCCTAGACCATGGTCCTGGAAACTCTCTGAGTCTGGCGTTATTCCTGATTATCATCATAGTATACAATATACATACATATTAAGAAGCGCGCGTAAAGAAGGAATTAACATCAAGCTTAACTATTGCACAACAATTAAATATAGTTTGCATAATTATGTAACATATAAACCTGTATCAAGAACGCCAATAATAACATCTCTCTCTGCTTTTAGATGTCTTTTGGCTGTCAGAGGAAGTCCAACGAAATCCCATGATTTTGTGGTGTGAAGTTGGCGATACCGATTTCTGAATACACCAAGAACCTCTTCCATCTCTGCATGTATCAGTTTTTAAGTTGTTACCTGATTTATGGCTCTCACTCTAGTCTGTCTAGTGCATGGAAGTTATTTTGTGATATCGAAGAACAAATGATAGATTTAATAATGACATGTACGTAGAAGAAAGATTACTATATATGATATGATGATGGTTAATTAGGAAGTACTACAATACATACCCATCATCTTCTTAGCTTCCTCTGGAGAAAGCTTGGCAGCAAAAGCGTTGAAGGCTTTAGTGTAACTATACACCTTTCTTTCTTGTGCTTCTTCTTGGCTGTTTCTCAAGAATTATAATAACTTAATTTTCAATCAATGAAATTGATCAACTAGGACAATAAACATAAATTTGATTATGAAGGAACCAAGTTGATTAATACATATACTCGATGTAATGTTGATCGCTTTGATCTATCTCAGGTTATGTTTATTTGATATGCATGCCATACCTTATATTTAAAGACGAGAGAAGATTTATGTGTGTCTTGATAGCTTCGTCTCCATCATCCGGTTGATCTCCCAAATAAATGATATAGAAATCCTTTAGAAGAGTTTCACAAGAGTACATTAGTGATTCTCCTTTGCAGCATAACGTTTGTTCAGTTCTATGACAACAAAGCTATAAATGAGGGAAATATGCATGTATATTTATGTCTTTTATTTACATGTTCGTCTGCGGCTGAAGCATATCCTGGTGATATCCAAAGAACATCAAGAAGAAGAATCACTAGAACAAGAAGATGATGACGAGGACATGAACATTTAGACCTTTCCATATGTGTAATATTGTGTATAATAAGTTTGGCTATTGTGTGATGAGAAGATGACAATCTCTCCTCTATTAATAGAGAGAATAAGAATAACTCGTGGTGGATGAAACGCAGATAATTGTCTGATTTAATTTAATCCGAGTAAGACCACACATGTGAAATTGTATAAGTGATATAGTTTTCTTTAATTAATTTTGTTAGAGATATTAGTTCGTATGGTATCTTGGAAGGAAAAGAGTGGCCACTTGCGATATCTAATTGTTTCTACTTTTGTGATATATTATATATACGCATGTATGTATACTTAATATGCATATAGTAGTAAGAAGAAGAAGAAATTTTGTTTACTTGAATTCGAATTCAAGAAATCAAAAATTTAACTAGAAAAACTCTCTCTAGTTATAGCTTTAAAGTTTTCCAATGTTGATAAATTGTCTTGTAAGGCTCTATTCCAATGTTTCTCTTACAAATTATGACATTTTAACTCGTATGTATGTCATCATCAATTATATATTGCTTAGCTCAACCCTTTAGTGATTCACTTAATTCCTATAAAATGACGTTTTTGTTATCAACTATATACTTATGTCATGATCAAAATTGCGCTAGGCGCTAATCAGACGCTCGGTTGGACTTAGCGCATAGAAAAGAAAATCAAAAATTAATCAGAGATTAATTAGAGATTAGTTTTTAACTATTTTTAAATATATTTATATAAATTTATATATATTTATATATACATATATAATAATATATATTTCAAATATATAATGATACAATTTGATTAGATGTTGCGAGTTTGATGTTTTTGTTATTTTTTTGGTTTTTTACTTCATAACGTGTTGCTTTACTGGATTAATTACTGGGTTTTGCTCATAAAACGTTATAACTGGGCTGGACTTTTAACATTTCTTTCTCATACAATCTATGTTACCAAAATAAAATGTTACATTTGTAAGATCCCACATCGGCTGGCCACAAGAAGGAAGGTAACTAAAGTATCTATAAATAGTCACACTTGCTCGCAAACGTCATCAGCAAATGGGCTGCTCAAAAGTGGTATCTCTTGATTAATAGTATATAATTAATAATAGAAATCTGTTATAATCGGTATAAGTTCGATTACTCGGTTTAGGTGGCCGGTATATTGATAACTGATTAGTTAGACCGACTTGGTCCAACTCGCGGCACCGCCGATCGCCTAGGTGCCCGCGTTTTTTGAGCACTTTCAAACTGGGCCTAGATAATAATAGCCTCTCTAATTGGACCCTTGGATATAGATATAGAATCTCAAGCCCGTTTACGACCCATTATATTTTGTGGGGGAAAAATCAAAGGAGGAGACTTGACTAGTCGCATTTCAAACCCTCGCCGGAGCTTCTTCCGACTGAAGCCCAAATCACGAATCTGATGTTACTGGTTCGTGTCTCCCGCCATAACTCATCATCCATCTCATCTTCCTTCGCCCTCCTCCTCACGCGTCGCCTTCATGGCGCTTCTTCCGCCGAAACAGTCTCCCCTTCGTCACGACTCCGAGACCGATACAACTTTCAGCCACCACCGCCTTTATCTGAAAACCCTGAGAAGGAGAAGGGGAAGAAGAAACCGAAGCCGCAATACCGTCCACCATCGTCTCTGGAAGGTGTGAAGAAGGTGCACTCGGATCTTCCGTTCGATTTCCGATTCAGTTACACGGAGAGTAGTTCCAGTGTGAGGCCGATTGGATTGAGAGAACCCAAGTACTCACCGTTCGGTCCAGATCGGTTGGACCGAGAATGGACCGGAGTGTGTGCGCCGGCGGTGGACCCAAAGGTGGAGTCGGTGGATGGAATTGAGGATCCGAAGCTGGAGGAGAAAAGGAGGAAAATGAGGGAGAAGATACAGGGGCCATCGCTCACTGAAGCTGAAAGAAAGTTCTTGGTAGAGCTGTGTCAGAGGAACAAAACCAAAAGACAAATCAATCTCGGTAATGTTTTAATGCTTAAATGGACTCTCTTTCTTTCTAGTTTCCATGATTATCTTGTATATGTTAATAAGTGTGATTGCCTTTGTAGGGCGAGATGGTTTGACTCACAACATGCTCAATGATATCTATAATCACTGGAAACACTCTGAAGCTGTTCGGGTCAAATGTCTTGGAGTCCCGACTCTTGATATGAAGAACGTTATCTTCCACCTTGAGGTATCATCATCATCATCGTCTTTTCTTTTGTTTGAAACTAACTAGGGATAAATCTATCTACTATATAAGTCTTTAGCTAATTGGGGAATGACTCCTAGCACGGTTACTTTTGCGGCGCTGTTGCAGGATAAAACGTATGGACAAGTGGTTTCTAAACATTGTGGTACCCTTGTGTTATATAGAGGTCGCAACTACGATCCCAAGAAAAGGCCCAAGATCCCTTTGATGTTATGGAAACCCCATGAACCTGTGTATCCTAGGCTGATTAAAACAACTATCGATGGTCTAAGCATCGAAGAGACCAAAGCAATGAGAAAGAAAGGGCTTGCCGTTCCTGCCCTCACAAAACTCGGTCTATACCCTTTCCATGTTTTTTTCTTTAAATTCTAAAATGCTGATATCCTTAAAAAGTCTCTTTAATTTGCCTCAACTCTTTTCTTGTTTCAGCCAAGAATGGCTATTATGGTAGTCTTGTTCCAATGGTGAGAGACGCTTTCCTCGTAAGTGAATTGGTACGGATTGATTGCTTGGGGCTAGAGAAGAAGGATTACAAGAAAATTGGAGCAAAGCTTAGGGTGAGATGTTTCTTTCCCTTTTCTTTCGCTTTGCTGCTTCAGGGTTTCTTTTTGAAAACAAACACTAACATCATCTGAGTTTACATGTGTCCAAGGATCTGGTCCCTTGCATCCTGGTGACGTTTGACAAGGAGCAAGTCGTGATTTGGAGAGGTAAAGACTATAGGCCACTCGAGGACGACGATGGAGAATTTTCATCCTTGATTCCTCGCGAGTCTTCCATAGAGGATATACTTTGAGCAAGTGGATTCAAGTTATAGCAGAAGGCCACAAGAATCTCCAAACGAGACAACCAGGGGTTAATTACTCTTAGTGAGTCCCACTTGTATAGTTTTTGTATCGTGCGAGTATTTTGTGGTTACATTTCTGGAAAATTAACCAAGCCTCAAAAATACCAAAAAAAAAAAATTTATTATTTGTTAACAGAATTTGTTACTAGAAAATTGCTCTTCTTGTTTTGATAGTGGGTTAAACACTCGACGAAACTGTTTATTTGATTAGTTTTTAGTTTTTAAATATGTTTTTTAAAGACAGAAATGTTTTGGTGAGAAAGTAAAAGTCTTCGAACCCGGAGAGTTGCGTCAAAGCGTCCTGTGTCCGGAGTTTCTTTCCGTTGACGATGAATCCTTTTCTTCGATTCATCTTATAATTAACGCTTCACAGAGGAAAACGTGCGATAAATCCATCATAAATTATCTTCTTGTCGATGAAGACTAGAATCTTCTTGAGCAAGCTTAAATTTAACTTTTATTTATCCAACAATTAACTTTAGCGATTCTCTTCGTTTTTCTGATCTTGATTAGGTTTCATCTTTTATTAATCTATAACCCCAAAACATACTACATTTTCTATCTACATTTTTAAGACGCACGCTCTATTCCAGATCAGTACTATCTTATCTTATATTCTTATATACGAATCGTAAAACGTCGTTTCATCAACCCTAATTTGCAAGCATTGCTATTCTTTTAATAGGAGATTACTCTGCACACTGTTTTATCCTGGCCAAAACAACATGCATGTCTTTTTTTTTCCGAATTCTGACTAAGCATGATATCCGGACTGTATTTGTCATTTTTCTGTACGCTTCTTATCTGTATGAAGTCTTTACCAGAACAAAAAACTGTTGCCTATTCGAGAAAACTATATACCTAACCAAAAAAAAAACAAAAAAAAAAACAAAAAGATCCTCCAATCGATTGAAAATCACATTTCTTCTTATATTAACATTCTAGCCAACAATTTAAATACGAATTCGACCAAGCATAAATATATATATATATATATATAACAAGGAGAAACATATATATGGCTAACTATAGATCTCATTATTAAAGCTTCATTCTCGTTTTATCACTGTTGAGGAAGAACCACCACTAGTCCCCAGCGGTTGCTGATGAGCTGGCATTTGCCCACCGTGAAGAAACTCACGCGCCAGAGCTTGCAGCTCACCGCCTCCTCCGCCCATATTTGACGACAAGGGGACGTCGAAGTGATGATCCGACGGTCGAGGTTGTTGCTGCATGGCCCACGTGGTGGTCATCGGCTCCAAAATGGAGGAGAGGTCGTACACAGACGGTGATATTGTGGGGAGGTCCGATATGGAAAGAGGCGGCGGAGATCCTGAAGACGTCACCGGAGCTGGCGGTGGTTGTGGCATCTCTAGAGTTGCTAAGTGTGCTTGTACATATGAAAGCTCTGTTTGCAAACTCACCACCTGTTCTTTTTTTATGACGAATTATACTATATATCATCATATAAATAAAGATTTATATGCTTATTACTAAAAGTGACCATAATGCCAAGATAAATATTGGAGAGAGGTAAGAATCTAAAAATAAATATAGTTCCAGCAATAATCAATTATTGGAAGAGTTTCCGAATTCTCGAGCAATTGTTGATTCACGAATGCCAAAAACATACGACAGGAGTAATTGATCAATCAATACCACCAATTTAGAAATATATACGCGGAATCAAACAATCTTATATAATACCAGAAAAACACAATATTGTATAAACAAATGCTTGCTTGTACCATTGAAATTATCCTTTACAAACATCATATCATAGATTGCAATTGCATACGTACGTGTATATATTGGAGTATGTATACATATATGTATATTGCCATTGATATATATATATATATATATATAATAAACAAAAAGGATGCTTGGGAATTAGTGTAAAACAACGTGGTTGTTGCGAACAGAGGAAGATTTGGGGGTCATCTCAATCAATGGCTTGGATTAACTTAGAAAGCAACTTTGTAAACATTAAACAAAATTACTAATGCAAATGCTCAATGATATTTGATAATTTAAGCAGGAGGAAAAGAAAAGAGAGAGAGGCCTTCATCTGTTATGTAACGCATTGGATCATGTGAAACACACACGCTTACAATTATCCATATCCTTTCTTAATAAACTACGATTACTAAAATTGTATGCAGATATAAACAAAGTCCAACTTGGTCTATATATATCACAGATTTATAGACTCACAGGCACGTCATTTAATATAAAGACATAACTTTACCCAAAAGGCAAAAGGCTATGAACTCGATTGTGAAATTTAACTAGAACCAAGAAAATTTTATTTTATTTTTCAGAGTTGATTTGATTTTTATGCCGATCATCTCTAACATTTTATCAAAAATATTTTTATATAAAAAAAAAACATATGCAAGAATGAAAACACATCGGAATTAAAACACAAGACATTTTTCGTCTCTGGCGATGCTGATTGCAGATGAGAGAGTACTTTGCATGAGGCTTGGACAGAAACCACAAGCAGAAAATAGAGCAAAAATAAATAAAAAGGAAGACCAAATTTGTTCTTGGAAGAATAAGTTTCGTGTTAAAAATTAAAAACATTTTTTCTTAAAAATAGATTAAAATTAAAACATGCTAATACATTAGGAAAAAATGATAAAAGAATTGATCAACGTCACGACATAAAGACAGTAGATCGACTTAAGACTGTTGCGATTTCCCATCAGACTTGTAATAAAAAGTAAGTAATAAATTAATGTAATAATGGAAGAATTGAATATACCTGTTGCTGAAGAGAGACGATGTGAGAGATGCAGCCGTAAATAGGGTCTCGGAGACGAGCCTGAGCCTCGAAACAGATTGAAACGACGGCGTCTGGTCGTTTATGCTCAGGAACATGGTGGAGGAGTTTTGAGACGTTGCTCGCTCCGAACACCTTGTGAACCGCCGCGAAGTGCGCCGCTCCTTGCTCCGAGTCGAAATAGGGCGCGAATATGCAGCCGGCGACGCACTTCCGTCTCAGGAACTTGCACGCGCCGCACGGTCCTCCTCCACCTCCACCGCTGCTGCTATTAGGGTTTCCACTACTACTGCTCATCCTCTCTAATCACTCACCTATTTTTTATTTTATTTTTTTAATAAAGATAAGGTCCTCACTAGCTATTTCGTGATTAGGGTCTTGCGATATATGGAGTTAATTCATCGAGATTATGATGTTTTTGGTTCGTGATTACCAAAAAGAAGAACAAAAAGGAAACGTTTAGGGAGAGAAGAAAAGGGGAGGAGGAGGAGATCGGACGTAAACAAAACTAGGGTTTGGTTTGGTGCTAACTGCAAGTATTTTTATTCCCCCCATTAATACATTAATACTAGTACTACTATTTACAGTAGTAGATAAGAAAATTAATGTTCGAAAAACAAAATAAGAAAATTAATGTTGTCATAAAAAAATCTATTATTATTAGTTGTGTTTATTACAAAAAAAAAGACGGTCAATAGAAGAGAAAAATCCTTCAAAGCCACGCGATGGAGCGTACTTGTCTCGTGTTAAGCTCTTTGCGTGAAGCGAAACATTCCATATCTCTCAACTTCTTCATTGTTATTCCCTTCCTTTATTTTTAGGTAATGTATTCACGCTCAATTATTAATCTCATACAAATTAGCTAGAAATTGGTTTTACAAAGTAATAGTTTTATAGAAAATGAGCTTGAAAGTTGAAACTAAGGAAAAACAAAAGATACCAATCATGATCTCCAGGAAACTAATTATCTGATTGATTTTCTACACACGTAGATTTGATTATTTGCGATATTTTAATAAAATAGCTTAAAATAAATTTAATTTATGGATTTTTTTTGGCTATGATTTTGATACAACAACTTTATTTTATTTAAAACTAAAAATGTAACGGCTCGACGCAATGCATTAAGTATTAAGTTTTTGATGTTTCGTTAAAAGACTGTTTTATTAACATTTCGTAACGTGTCCAAAAAGTTTTAATGAATTTTTCCATCAGATTCTTAAAATAAAACAATTTTTTTTACATTATTAATTATTTTTTATCGTTTATAGTTATACATATTATGAAATTTGAGTTAAGATAACAGTATTCGCTAAAGAAAAGGACCCAAAAAAAACAGTACTAGCTAGTAACCAGTATGTTGCAAAGTTGAGCCATTCTCTAATTAAGTACATATACATTGGTTGCGTATGCGAAACAGATAGATACGATCCGGCCGGCAATGAAGATATGATCAACCTTTCTTTTGTTTTGGGGAGCAAATCTCAACCTTTTATTAGAAAAAAAAACAGTTAACGGGATAAAGTTGATGTACGCAATCTATATATTTTGGTTACTCAATATTCCCTTTTTTGGATGCACAATATTCGATTAGGAAGCAAAATGGGAAAATCCCATTACACTTAAGAATTCCATATGTTTGTAAAACTTCTAAATTTAGAAGATTGTGTAATATCATCACCAATCATTTCCGAATCAAATATAAATGACTTTTGAATAATATCAAATACACCACACGAATGTGTGCGTGTATTATCTCATCATGTCTGACGATTACGACGGTCTAATCGCCAATTGTAGCAAAACTGAGTCCAGCTATATTCTCTCCCACTTCCGCTAAGGCGATTGATTACAAATAAAAAGTTCGTATACCGATTAAAATATCAAAGTTTTGGTTGGTTCAGCAGAACCGGTTAGTCGACTTGCAATAACCGGGAAGACTGGCACGTATGTTTTTTTTTTTTTGAATATGATATTAAATTATACTCAAAGAAAAAAATAAACGTTTCCTACAACCGATTTATGCTTGTTTTTTCAGCCTTAGAAAACACAAAAGAAATTTACATCCTGATTAAGCTAAGTTGTTCTTGTTGCGAACCAAGCTTGAAGCCCATCCTCGTATTTCTTCTTCCCTTCACGTCGGACTGGCACGTATGTTCGTTCGCCACGTCTGTCTGAATAATGACTTTATGAACGTAACCGCTCGACTCAGTGCAACTTTGCTGACGCAATCCTTCGCGCGTGGGTTCCACTTTGCTGATATATGATGTAGTAACGCTCCAATTGTTTTTTTTTAAATTAATTTTATACATCACACTCCGATCTAATTTAAATAAATCCAAGATAGGACGACAAAAAAAATAAAAAAATCGAAGATAGAGGAAAGGTAACGAAAAAGAAAAATAAAAAAATGAAAAGTAAGAGCGATATAAATAATATACAAAGGACAACAAAACCAAAAAAAAAAAAAAAAAAGGAAGAAGAATGAAGATAAAACGGTAACAGTTGTAAACAGAGAGCGTCACCGTGCCGTCCGCCTCTTGTCTAATCCTTGTACTGTGAACAAGCAACATTGACATACACTCTCTCTACGCGACACGTGTCCTCGTATCACGCCCTCAATCTACTCTTTTCCTCACCGCTTGCGTACGCTTCTTTTATCTCCCTTGTAATAATAGTCCAATTCCATTACACAAAAATTTGACAACTACACTGTATTTTACATTTTGTAGTCACTAAAATCATTTTAACAGTCGCTGATTAAAAGATTTTTAAAACCTTAAAAGACAAGGCATTAAAAAGGCCCATGCTTATAACGTTTTCAAAGCCCAAGAAAAGACCCAAAACTGAATTTTGGTTAGGAAGAAGAAAAGAAAACATCACAAATATATATATATATATGGGGTCAGTGAGCAACTTGTCAAACAGAAACATGACCAGTGACTGACTGAGGTTGTACTTGCAAACAGTGAAGAGTGTCAATGTCAGCCTCTGACAATACGATTTGTAGAAAGAAGAAGCAATAGATCTCTATTCTCTCTTAAAGCATCAAATGATGTTTTGTCTCGCACTGCTTTACATTTCATTTTTTTTTTTCCTTCTTCTATATTTTATTTACTTATAGCCTAGGATATTAGAAAAACAATTGTTATCAATAATTAAGAAGAATGCGCACGTGTGGTGAGTGGTCGCACGTGTGGGTGAAAAAGGAAACATGCGGCGGTTCGGTTGGGGAGAGTAGATACGTCAACAAAAGAATTGATCAGTACTGTGTTTGCTTCACGCAAAGCTTTTCTCTTTGTCCTTTGTATAATTATTATTACACACATCAGCCCTCTTTGCCGTTGCTTCCAAGCTTAATATAGCCATTTCATTATTTCTTTCGTCGTCTTACATCCTTTAGCCTTTACATTCTTTCTCGTTACCTTCGTTAACTAACGTCTCATCCAAATTTTAATCCAATTAAAGATCGTCTACCTTCTGATTGTCATATTACTCACTAAGTGCCTAAATCCAATTTATTCCCTACTTTTTAGTCCTAATGTGATAGTTATATTATGGGATATAGAGCTAGTGGTAAACAAATTTTCTCTAAAATTTGACTAGTCTTCATGTACAACAGTACTATATATATAATGCGTTGTTTTGTAAAACCTTATGACATATGCTGCCTTTCATTGATTTTATGATTCGAGTATAAAAATTTTCAACTATCTTTATAACTAACTTAGATTTTTGGTGTGATTTAACTACATCAAGAGAAATTATTGGCAGTCAAACAAAGAAAACAAAAAAAAAAAAAAAAATATATATATATATATATGCACATCGAAAAAAGAAGATGAAATTGTAGAAAATGTAATGATTATTAATGACCCACCACCAAAAGCGAGACATGATTTTCTTGCCTGACACGATCCTCTATGCACCAACAAAAAAAAAACAATGAATTCATAATCTAAACTATCCTCTCTCTTCTCTCTCTCTGTTTAGCTATATAATTGGGTCGACGACGACACTGCTTCACCATATGCCTCACCAAACAGAATATTACGTTTCGACGAAAAAGATGAGCGGAAGCACCATCGGCGGTGCAAGTCCGTGCGGCGCATGCAAATTTTTACGGCGGAAATGCGTAGCGGAATGCATATTCGCTCCCTACTTTGACTCGGAGGAAGGGACGGCTCATTTCGCGGCGGTGCACAAGGTTTTCGGGGCCAGCAACGCCTCCAAGCTCCTCTTCATGATTCCGGCCAGCCGGAGACTTGATGCCGTCGTCACGCTTTCTTATGAGGCTTTGGCTAGGCTTAGCGATCCTGTCTACGGATGCGTTGGTCACATCTTCGCCCTTCAACACCAGGTATTCTAGGCTTAACCCAATGTTTTCATGTATATTTTCTGATTATCTAATTTATTCAAAGATTTGGAGGGCATGCATGCGTGATATATGCGTGTATATGTGTGTATATATAGTTCAGTCTAAAATAATTTAATCTTGTAAATTGTAACGTTAGGTTAAACATACTTATGACATTATATATCCACATATTAATTATGACTAGATAAACATGACATTATATATCCACATATTATGACTAAATAAACATGACATTAAATATGACTCGATGAACCCATTGTTAGTTAATTATCTGCATATACTAAATTTTGATTTTCAATTGGTTCGTAAGTGTAAAACTTTATTACCAAATAATTAACTAACAAATTAAAAACAAGCGAATGTGTGTCCCAAGGGCTCGTATGTCGAAACCCGGAGTTAAAAGAAAGTCAAATTGTCAATCTTTGCCCATTTTACTTTCCGAATTGTTTTATTTCATTATCATGGGTTGAGCATAAAAGTTTAAAATTTTCTTATATCACAAATAAACCCATATTTGACGGTATAAATCATTATTCAGTATAGTAAATTCCATGCGTCCTTATCAACCCGTAGTCCAAACATTTGAGTTGGGTATAATATATATACCGTGGATTAGCTAACAATTTAACTAGCAACCTTCTAGCAAAAAAAGAAGGAACAAAAACTAAAGTGAAATGTCAACAAAACCAAAAAAGAAAGATCTGAAGTGATGCTATATAATTATAAAGACTAATGCAATAATATGAAAAAGAATACGCGTGTGTGAATGTTCAGAGTTATAAGATATTAAAACGTCGACGCACATGTGAACAGGTGATGAATCTAGAGGCGGAGCTAGCCATGGTCCAAACTCAGCTCTCAACCCTTCAAGGCCTTCCTCCTCCGAACCCTCAAAAGAGTTCACCGACAGAAGCAGTCTCTTCATCTAATGCACCACTCGTTGCTTCTGTCGACAATAACAAAATCAACAACGTCGTGTCTTCCTCCTTGTTACACGTCGCTCATGGTATGTCCCAACAGCAACAACAACAGCCAAAAGATGATATTGAGGTCTCAACAGAGTCGGTGAATTTTAGCACATTGTTCGGCCTGGACGATCCATTAATGGACCAGGGCGGTGATCTCAACGCGCTTGCCCGTGAGTTTTTCTCTAAGTATTTGACGGAAGTCAAACTCCGACCATCTTCTCCGGTCTAACTATGTTAGCTGCAGACCTTAATTATATAAGTTAGATCTCTCTCTCTCTTAATTTATTTTGTACTAACCGTGCAGCCGAGTAACTTAAAATCAGCTTACACAAGTTGCGTTAATAAATTCTATCGGATTTGCACCGCAACTCTCATCTCTCGCGCAAGACGTCGACATTACACTTATGACAGACATGTCCCCTTCATATAGTTTAATTGATTATACATAAATACTTACACAAATTCAATGAAAAAATCATTTAAGTACCAGCAGTTTCGCGTAACCTAATTTTTAATTAAAAAATCCTTCTACTAAAAATCGTTGATGAAATTGACCCTTGGTATATGAAAATATATAGTTTTGCTTCCGTAAACGAAACACATCACTTTGATTTGTTAGAGCATGATTATCAAAAAAACCCACTTAGATTTCTACTTGATTATTATAGTAATAAAATTAAGAGTAGAAACCAAACAAGAAACATAAGTTTTTTTTGATATACATTAAAGAAACTCATCTGAGTTTCTTTATTATTATTATTTTTTTTTAACATATTGAAAAAGTCTTTTAAGAAGAAGAAGAGCAATGATATTTCTGAAGTTGATTATAGCTTGAACAATAAGAAGAAGAGCAATGATATTTCTGAAGTTGATTATAGCTTGAACTTTGAGCAGAGGAGATGCAAAAAGAGTAGCCAAATACTCGTTTAAGTACAATGAGAAGAAGGAGATGCAATAAAGAAAACAAAAGAGAGAGATGAAAGAAAGACAATGTGCATTGATCACAAACACAACCATATCGACATGACAAGCATTCATGTCGATAAGGAGCTCAATGTAACCAGCAAAAACCAAAACCAAAACCAGCAACCAGCCAATACAAGTCTCCTAGGATACCGCATCGCCAAAATCTGGTTACAAAGTAACGTTTAACAATTAGCCACAGAGTATTACAACAGAAAAGCTTAGCCTTTCAACACTAATGGAGATAAACAGCTACTCAAGAAGCTCATGTGGACTGTTAAATTTCGAATCAAGCAAACCAGTGACAAAGTTCCATCTACCAATAAAACTTTAAACAATTGTTCTTGTTTGAAACAAGTCAACAGATCTGAGCTTCGTTTCAAATTCTCAGAAATTCATCTAGATTACTTTACTCGCCATTAAAGTCATTGACTTTACCTGAAAAGACTTAAAAGTTCAAACATTGCGAAGAAGATGAGTAGAGAGAGAACTTACAGCTGCAGCGAAGAACGTTTTGTCTCCAATCTCGGAGAGGAAAGTCATGGCGAGTGATTTAGTAAAACCCTGAAAAAAACCCATAATCCCAAAAGAAAAAAAACTTCGAATTTTAGATTGCGTACCTGCACAAGCGACCCCATAGCTTCCGGTTACAGTCGGAAACCCCACGGCGTCGAAGAAGTCGAAATCATCTTCTGAATTTCTCCTGAAACCATCGATAGCAGAATCTCCGCCGATGGTGCGATTGGACGACATGCAGGCGCCGGTGATGCGAGTTCTCCGCCGGAGAATTCGAAGATTTCGACTGAACCCAAAAATCAGCCATTGGAGAAGTGGAAGAATTTTTTTTTTCAATGATCGCGAAGAAAAACATTTCCAGACCAAAATTTTTTTTCCCTTTCAGAGATCCAATAACAGTAAGCCACGTATACAGTAGAAACGGATCCTTCTGATCCTTAAATAAGAAACGATCTTACTTTTTTAAACCACTTTTTCCATTAAAAAAAACTTATTTAATTGTGATAAACCTAAAAAAACCCAACAGAAACCATTGATAAACATGGTCTTAATTTCTTGATTGTTATTATAAAACAAAGTACATATGTTCGGCATCTAATGGTAAAACTACATAGTTTTTGTTTGTTTTAATAACAACATCATATTCGAGCTAGATAGAGAAGAAATTGATGTTTAAAATCTCTAGATGGATATAGATCCAACATTTTTTTTTTAATCGAATGTTAAATTATTCAAACCCCAAAAAAAATCGTTTTTACAACTAGTGCAGCTATTGATTAAGCTTTGAAATCCTTAAAACTTTATACATAAAATTTGAATGATATAGTAGCTGTTATCTTGAAGTAAACCATTTAAAGAAACTATATGTCGTTGTACTACCAAACTAGGTAGGTAGCCTGCGCTTTGCGCAGACGGAAAGCTTTCTAAACATTAATGACATATATAATTATTTATAAAGTTTGAAATGTATATTCATATCTATATTATTATTTGAGTAATCATTTACATATATGAACTTTAATTTGTAAGATATTACAAAGTATTTTACAAAATATTTTACATAAATGAACCTTAATTTGTAAAAAATTATAGAATATTTTACTTAAATATTTATAAAATATTATATATCTAAACTTTATGCATTAATTGATTGAGATATAGAAAATTTTGTGGACCAAAATTATTTTAGGTAAACAAATTATAATATATGAGAAAATGTATATATAAAAGATGTGCGAGAAAATGTAATCATTATATAAATATGGTAACAAAATTCTAATTTACGATACAATACATATGTTTCAATGATCCTACACTCTCTCTTTTCCTATTAAAAAGACCTCATATATGAATTAACTTATTTTTTATAATTCAGTTTAAAAAATAAAAAATAACTTTGATATTCTAAGTAGCATGATAGGTGCATTAATCTTCACCTTTATGGCAACCCAGATACTCTAATAATTAATGTTAAGATATTATTGATTATAAACAAAATTATTATTCTTATTTGTGTCTGAAGTACCAGTATTATCCGAACTTAGATACTCATGTTCATCACATGTATAAACAATTACAAGTTTAGACAATTTGGTTACCAATAAACTCATTCTATTACAAAAACCACATCTAATATCAATATTTCTAAGTAGTATGATAGGTGCATCAATCTTCAACTTTAGAAAATGATTTGGCAATCTATATACTCTAATAATTAATGTTAAGATATTATTGAGTATAAACCATATCATTATTCTTACTTACTTGTGTCTGATGTATCGATACTATCCGAATTTAGATATTCATGTTCATCACTTGTGTAAAAAACAATCATAGAAGACTTATTACACTCAGAGCAGGTCTGAAGACATTCAGATGAAATATTGGCATCTAACTTCCAATTTTTTTAAGGTTATACATGAATAGTTTGGTTCCTAAATTGCAAAAAACAAAAAAAAATATTAATATTTTTCTTAAATTGTTGATGGCTTCCAAATTTTTAGATCTGGCTATGATTACACTAAATGGATAAAATGCTCACTAAGTGACTAAGATGAAGAAACAAAACTCAAGGCATGCACGAGTCCCTTAAATACTAACGTATAACAATTCTCAGTATAACCAAATCAAGTTTTAAAAAAATGGAGCATATATGTGTATAAATGTAAGATGATTCAAGATTAATCATTTTTTAAACAAAGATGTAAGTAAATACAACTGCAGATAATTATTAATACTTTATAAATAAGGTTCAAAGTATAAATATGTTGAAGCCTTACAAATTTTGAAAACTAACCCCAGAAGAAAAAAAAACAAATCAAAACAAAACAATCAATGCACTCGCATTGATCAAAGAGAAAAACCAGGAATCGTAAGAACACTACGAAGCAAACATCAGTAACATATGAAAACTCTAGCTTCATCTTTCGAGATTCACTCAACAGGAGGCTGGAACCACAGCAAGAACATCTTAAAGTCTCCAGAAAATAAAATATCTAATAAGTGCCAATATCATTACCCGAAGATTCTACCCGAAGATTCTTAAACCTCGAGACCTAATGCAACAGTACACTTTCCATCGAACTTGAGGCTTCACGAAAATAAAATCAAAAGCGTCACCATTATTAAAATATCGTCTATATAGACTGAAAAATAGAAATGAAAGTGACTATAAAAACCTTTTCTTAAAGGCTTTGACGCACGCAAAGTCATGACTAAAGTAGAACTTCATCGTAGGAGAAGACAACAACGTAGTGATCATATGACATGTGATGACAATAACGATGCTATCTTTAATTGCACAGTGAAGCTTATCTTCAAACTGTTCTGCTTGGTCTCCTAGGAGCATTACTTGTGTCTCAAACCCATTAGAAAACCTAGGACCCAAAACTGCATATTAAACTCATTCGTACGTTGACATATATCTGCCAATATACTAAACATAACTACGAAAAAAACCTTATAGAGGCACTAAACATACATCTTGGAGACCACAGTCAAACAACTTTGCCAACGACCAGCCGTTTTTGGATAAGCACATAATTCTTGTGTTCATGTTTGTTGTACGTACCCATCATATATTTTTTCATAAAAGACGAAAAGTCAGTACATATACATGTATGTATATATATAATATATATTAAACAAACACAAGACATTAGAGATTTACTGTATAATCCAGCTACATGGTCAGTTGCATTTGTGCAAAAACCAAAAGCCCTAAAACTGAATTTCTCACATGGAATTGTGCTTAATTCTACAACAGAAAAAGATACCCTGGCTCTCTCAGTGAAGAGAGTAATATATCTATGATCGGAGATCTGATAGCAACTACTGGTAGAATGTACGCCAAAATTCAGAATTTATATAATGTTTCCTTCAGTTAAACAACTTCCAAACATTGGTAGCAGAGACCCATGAACTATGCCTTGAATAGTATTCTCCTGCATCAGAACCTCAAATAATTTAAAACCGAAATAATATGAATAAACACTGGCCCAATGCTTTATAATGAAAGAGGCTAAAACCATACCTTCTGTTCAATTAAATGAAAATTATTCCTCTTTTTCCAACTTTTATTGATAGGGCATGTTGATTCCCACTTTCTTAATATCTTAACAGTGATAAGGCTTAAACTTATAAATTACATTCGGACGCCCGTTTTGGTCAAAGTGAATTGCGTATCTTTTCATCTCCCCAATCTCACCAAAGAGTTCGTAGATCCCATAGGAGAGTAACAAAACTAATTTAGGGACACTCTTCCCGTGGAAGCAATTATTGGTAGCTTAAATAATTCTGCATTAAGAATGAACAACTAATTGCATATTTCTTTTTTGTTAATTAAGCAGCTAAGATTGTGAATATTTAACACTAACAATTTTTGCCATAGTTACACAGATTTCATGAGCTCATTTATATGAATAGTTTCTTTTCCAACGAATATATCAAGCAATAGAAGATTCTAGAACATCTTTTTGAAATAATCAAACCAAAAGAGCTAAGAATACCTCAAAGGCATATATATAATCCCATTGATTGTCTTTCTTTCATTTTTCTCAAAAAAAATTGTCATTCCAAGAAACCGTTGGCTTATAGGATAGAGGCAAACCATCTTGACAAATGATCACCGATGAAATATTGTCTGCAACATATTCTTTCACGTGGTCACAAAAATCTCCCCATAAGGTACAAGTCAAACGGAGATCACTGCATGGTTAAAAAACATATAAATAGTCAAATAGACAATAATAACCCAATATACACATGGAAAGGAAAAAAACTTATGATATGTCACGCAAAACCACGTCCAGCTTCTTAGTGGATTTGCCTTTAGCGTCAATATACTTTTATCGAATTCACCCTTTAAAATTCTTGAAAACTCTTTCAAATATTTTAAAGAGAGATCCTTAGGAAATTAATCACAAAGGTTGATGACAATAATGGGATAGAAACAAATCTTGAAAGAGAGAGGGTTGTATTGTAGCCAGTGGTGTAATTCTTAACCACAAAATACTAAGCACAATCGCACGTCCTCTTTAAGGCGACCCTTAAACCTCTTTACCAAATCTACTATCATCAGTGAGAACGGTATCGCAATGATTGTATGTACAGGATTATCAAATATAAACTCACCACTTCATCAATATAAAGAATCTCAATAGTGACGATTTTTCCACCTCTCAATGTTTTTCATCTTCTCGTGATCTGATGTTTACTTCCAAAAAATAAGACGTTGTGATGAAAACAGAATACCAGAAGACCTTTGATCAGAGAACTATTTATATGGTATCAGCGAGGCGTCTATTAAGGTAATATTTTGAAGATAGATGCAAATCTAAAAGAAGTATATATATTATTTTTTTTCTTCCGTGTATATATCAAGATCAGCTGTAGTAGAGTTTTTTTTGGGAAAAACTAAATACAGCTGTTCAATTAATAGAGTTGGTTAAGTATAAGTTGGATAATATTGCATGTGCAGAGGCATAAAAAAGAAGATACATATTGTATGTGCGTCTGAATTTTTATTAAATTAAATTATATGTTTTTAATGATATAATCTAATTAAGTTTCAGATTAAATCGTGAATTTAGATTTTTTTTTTCAATATTACAACTTATATTTTTAACTATGATTTTAGATTTTAGATTTAAACAATTTTTCTATAAAAAAAAATTAATCAAATTTAAGGAAGGGGTAAAGGATAATTAGCCACTCTGAGATTGAATGAGAGAGCTTTAAACGAAATTTTTACTTTGCTTATAATATATATGATATGATATACGGTATGATAATGGTTTGTTAACTTAATTTAAACCATTATTTTCGTTTTTTTAATATAAATTTTTATAAAAAATAATTTAAACTAATTTAAGAAGGGGTAAAGGGTAATTAGCCACCCTAAAATTAAATGAGAGAGCTTTAAATGAAATTTTTACTTCGCTTATAATATATATGATAACTAGTATTTGAATTTTTAACAATTTTTTTCGTTTCTTCTGATTCTCCTTCAATGGAGACATTATTTTGAGCTTACATAGCTGTGAACTTACAAGAGAATACATAAAAACAGAGAGAGAAACAACAGCATAATTGTGAATTTTTTTTAAAGAGCTTTTTATTCATCTTTTTAAAGAAACAACAACTTAATTGATAATTATGAAATTAAACATCTATTATTTTAAAACAGAAGCACTTTTAGTATTTGTTTCCAAACACCTCCAAAAATTTTTAAAATATTTTGATAAACAGTTTTTAAATTATCTTAAATTATTGTAATATTATTTAAAAACATATTTTCTTTTTTATATAAAAAAATCCAAAAATTAGATATGAATTTAGATAACTAAAGATTTCCTTAAATATAGGTCATATTTAATTTAAAATTTAAACTATTTTGTAATTAAATTTAATTCTAAAAAATGATATTAATTTAAATTATTTTATACTTCTATAATTATAGGTCAGATTTAATTTAACATTTAAAATTTTAAATAATATTTTTAGAAAAACAAATATGATTAAGAAAATACTTTGTTGTATTTTTAATCATATTCAATCAGAATAAAATTTCACATATTGAAAACTAATAAATATTAATATTATATAGTAATTTGATGGGGTGGATTAGGTTTTTTTTTTATAATTGCAGTTTTATATTCAAAACATGCAAGATATTAAGATAAATATTAATTCAAAATTAGTAAATAATTATATTATATAGTAATATGACGGACGGGTTAGAATTAGTAACAACAGTTTTTTCGGATTAATAGAATGAATGAGTTAAAAATATATTTTTATAATAATGGTTGTTTTTCGATTAATAGAATGATCGGGTTAGAATTATGTTTTTATGATCATGGTCATAATATAGTAGAAAAATTAAAAAATAAATTATATCTAAACACAAAAATAAATCTTTGTTATTTATTAAAAAAATTATATATATAAAGAAAACATAAATAATATTATAAATTTTGATTAAAAAAATTTTCCGTGCGGATGCACGGAGTAAAATCTAGTGAGTTATTAATTTTCAAGCACAAAATAAGTACCTGAGAGTCGATGGAGGATAGAGATGAAGCATGGAGAGAGATATAAAGAGACTTGGATACCTAAACCAGTTGGACAACAAAACAAATGATACTTCCGGTGGTGTTTAGGCACTTGCACTGTTGTCCGAGACGGAAAGGCACTAAACGGAGAAAAAGGAAACTAGTGATGAAGCTAAAAATGCTAGACTAGATGAAAATCTGAAATGAAAATACTCAATCAGCTCGGAAGCCTGCAAACAAATCAAAATACTGTGTTACGTAATTACGTTAAACGGAAACCGTGTAGGATTATCAAATGTATGGAGCCGGTTTACTTGTGTATAGTATTTTAATACCAATCTCGGCCAACCTTTTTTGAAGGGTTTATTTATTAACGATCACAGGTTTGTAATTTGGTTATGAAAAAAATTAGTTGATGGTTTTTTAATACTCCCAATTGAAAACAGAAATCTTAGTTGGGTCGTATAATGAAAATTCGTAATTCAGAGTGCCAAGTGCAATGTAGGTGACCGAGGCCCGAGGATACTAAGGCCCAACCTCCCAACCTATTGGCTTAAATGGTGACATCCTAATTCATGCGTTCCTCCTTTTTTTTTGTGAAATAAAAAATCATAAGCGTTAATTTTTTTATTGTCTTGCTAATTACTCTATCTGTTTGACAATAAATGATGTTTTAAAATTTATTTTACTTCAAATTAGGTGATATTTTTAATTTTCAGTTGAAAACTAATTATTTTTTAAAAAGAAATTTGTAACTGTTTGTAACTCATAATTTGTTTTGTTATTGATTAAATTATGTTTAGATATATGTAATTGATATTTTAATTTAAAACAATCACAGAAACAATTTTTAAATATATGTATATAGATTTTTAAATATCATTTCAAATGAAAGGGAGAGTATATATTAAAATAATGAATAAAGAAGAAAACCTCGAAATTTCGGATGGGAATCAGGAGTATGTTGACACGTAATGATGATCCAAAAGCTTTCTCATGTGCCGTGATCCTAATGAGATACGGAAAACTCTTTTTTTTTTTCTTTTGTCCCACGGAAAAATCTTTATTTAACACACAAAATGTTACTTAAAGTTGATTAAATCAATATTTTCCCCGCAAGTAAAAGCAATATAGGACTTTGACCTTATTTGATTTTGTTTTTTCTCTTTTCAGAAATTTATTGAATTTGTTGATAAAAAATTCATAACAGACACGTGCTTCCAATCATAATCTCACGAATATATCTAATCTAATAAGTATAGTTTAAAATATTGGGATTTTATGGAATATATGCAATATAATGGGATAGATTTTTTTTGTTTTTTTGATCTAACGGGGTAGATTTTATATCCTGGATATATAGATGGCTGTGAGAAAACTGAGAAAGAGTTACACATTTTCATATAAAAGAAAAATATTACTCTATGGTGCCAATAAAAAAGAGAGTCACACGAGTCAAAAGGAGACAGAAGGCAGCAGGACTACTGTACAAAGTCAAACGGCTTGTTATTCTGACAGCCAGTCACTTTATTACATTTCACCTACCAATCGCATTCCTTCATTTTCCTTCTCTCGATCCACCAACAATTGTTGTTGTAGCCTTGTAGGCTTGTTATGTTCCAGACTTCTAGTATGGAAAAAACTACAACGAGTTTGTGTAATAAAATCTAAATCAAGTAACATTAGCACCAAATTGAAAAAGAAACAAAAAATAATTGAAAGTTTAATTACCGAATATATGCACGTAAAAAGGGATTGGTCAAGGGCATAGCTGTTATTTATCTGGGATATAAAAGGTATTAATGTCAAGAAGAAAGGACTAAAACTTACGCAAACGGGACATTATTTTCTTTTACACGTTTGAAAATTTCCAGTCCGGACGTGAAATTATTTTATTAAACAAAATTCACTGTCGGTCTTAACGACAGGATAATTGTATTCTTTTTTTTTTATGGGATATTTACTTTCTGTTATCTCTTGAAATTCTGAAAGACAACCCAATCTCTCTCATCATCTTTGACGTAAATATTTTTTTTACGCTCTTGTTTTTTTTTTTTTTCTTTCTGCTTTCGTCTGTGGACTGGGGACGGCCGGGAAATTGACGGCTTTGAATTTCCGACTATTAGTTAGTATTCTCTTTTGGATCATTTTAAAATCTTTCCCGGAAATTCCGTTGAGATTTTTTATTTGCCGGGGGAGAGCTTTGGGGCCATCTGAGCAGGAGAAGTCTTGTTGTTCTGTTTTAGACGAAAGCTGTCGAATCGAAATCTCCATTTACAATTACACGGCAGCTGAGAATGTGGAAACTGATAGAGGAACTTGAATGAGCTGAACTTGCAAGTCTCTTGTTCTGTTTCTTTGTTTCTTTGTAAGTTTCTTGTCTACCTTTAGTGAGATCTCATTGCTTCTGATTTTTGCCTCTAATCTCCTTTTAGAGGTTATTTTTCAGACTCTGATTCTATATAGATATATATTTTTTTACTTTATGGATTATTAATTTTTACATATATTTATATTTTTATTAAATTAAACTTGCAGAGATGAGTGAGATTTCCATTTCGTAGTGCTAGAGAAACTTTATACTTCAAAATTAGCTTATGCTCGTTCTAATAAATAAGAACAAATAAGTCCAGTGTAGTCCTTATGCTGCTAGGCAGTGATAAGTTTTTATTTGTTTTCTTCTTCGCATCACGTTTGAAAAAATGTCTTGTTGTGATTACTTGAAACTAGTATTTTGAGACAGCTGAACTTTATATACGTCTTGAAGCCATTATTACCTTTGTACTGACTATAACTTTTGGCTTCTTTGAGATTTTTTTTTGTAGTTTCTCTCAGAATAATTTGAAATGGAAACAAGCGACAGAATTAGCTCTGATGTGACTGTTATAGGAGCAGAAGCTCCATCAGCGTATCACATGGCCCCGAGGCCTTCATCAGAGAGCCCTAACCACCAGTTCCTTCCGGCTCCCATTGACGCCCCAATGGCAGCAGTTTCAGGGAAGAAGAAGAAGAGGGGCAGACCTCGTAAATATGAAGCTAATGGTACTCCTTTGCCCATCCAAATTTCTTCTTCATCATCTCCTCTTGTCAAGAAACGAGGAAGAGGCAAGCTTAATGGTTTCGATATGAAGATGCATAAGAGGATCGGGTTCCTTACTTCTGGTAACTCTTCAATTTTTTGTCACACACACGCACATTACTTTAACTATATTACAAAGCTAGCTAGCGTTCCTATCATTTCTACACATTATATCCTCATCTGATTCAGTTTCTGTATTTGTACAAAGGTTAGCTCTTTTTCGTGTTTATTTAATGTGAAAACTTTGCAATCTTTTGCCCAAAGAGTTATAGAAGATTTATTGAGCTGTATATAGAAATGCAATGTTCCTTAATAATAATATAGAAATTACTGTACATCCAAGTTTTTTTTTTTTTTGTGGCTCAATTTGACACATTCTTTGCTTCCTTGCAAACTTGTTCTTCCCAACTGCCAAAAGCTTTCTTCGTGAGCCTTGAATTAGGAAAATAGTAACTTTGTTCATCGATCGTGCTGCAGGTGAAAGCTATGGATCAAATTTCACGCCACACATAATAACAGTGAACACTGGGGAGGTATGTATGAAGAAAGAAGAAAGGCCTTAAATTAGATTCCACTTTGTATGCATTATTAGTTGTATGATGATGCTTTGGTTTTTATTTCTGTTGTTTTTGTTGTGGCCTTGTGGGGGTGGTGATCACATAATATAATACTATAATGAAGGATATAACGATGAGAGTAATATCGTTTTCACAACAAGGACCGAGAGCTATTTGTATTTTATCAGCAAATGGAGTGATATCAAACGTCACCCTTCGCCAGCCTGACTCATGCGGTGGCACTCTCACCTACGAGGTTTGTCTCTCTCTCTCACAAATCCATTTCATGTTTTATCAGAGAAAGCAGAGAGAGACTTATATGTGTGTGTGTGTGGCTGGCTGGCAGGGTCGGTTTGAGATTCTGTCGCTATCTGGTTCTTTCATGGAAACAGAGAATCAAGAAGGTTCAAGAGGTCGGTCTGGTGGCATGAGCGTCTCTCTGGCGGGTCCTGATGGTCGAGTTGTGGGTGGCGGCGTGGCTGGCCTTCTCATTGCTGCCACTCCGATTCAGGTGACCCTCCTCCACCTGAATCCAACCACATTTTGTTTGTTTGAGGGTTGTTGTTATTCTTTGAAATCATCGTATCAAAAAGTCTCAGTAAGTAATTGCTGTTTCTTATTAAAAACAGGTGGTTGTTGGCAGTTTTGTAACGAGTGATCAACAAGAACATCAGAAACCAAGGAAGCATAAAGTCGAGCCATTGCCTCCTCCTCCTCCTCCTCCTCCTCCTCCTCCGGCTTCTGTTTTCTCATCAGAGAGAGAGCAGACGCCAACGCCATCTTCATTCGGCGGTATCTCAAGCCAGTGGAGTAACGGACAGGACAACCCGAGACACTCGGCCACTGACATCAACATATCATTACCGGCCGAGACTGATAGTTTCCAGACCTGATCTAGGGATCGCTCTTTTAGGTATCTGATTAACTTTCTGCCTTTTCTCTATACATTAGGAGGATTGTCGGAGCTGTATGTTACTTGTAACACACACATTCTCTCTCTCTATCTCTGAAGCTAGTACTGCCCAATTTCCTTTTGATCTGAGCTTAATTTTCTTGTGATTGCGGATTGATCTGTGTTTACCCGCCCCTTTCTACTTGATTTCTGTATTGATATTTGTTAATCAATATTTTTCTACATTATTTCATTTATTACAGTTTATATGGGAGGTGTATATTATAGGCGCCACTTTTTTATGATCCTTCATTAAATTTGTACCTCTCAATGGAACAAAAACAACAACACAATAAATCTTTACTATTAAAACTAAAACTAATTTTTAAATTTATATCATCATGTTGAAATAAAAACCATCATCCATATTTGTACATCATGTCCACTCGGGGCGTCAGTTTTTCAAGACATGAACGGCACCGTCGGAAACGCAGCCGCTGCTGTGGTACAGTGAGAGGAACTCGGGAGGAGGCGTGAAAACGTATTTGACTCGGACGGTTGGTAGTGATGTGGACTTACCTTGGTCGAGACGACACGGCGCTTACCACTTTGTGTTTCGAAACTCGGGTCCGGATCCATTGGGCCGGGTTTCACGTCATAACATATATCCAGGAAGCTCGTCAGTTTACGTTACCCAAATTTCAGAGTGTCTCTAATACACTCATTTCCATTTTTTTTTTCTATTAGAGAGCCCATATTTTACACAAATGCCTTTTTTTCTTTTGGTCTACTAATCCAATAAACTTGTCAAATTCATTCATTTGATTAACTATTTGATGAAAGTTATTAGAACATAAGCCCAAAAGAACACGATCAAGTCCATTAGCCATGTATCTAGGATTTTTAAGTATATAGTTCCTATATATATGTGTGTAATGACATATGAGAAAACAATTTTGACTCTTCTCCCTGTTTTATATAATATCAATCCACACAATCTTTAAACTTAACTGTCTCTTAAGTAACTTTGGTTTCTTTTTTTTAAGCACTTGAATAAAACTCTTTTATGAGCTATTTTGTTATTTATATTTTTATCTTTGTTTTATAACTCTAAAATAAGCTCTTAGCAGCTTGAATGAATCTATCTTTGATTTGGAATCGTTAGCAAAAATGAGACACCCAAGGAAACTGTGAATGTTTTTAACAAATTGGGTTCCGAGTTCTCGGATTTCCAGTTTTCTTGTATTTTTCTATCACTTTTTTTTTTCCAGCAAACTCATTCGTATGAATTATCATTAATTCATCAATAGAAACAATCAATTTATTAGTTTTGTTTAACAGAATTCTTTTGAGATAAAAGGAATGAAATCTTTTTTATTTTGACGATCTATAAATTTGAGAAGCATATATTCTATTAAAACAGAAGCACTTTTAGTGTCTGTTTCCAAACACACCTAAATTTTTTTTATAACATTTTATTTTATATAATAATTAATTTCGAAAATTGGTTACTAATTAGATATTGTTAGATTTCCTTAACTATAGGTTATATTTAATTTAAATTTTAAATTATTCGAATTTTTATTAATTAAATTTAATTACGAAAATTTATATTCAATTTAATTTCAAATTCAAAAAAATATTAATCAATTTTATTACAAAAATTAGATAATAATTTTAATTACTTTAGAATACTTTAAATATAGGTTAGATTTAATTTAAAAATTTGAATTTAAATAATATTTTTATAATAGCACAAATGGTAAACAAATATCTTATTGTAATGTTTATCATAATCAATCCGTCTAAAACATCAAATATTTAATATTAATAAATATTTATATTTTACAATAATATGATAGAGCAAATTAAAGTTATAGATTTATAATAACAAATTTATACGGGTTAGTTTATCAAAACATGTAAGATATTAAAAGATGATTTGAGATAATTAAACAGATGAGTTAGCTAATTCATAGATGTATAAATTGTTTAAGTGTAAATCTAAATTTACATAATAATAAAGTTCATAATTAATATTATAGATCAATATATACTTAATTAACTCATATTCTTATTCTACTAATATATAAATCTATATTATTCAAAGTTAAAACATGATAACAAAATTTTTGAATTAAAAAAAATTAATATCAAATAAATTTTATTAAAAAAATTATATTAGAAATATAAATTAAAAATTTTTGTGTAAACGCACGTGATAAAATCTATTAGTTAAACGGGAGAGCACGTGAATGCATCGCAGAATTAACTAGCGCTCTGCCTATCATAAGTTAAATAATAGTGTAATACTATGACTTTGCGAGACATCCGGTCAATAATGACTATCTTTTTTTTTTTTGATGCCAGCAAGTTTAATCAAGCATTACCGCTTTCATTTATTCAAATTCTAAACTACTCCCTTTGTTTCATTTAAAAGAAAAAAAAACTTTCATCCTTCGTTTAAAATTTCAAAGAAAAAATTTCAAATTATTTCTTATATATAGTTTTGTATTAGAAGTGATGCTTAAGTGTTTAATGCACACATATTCAAACTATATTAAAATTTAAACTAATTTATTCATTGCTATTCAATTTTGAGTTAGAACCTATGTTCGTCCTTAGGCTCATCTTTTCTGGTTCCACAATGTGAGGAGTGATGATATATGATTACAAACGTTTTTATTGATCATATGGAATACTTTCTATATGTTGTGGAGAATGGATTGGAAGGCGTACGTACCTTATGAGGAAAATAGAGTAATTCTTGTGTTATGATTTCGTTTGATTCACAAAGCTTTCACTGTCTCGCGGAACAATCTCTCTTCATTTTGGCCCACGTTTAATATATTTGCCCATGTGCTACAATATTATACATGCTGATTTACATTTCATCCACATAAAACGTAAAATTTATTTGTTGATAACTTGACATTTTGACACACACAAAAAAAGCGTATAAGTTGATTATATAAATTTGGTATACCTGAACAAAATAGAAAATTGTTACTTCGCTGTGTAAAATGTATAGTTATATTTTGTTAGAGGTCTTGGAAAGATATCGATGCCTGGTAAAATGAGAAAGCACCGTGGCACGGCGAAGAAGTGGCTAGAAACGGGAATGTTAATGAAAAGAGTTAGAGAGGAAGAGAGACATATACACGTGCATTGCATATATACTCAGATGTTGATTGTTTTCCAAAGTGTTTGTGCGAGAAATGACAGTTCTCTCTCTCTCTCACCTGTTCAGGCGGTGGAAAGAAAAAAAAATATTTTTTTATAATAAATGATTTTCTAACAATTTGTTTGGAAAGAGCATCAGATAGAAATTTTTATTTTTATTTTTATTTTTAAAAAGACAATGGAATGTGTCTTACAATAAAGCAAGAAATTAAAAAGAGATCTCTGTCGCGCGTCGTCGCTGACAACTATACATGCCTAGCTCTGTACATAATTAAACATATATAGATAAATATGTGTGTGTATGTGTGTAAGGTAGATTGAGATATGAATGGTCAAATCCGAAATAAAACAGTATATGTTCTTAAATACGCTTCTTCTTTATTGAGCTTTTTTGCTTTAACTTCCGTTGCATGATTTGCGATTTTTACATTTATAATTAGTCAACTTCGACGCCTTGTGTCGTCCTCGATTTTAATGTTCTGTCTTTCTCTGCACTCATGTTCTTTTTTTTATTTGATAGTAGTATTACTTATAAAACAAAAACAAACTCGATAAAATTACTTAAGTTGCATAAAGAGAGAATAAGAGAGATGAGAGAGAGAAAGTTTGTTGTAGAAAATCTATTTTCTTATTCTGATACATAATTGTATCTGTACATTGATTATACAGTTGTTTAACATAACCAGACATTTAATTTAACCATAATAAACCATAAACTATACTTTCTAATATTGCACATAATTAATTTTATCATGTTTATTTAAACTACATATGTGATAGTATTTGACTTATAGGTATCATATTTTACGTATCTACTTTATTGGGTAAATGGATTGCCATAATCTATTTGGTTTCAGAATACTTCATGCATTGGGTAATCGGACTGCCATAATCGATTTTCTATGTTTATAGTTTTACTATGACCTAGCTAGTAATAACCACGAAAATCGGAATAATTACCACAAAATTGGTGGTCCTGCATTATATATGGAATTTAGTGAAACGACACACTTGGGGGTAAATTGAAATAATGATGACAAAATGATATACATAGGAATATAGAGAGAGTAAAAAAAAGAGCATGGAATTGACGAGGATCGAGGGAAAGAGTGGTGTGGCAGAAATGTTATTAAGTGTGAAAACAACTGATGAATGAGCCTTTGCTTAATCACTTCCATGCACAAGTCCCTTTCCTCTCCTTCTCTCTCCCACTTCATCGAACTTTGCGTCATTCTCTTAAAAAAACTATATGTTCTTCCAATTCAATTCAAACCGTAACCAGTTTAGATTTCACTTCGGATGTTCGTTTATTTTACATTATCTTCTTTTCTTTTCATTCAAACATGTATAGTGACCTCAATATGTTATAGCTTTCCACACTGTGCACTTGGATTCACTGCAATTGTGCATGTAAAAACAAAACATCTTGACTCCTTTCTACTTCATCGGCCAAAGATTTTGCGTTGACACGATAGCACCAATTGTATTTACTCTAGTGCAAACCATGTAACAAAATGCCTAACCACTTTTTTATTTAGAATTACGAATTTAATTTAACTTAAACTTAAATTTATCTTCACTTCTGATGTAAGACATTCTAATAACACTCATAATATGATAATATCCTCGTCAATTCCATCGCCCTTATTTGTTTAGTATACATATATATATATATATATATATATATGTATACTCTCTCTATATTCTTTTGTATATCTGTGTCACGACTCTCATCCAAATGCTATTGGTGAGATCTTCCAAGTGTCATGACACTAATCCAGATTGAAGTTTTGTTTATAGAAGTTGATTAGAAAAGGTGAACATGTTGTATATGTTTGATGCTGGCATGAATCTTGTATTTTAAAAACTTTAAATTAATTTTATATTTCGTACCGACCAGAGATACAACTTGATCATAAATTAAATATAGCAAAGTATCTCAAACACCACGACGTTAACAATTTTATCTATTTTATTTTCCTTTTTGGGAGAATTTGATCTGATAAAAAGTCACAACATATTTCTATCCGGTTTAGTAGAAGAAAATGATGGATTGGAACAAAAGAAAATACCGGTTCAAAGGGGTAGTAAATGAGAATGCAGGTATGTAGCTTATCTCTACAATGGTCTCCTCATCACATGTTGCCAATTTGTTTAGGTACAGTGTCTCTTTATATTTACATAAATAGAAATCTCTCTCTCTCTCTCTCTCTCTCTCTCTCTACCACATCTTCCTCTATATTCTCCACCGTTCTTTCTCTACTCTCCTCTCTCTCTCTCTCTGGACTTCAACTTCTGGAGAACTACTTAACATATATAAGGTACTGCTCATCACCACAACACTAACACAATTGTCAAAAGGTGTGGGGGAAAGCACAATCTGCACTTCTATCTGATCGATCAGTCATATCTTTTCAATCAAATCAAACCCTCCTCTTACTCGTATTTTTTTCTCTCTTTTTAAAAAGGAAAAAGAAAAATAAAAAAGAGTCTATGTCGAGCATGTCCATGTCGTCCTCCTCAGATCCAGCTTATCCACCGGACCACATCTCATCTTTAGACCAGCTCGGTTACGTCCATTGCAGCTTCTGTGACACCGTCCTCGCTGTAAATTTGGATTCTTATATCGTCTATTTGTATCCATATATCCAAAGTTCCTAGCTAGGATCTCACACATGAATGAATTAATATGTGTGATACGGATATTGGCAGGTGAGTGTTCCTCCGAGTAGTTTGTTCAAGACGGTGACGGTGAGATGCGGCCACTGTTCAAACCTTTTGTCGGTGACTGTGAACATGCGAGCCCTTCTTCTTCCCCCCGTTTCCAATCTTGGCCATTCCTTTTTACCTCCTCCTCCTCCTTGCAATCTCTTGGTACATCACTTGTATTCATCAAAGAAAATTAGGGTTTTCTTGTTTATTTGCATTTTCATCATTAAAAATAGGGTAACATCTAGGGTTTTTATCAGTGATCCTCTAGACACACAAATTTATGAAGCTCAACCCAAAAAAAGTTTAAATAGTGGGTTAGCATCATATGTTAGATTTAACTTCTACGACTTGGTTCTTGTTGAATACAAAACAATCCACAATGGCAATGGCTAATTAGGGTTTCTTGGAGAAACATTGAAAGAAGTTAGTTTGATTTGTCATTTTTTGTCAATTATTTCTCTCTTAGTTATTTTGTTGTTGCTGTTAGGAGGAGATGCGAAACGGAGGGCAGAATATAAACATGAACATGATGATGAGCCATCAGGCAGCAGCTCACCACTCCAACGAGTCTTTGGTTATGGCCACTCGCAACGGAAGAGTTGACCCGCAGGAATTAATGCCTCGGCCACCACCAGCCAACAGACGTAACATTCCATCTTTTACACCTTTACTTCAGCATCTCCAACCAAAAAAAAAAAACCTGATTGTCAAAAACCCTACCCATTCATTCATTTTCCTATTGAGCTTCTTTTCACATTCCATCTCCCTTTCATAGATACAGTAGAGAACCCCCCCCCCAAACTTGTGAGACTTACTTTAATTTTCTGTTTCCTGGGTGTGTGAGAATTCTCGCATTTTGTTTTTTTTTTTATTGTTTTAATACAGAAAACAGTTTCTTTGGAGAAATGAAAATGTAGTAACTCATATCTTTATCCCCCGGAAATCTAGCTAGACCTATAGATGCCAATTGATATATATTTTTTTGGGGGTAGATCGTAAGAAAGATAATGATGAAGTGATGATGATAACGAGCAAAGTGAGAGGGAGAGGGAGAGAGAGAAAATAGAGAAAGAGAGGGGGATATTATTATTTGTGAATTTTTAGATTTTTTGGGGAGACACAAAATCCATTTTCTTTTAAAAAAAAAACCTTTTTGTTTTTGAAAAAGTGTTTACTTAATTTAAAAAATTGAATTTATTCTGTTTGTTTGTTTGTGGAAAAGCAGCCCCCGAGAAGCGACAAAGAGTACCATCTGCTTACAACCGATTTATCAAGTATTTATTTCCTTTGCTTATTATGGATAAGTTCCCTAATTAATCATTTACACATAATTAAATTGGATGTGACAGACTTTGATAAAAACATTTGTCAGGGAGGAGATCCAACGTATAAAGGCAGGCAACCCTGATATCAGCCACAGAGAGGCCTTCAGTGCTGCTGCCAAAAATGTACATTTCCCTTTTTTATTTTTCTTCTTTTTCTTTGTTTAAATCCTCTATCTTTTACTTTTATTACTAATCTTGGTATATTATATTATACATATATAAACTTAGAAATTAGACGTTAGTGAAATGTATGAGAATTGATATATACTAAGATAAATTGGCAGTCGTAGATATTGATGATTCTTCCGTTGCTTTAGGGGAAAAATAAATTAAAAACAATAAGCAAAATTGTTACCGTACGTAATAATCCACAAGATATAAGTCTTGTCCAGCAAAAAATATTTAAAATAGCCTTAGGAGGATCCTCCAGTCTATAGGTTACTTACGACAAAGGCCCCAAGCAGATATTTAATGATTTTGGTTTGTTTTTTTTAATAAGATATATGTCTATAACAAAACCCTTTTCTATCGGTGGTTTAAAATGTGAACATAATGTAATAAGATAAGTAGTAGACCTAAAAGCTATAGAAGTTTAGTTCAAGTCAAACCAATTTTAGCTAAAGGTGTTGAGGTTTTAACTTAAATGTACACTTTTGGTTTGTCACACAGTGGGCTCATTTCCCTCACATCCACTTTGGTCTCATGCCTGATCATCCTCCCACCAAGAAGGCTAACGTGCGCCAGCAGGTTACCATCCTTAGCTTTGTACATATGTTTAATTAGTTATCATATGTTTACATATGTTTATTGTAAATTTTCATGATTTTTGATTTCAAGGAAGGAGAGGATGTGATGCTGGGAAGAGAAGGGTTCTACGGCTCATCAGCTGCCAATGTTGGTGTGACCCATAACTAGCTAGCCAAGTTTTTTTTTTTTTTCCTTTTTTTTTTGTTTGGGGTTTAATTATGGTTTTTCATCTCTGATCACCTTCCCAATTAAGATCTTAAATCTTTAGCTCAAATTATCTATGATGATAATCGATCAGGAGAATTTTCTTGTTAGAAATTTCGGAACTAATATTGTACTCCTAACTTTCCCTTGGAAAGGTAACTTCTTCAATTGCTTTATATTAAGCCGTGTGTATCCAATATCTTTATTACTATCAAAAGCATTAGAAAGTTGGCAGCTGCTAGCTTCGACATAAATTTATGATTTTTGTTCTAGCTTCTTTATGATGATGATTTCATATTCCAAGTTTATCAAAGAAAAAATGCGAAGACGGAGCTGACTGGCTATGGTGCCCATTGGGCTTTATCGTTGGGCTTTACGAAACACATTTATTGTGCTCAGCCCAAAACCATAGATCCAATCTTTAGAGGATAAATGAGCGACTGAGTTTTTGTTTTTGTCCAAAAAGCTGATGGAACTGGCACGTTACAGGTAAGAGAAATTATCTATCTATTCTATTAAAACAATACATTTAGTTTTTGCATCCAAACACTTCTAAAGTTTTTTTTATAATATTTTATGTTATTGTTATATTTAATTTCCGAAAATTAGTTATTAATTTAGATATTCTTAGATTCCTAAAATCTAGGTCATTTTTAACTTAAATTTAAAATTATTAGAAATTTAATTAAATTTAGTTACAAAAATTTGCATTCAATTTAATTTAAATTCAAAAAATTCAAAAAAAAATTATAATTAAATTTTATTACGAAAATTTAGATAAAAAATTTAATACTTTAGAATTTCTTAAATACAGAAAAGATTTAATTTAAAATTTAAAATTTAAATAATATTTTTATAAAAATGCATAGTAAATAAATATTTTATCGTATTTTATCATAAACACTCGGTCTAAAATATCAAATATTTGAGATTAATAAATATTTATATTATATAATAATATGATCGAGCTGATTAGAGTTATATATATATATATTTAAGGTCCATGAGTTAATTTATTAAAACATGTAAGATATTAAGATGATTTGAGACAATTAAACTAACAGGTTAGCCCGTTTATATATATATAGATACATTTTTTAATAGCACTAATAATAAATAAATATCTTATTATATTTTTTCATAATGAATTGGTCCAAATATTCCATATTAGTAAATATTTATAAGGTTATACAATTATAATTATAGTCTTATACGGGTTAGTTTGTCAAAACATGTAAGATATTAAAATGATTTAAGACAACTAAACGGATGGATTAGCAAATTCATAGATATATAGATTGTTTATGTGTAAATCTAAATTCATATAATAACAAAGTTTATAATTAACATTAGATCAATGTATACTTAATTGATGTATATTCTTATTCTACTAATAAACAAATTTTACTGTTTAAAATTAAAATATGATAACAATTTTTTGATTAAAAAAAATAAATAACAAAAATAAATTATATTTAAATAAAAAAGATAAATGCAACTTATATTAGAAATAAAATATAAAACATTCCCGTGCGGATGCACGGGGTTAAAATCTAGTATTATATTAAAACAGAAGCACATTTAGTACTTGCTTCCAAACACCCTAATTTTTTTTAAGTATTTAAAAATAATTTTAATAATTATTTATATTTAATTTCGAAAATTATTTATTAATTTAAATATTTTTAGAGTTCCTTAAATATAGGTAATTTAGATTTGATTTGATTGATTAAAATAATAAATCAGATATTAATTTAGATTTGATTTAAAGATTCTAATTTAAATAATTTCTATATTTTTATCAAAAATATCTAGAATTTTTGAAGAAAAAAAATTCACATATGAAAAATAATGGTCATATTTAAAATATAAAATATTTATAATGATATAAATGATATGATGTTTATGTTGTTTATATAATATATTTACGATTATGATTTATTTACAAATTAATAATAAAATAATAGGTAAAATTCAAATGTATAATTTAAATATTAAAAATATATTTTTTAAAATTCATAGAACTAAAAATATATATAAAAACCCGGGTTAAAAATATTTTGGTAACAAATATCACTAATTTGAAATTATACATGTATATCGAAAATATATTTTTCATACAAAATTAAAACATATAAAATTAAAAATTATTGCATACACTATAATGTGGTTTGAAAAACCAGTTGTACACTCTTTTCGTTGATTATATTTTAGAAAATTATAATGCTAAATAATACTGTTAATACATCTCAAACTTTTAACAAATATTTATATTATACGGTAATATGAACGGAAAAATTAGAATTATATTTTTATAATAGTTCATTTGGAATTAATATTAGCGGACGGGTTAAAATTATATTTTTAGAATCATAATTAATTTTAATATTATAAAAATATATCTAAACACAAAAATCAATATTTTCGCTTATTAAAAAATATATTTATAAAAATAATTATATATAAACTCAAAAACACAAATTATATTACAAAATTTGTTAAACAATAAAAAATATTCCCGTGCGGATGCACAGGGTTAGAATCTAGTATTATATTAAAACAGAAGCACATTTAGTACTTGCTTCCAAACACCCCTAATTTTTTTTAAGTATTTAAAACTAATTTTAATAATTATTTATATTTAATTTCGAAAATTAGTTATTAATTTAAATATTTTTAGAGTTCCTTAAATATAGGTAATTTAGATTTGATTTGATTTGATTAAAAATAATAAATCAGATATTAATTTAGATTTGATTTAAAGATTCTAATTTAAATAATTTTTATACTATTAAAATTTTTTATCAAAATATCTAGAATTTTTGAAAAAAAAATAATTCACATATGAAAAATAATGGTCATATTTGAAATATAAAACATTTATAATGATGTAAATGATATGATATTTATGTTGCTTATATAATATATTTACGATTATAATTTATTTACAAATTAATAATAAAATAATAGGTAAAATTCAAATATATAATTTAAATATTAAAAATATATTTTTAAAATTTATAGAACTAAAAATATATATAAAAATTGGGTTAAAAATATTTTAGTAACTAAAATCACTAATTTTGAATTATACATGTATATCGAAAATATATTTTTCATACAAAATAAAAACAGAAAAAATTAAAAATTATTGCATACACTCTATAATGTGGTTTGAAAAACCAGTTGTACATTCCTTTGTTGATTAAATTTTAGAAAACTATAATGCTAAATAATATTTTTAATACATCTCAAACTTTTAACAAATATTTATATTATACGGTAATATGAACGGAAAAGTTAGAATTATATTTTTATAATAGTTCATTTTGAATTAATATTAGCGGACGGTTTAATATTATATTTTTATAATTATAATTAATTTTAATCCTATAGAAATATATCTAAATACAAAAATCAATATTTTCACTTATTAAAAAATATATTTATAAAAATAATTATATCTAAAATCAAAAACACAAATTATATTACAAAATTCGTTAAACAATAAAAAATATTCCCGTACGGATGCACGGAGTTAGAATCTAGTTTTGACTTTAAAAGAGTCTTTAAATAATAGCGGTGCACATTTAATATATAATTAAAATCGAGGACCGACTACGAGGAATTACCAGAGGTACCCTTCGATATCCAGGCGGGTCTTTTGAGAGAGGTCGGGGTTATTTCCGTCATCTTGAGCATATAATGACGTGGGAGCGGAACAACGAGCTAAGGTTTTTTAAGTAGCTAACGTAACGGTCGTTTACGCAAAACAAAAATCACAGTCAATTGGTGACCGTCAAAGCTCATGTGTGTTTTTTTGTGGCATTTTTTGATACTATAAAAACGCTATTTACCATTTTTTCTGGGTTCAAATTTTATTCTCTCTCTGATCAAATCGAAATTTATTGGATTGTCAGTAAACCCTAGAATCAACTTTTGTCTGGGATTCGAATTCGATCTAGAATCATGACGACCGGAGATCTCGTCAATATCCATCCTACAGAGCTTAAGTTCCCTTGTAAGTTTTTCTTCTAATTTTTGTTTTTAATAATGATCCATGCGAATGAGTTTACGAGGAATCAAAATGATTTTGAATTTCAATACCGGTTGGCTCTCCATATCTGGTTGATGATTCTATAGTCTCTGTGGATCGAATTTGGTATTTTTGATTTGACGATTGATTTTGTTTGAACCGGTTGTTTCAATTGGTGAAGTTGAGTTGAAGAAGCAAAGCTCGTGTTCGATGCAATTGACCAACAAGACAGATAAAGTCGTCGCATTTAAGGTAAGAAAAGAAAGGTTTTTTGTTCGATTGCACTTGATCTGTTGATGATGTTTATTCTTAATTATTAAATTTTTTGTTTGGGTTTTCAATTTAAACACAACATAACAGGTTAAAACAACGAATCCTCGGAAATACTGTGTCCGTCCAAACACCGGCGTTGTCTTGCCCGGGGATTCCTGCAATGTTACAGGTTAGCTTGTTTCTTTTTTAAAAAAAATTCTAATTGAATCGAGAAACTCTCTGTTCAGCATATAGTATCGCTTGCTCCATCGATTTATTTCCTGATGATAGAAAGGCAACTTAATTATCTATAGTACGTTCTTGCTTGCTTGGCTCCATTTTTTTTTTTATTATTATTATTATTATTATTATTATTATTATTATTATTATTATTATTATTATTATTATGGATGAATTGTGTCTGGTTTCAGTGACGATGCAAGCCCAGAAAGAGGCACCTCTGGATATGCAATGCAAAGACAAGTTCCTTGTCCAGAGTGTTGTTGTCTCAGACGGCACAACTTCCAAAGACGTTCTCGCTGAAATGGTTTGACAGACTCAATGCTTTCTTTCTCATCAAGATTAGATTCCACTCTCAGGTCTTTTCTCTTCTCTTCTTTACATCAATTGTTTGTGCAGTTCCACAAGGAGAAGGGTCGAGTGATTGAGGATTTCAAATTGCGGGTTGTTTATATCCCTGCTAATCCTCCTTCACCTGTCCCAGAAGGATCTGAAGAAGGCAACTCTCCAAGGATTTCTGTCAACGAGACTGGCTCCCTAATAGATGACGTGGGATGATCTGCTTGCTTTGTAACCCCCAGAGAGAGAGAGAGAGAGAGATAGTTAAGAAAACTAATGTGTTATGTTCTTGTTTCAGGTGTCAAGAACGCTAGAAGAAACAAATGAGAAATCTTGCGAGGTAATGCTCGCAGTCTTGTCTTTTAAATTCTACATATATATATGTATCCTGTGGCTTCTGAGTTGTCTATCTCTAACATCACTGTGTCTGCTCAGGCATGGTCCATGATTTACAAATTGACGGAGGAGAAGACTAGTGCTATACAACAAAGTCAGAAGCTCCGAGAGGAACTGGTAAGGGTTTGCTGCACTAAGCGATCTTTTTGTTTAATCTCTTAATAAAGGAAAGGAATAATATAGATAATGTTGTGTATTCAGGAAATGCTGAGGAAAGAATCAAGCTTGAAGCAGTCAGGTGGTCATTCGTTGGTACTGATGCTGCTGGTGGGTCTACTCGGCTGCGTGATTGGCTACATCTTGAACCGGACATAAATAAGGAACGATATGGGGTTAGGCTTCATCATCATCATCATCATTTTAATCACCATTAAAAAATCTTGCAAAGCTTTTTTTTTAAAACACCAGAATTTCTTATGTTCTTTTCTTTGGGGGTTCCTTCATTGAAGCTGTAAAATCAGTAGTAGCTGTAGCACCGGGACGGGGGAGGGTGATTATGTGCAATATTTCTTTAAGATTGGTTAGAAGCCTGCCCAGTTAGAGTGTGTAGTAGTAAGATCTCAAAAGTCATTGTTACGATTGGAAGCAAATCAGTTTGATTAAGAATATACAGAGAAACTTGTTTGGAACTATTAAACCAAAAAAAAAAAAGATTCATCATACAAACCCCTAAAGGGGGGAGATTTAGGAAGAAAGTGAGTGAGATATGTTATGTTAGTCTTGTTGTGTGGGATTGGTCTTTGGCTTGCGGTATCTCTCTTCCATCTGCTTGGCCATGGAATAGCCAGCTTGAGCCACCTTTTCAACGTTTGGGACGTTGTAGCTCTGCGCTATGTAAATCCCGCACATGGTTCCGAAGATGAAGGAGAAGTAGCTTCTTATCAACCCCATTTTAAGTCCTTTCTTCTTCTTTTGTCAGAAAATTTAGAAAGCTTCGTGTTTCCCACTGGGTGGGTTTCTCGAATATAATTCATATTATATACATTACAGAGAGAGCTAGGTCTTTTATTGTTTATCCTTAACTTCTTCTCCAAGGCCCAAGAGGGTTTAATTAAAAGAAGGAAACAAATTAAACTTTTCCTCCAAGGATTTTTAGAGACTCTTCGTGTGATGATCCAACAGATATACATCTAATTTCACTATGTCGTTTTCGAATAAATAAACAACGATCGTATTTTAATTTTTATGAGGGCCGGGTCGGAAAACATTTGCATGATTTTTAAATTTCGATAAGAAGGCAAAAACGTATACCAGACGAGCGATAACACAAACAATTGGAGCCACAAATTAAAAAAACGATGATATTATTTAAATGCTCCTATAACAAAGAAAGAAAGATAGCAAACTAAAGGCCTCTCTTCTTCTTGCTTCTTTGGTATCCCATAGCTATAGATTATAGCTTCAAAAGAAAACTAAAAATGGCAATCTCAAAAGCTTGGCGATTGGTTGTCGTCTTGCTACTCCTCAACATAACATTGGGATCCTTGTGTCAAGCCGCCAAGGAGTGCCCTCCAGCTCCCACAAAACAAGCCTCCATGAAATGTCCGAGAGACACGGTCAAGTTTGGAGTGTGTGGGAGCTGGTTAGGTCTGGTTTATGAGGTCATCGGTACACCGCCAAGCCAAGAGTGTTGCTCACTCGTCAAAGGTTTGGCTGATTTTGAAGCCGCCGTCTGTCTTTGCACCGCCCTTAAAACCAGCCTTGTCGGAGTCGCTCCGGTCAAGATTCCTGTTGCTCTCACTTTGCTTCTCAACTCTTGCGGCAAGACTCTTCCTCAGGGATTCGTCTGTTGATCTTTCAACCAAAATTGTTATCTTCTTTCTATTTATTTGTTGTAATCCACCATATTCTTGCTTATTCATGATGCTTCTCTTGATTTAATGCGATTTACTTTGATTTAAACATCTAAATCGACGAAAGTCAATAAATCCAAAGAGGATAAACTTTTTAGGAGGGAAATAGTCAGTCTATTCTTTCATATCGAGAGAGATTGCAATTTCCCAAATAAAACTAAAGTCCATCTCCGATGGGATGTTTATTTCATTATCGCCTTTGAAGTTTTTGGATGCAACTGTTAGGTAGGATTCTACCTCCGCTCTGATGCTGGTCCGGCTCATTGGGCCTAATAATTTTCCCATTTGCTGGAGTATAAATATTTATAAAGGGTTTGTAATTTGGGCTTTTTTTTAAATAAAAAAGCATAAAATTTTTAAAGTCTTCAAATATTATTGATTAAGTTGACATAACGATCAAACGAATTAGTAATTTTAAAACATTCAGCTTAATAAAATATAATTGTTTTTCTTTTTAAGTTATGAAACTTACCTATTAAAATTTAATTTGTTTTTATTTATTTTGGAAAATTACAATTAGAATGACAATAAGATATGATAGTATTAGAGTAATTACTCGATCACAAAGTATTGTCAACATTCGATCACAAAGTATTCTCATCATTCGATTACAAAGTATTGTCAACATTCGATCACAAAAGTATTGCCATAATAAAATGTGAATTCAGATTAGATTAAGGGTATGGATGAATGATTAGAAAATATGAAAACAATCCTTTTTTGTCGAAATGAAAACATACTTTAAAAAAAAAAAATAAGGAATAGAATAGTTAGGGAGGAAAAATGTCCTTACCAACTTTCTGTTGTGGTAATTGTTAATGCCTTTCCGCCGATCTTGGCTGATTTATTTAATCATAATTATTAGTATTACTTTGGGTCTAATGCGATAGCCGATAGAACAAAACTCCCATCAGTCACATGTGATCTCCTAGTAATAATTGATCAACTTTCGTGTAATCTAATCATTATCCTAAAATGTAATACAAAATGAACGAAGCAATCATTTATATAGTTACATGCATACAAACTCTAACACGTCATCCTTTATAAAAATAATTGTTTGACAGGGTTAATCTATTTAGCTGACTTTGTTCCCCCCTCTAATGATGGCAAATATCATTATTCTTTTCATACAAACCCGAATTTTAGGAGGATCAACAAGCTGAAATCTTTTTCTCATTTTTAAAAATGATTAAAGGGTGCATAAATGTAATATTTAATTATCAGAACTATGGTGGGATTGAGTGGGGTTGGGTGGTTGCTTGTGGTGAAGGGTGCCTTGAGACAAGAGAAAAGAACATGTTTTCACCACTTACTTCATCCCCACGAAGCAAACCCATATATTCATGTATCATATACGTATACATACATAGTCCAATATATCCAATTTGATAAATATTTCATAGAATAAGCAAGTTAATACGTATCATTGTACATCCACTGTCTATGCAAACTTGAAAATGTGCCGATGTATTATGTACATCCTTTGGTTGATCGATGTACCTAAAACTCAGTTATTCACACTATTGTGCATAACACATTGATATTTTGAAGGGTTTATAGGGAAGGAAGTATAATCACGAGATGATTTCGAGATCTATAACAATAATCATATAAGAGATCAGAAAAGTGTGAGAAGTAGTAGTTAGCAAATCACATGGGAACATGGAGATAACTTCAGGTTTATTTCCTATAGTATATATTTCAAAAAAAGTGAACATTTTCTTATTGTTACAAAGTAAATTAATCATCATCAAACAGTTTGTGGTATTAAACAAGTGGCTATCGTATCATATATATGGTGCCAAACAATATTTTGCTAAAATTTGCATATACCAAATATTTAGAGTCTGATACAATATGATTCGTATTAACTAAGTCTTTTGCATATGAAACTAAATGCTAATTTTTTTTTTTTCATTTACACAACAATGAAACATAAGCAACATATAGTCGCTATTCATTACAAGATTGGTCCGACTTTGTCTTCGAGATCAAACCACCCACTTCGTTTTTTGGTTGTTTCTGATTGCATTATTCATTTTTGGTAGATATATGGTGATTGGTGACTTGCTGCATTCATCCATTGTCTGCTCAATAAAGGACTATTTCCCCCTTTCTCTCTCGATCTCTCGTGCATTTAACTTGTCACATAAGAAACATATTTCACAGATTTTCAATCACTTTTTCCCCCTAAATAAAGATAGACCACATTAAGTAGACTATATATATACACGTAAATATATAATTCTCTTTTTAACCAGTACATGAATGTTTCATAGATATTGGGTAATAGATATAGATATAATTCTCTTTATAGCCATTATATGAATGTTTGGAACGAGCATTCATTTCGTAAAACAACAAAATCAAACAGATATTTTAATGTAATTCCAAGATATACATTCACCACTTGATTTATATTTATGAATCTAAATTAATGTCCGTAGCACACACAAAAAAAAAAACAAATGTAAGCAATCGGATGTGTGGTTTAGCTTCAACAATGGATTGGCTGATTTGATTGGTTTCATTTGATAAATTATCCAAAAGCTTGCCCCGGCGCTAAAACCTCCAATTGAGGACAGAGATCACGCAAAGGGAAAAAAACAACAGCACCTTTGAGATAAAATAAAAAATAAAAATTCCAAATATAGTTTGTAAGCCACAAAGTTTTAATCATAAAGGAAAAGTATAAGAAAACAAAATAAACTCCAATGTATGACATAAAAATAAAAAGGACAACATCAAAATATGGAAATTTTGGTCATGGTTTTTATTAAAAAAACTAACTCATTAAGGAAAATCATCCGTGGCAACACTTGCCAAAAAGAAAAAAAAAAATAAAAAGAAACGTGGTGGTCTAAAGTCGTAGCCACGCGTTGCTTTGTCTAAAGAACAGTATCTAAGCCCCCACTTCGAAAACCAGTATGGTTCAGACAATGTTTAAAGTGAAATTACGCAAGAACCCTTTCTTTAACCCAACGATCAAGATTAGAAAAACTCTGTTACGTTAATTTCTCATTAACATTATTGATCGAAAAAGAAATTAGTCATCAAGACAGTGTTTAGGCCAACTTTGAAGACGAGTGCTATTTGTAGAAGTGAAATTTCACAAAAGGCAAAATGAATATATACATAAAAAAGGTAGAAGTCACTCTTTCCAAATTCAATGTGTATATGATTTTTTAAAAATTAGCAGTAAAAGGAGTTGGTGAGACACGCGCGTTGTGAAAGAGTGGGGGTGGAATGCAAGACACAGAGATTAAGAAAGTAGAGATTGTTAAGCTTAACATTGTCAGAAAGAGAGAGAAGCTGATAATAGTTGTTAAACGGAAAAGAAGAGAGAGAGAGAGGTTGTCAAAAAAAAAAAAAAAAGAGAGAGAGAGAGAAGATGAAGCGCACTTTGCCACTTTAATTTCTTGCACGCATCCATCCCAATCGTATATACCACACAGCTTCAACAACAACAACTCAAAGAAGAAGAAGAAGAAGAAGAAGAAGAGAAGAGTTTGAGAGAGATTATTAGATTTGTGTAGAGTTTGTACAAAAGTGTGCAATGCCCTTACCCTTTGAAGAGTTTCAAGGGAAAGTGATTTCTTATTTCTCTTCTTCTTTTTACGAAAAAGAGGAGGAGCTTCTTCTTCTTCCCTTCTCCTCGGAGCCCACCTCTGTTCTCAGCCCCCTCACTACCTCCTCCTCCACGGTGTCTTCTTCTCACGGCGGTCACAGCGCCGTCGGGGCCGCCATCTCCGGCGACGCCACCACCGATGAGCAATGCGGTCGGATGGGACTGCCCGGGGATTGGGAACAAGCGCTTCCGGGCGACCAGGACCAGGACCAGAGCATCCTCAGGCTCATCATGGGAGGAGATTCCCAAGAAGATCCGTCCCTCGAATTGAACAACATTCTCCAGACTTGTTCCTCCTCCTCCTCCCAGTCTCCCGCCTTTCACCACCATTCCGCCGATTACACGTCCCTCGGCTTCGGTCTCGTCGATACCGGGTTCGGCTTAGACCACTCGTTGTTTTCCGAGGAGGAGAAGCCGCCGCCGCCTCCTCCCCCGCTCCTAATCCACCAGAGCCAGGCTCATTTCACTCAGAGCCCGGCCATCTTCTACGGCCAGCATCCTCCTCCGGCGAAGCGGCTCAACCAAGGCCCTCCCGTGAGCAAACAGGGGGTGATAACCGAACAGCTGCTCAAGGCGGCGGAGGTGATAGAGAGCGGCGGCGACACGTGTCTGGCTCAGGGGATATTGGCGCGGCTCAATCAACAGCTCTCTTCTCCCGTAGGAGGAAATAAGCCTTTCGAGAGAGCAGCTTTCTACTTCAAAGAGGCTCTCCACAATCTCCTCCTCCACAACAACAACAACAACAACAACGCCTCACAAACCTTAAACCCTTACTCCCTCATCTTCAAGATCGCCGCCTACAAATCCTTCTCCGAGATCTCTCCCGTTCTCCAGTTCACCAACTTCACCTCCAATCAAGCCCTCCTCGAGTCCTTCCAAGGATTTTATCGCCTCCACATCGTCGATTTCGACATCGGCTACGGTGGCCAATGGGCCTCCCTCATGCAGGAGCTCGTCCTCCGCGACAATAACAACAAAGGTCCTCCCCTCTCCCTCAAAATCACCGTCTTCGCTTCTCCGGCCTCCCACGACGACCAGCTCGAACTCGGCTTCACTCAGGACAACCTCAAGCACTTGGCCTCCGAGATCAACATCTCCCTCGACATCCAAGTTCTTAGCTTTGACCTCCTCGCCTCTGTCTCCTGGCCCCACTCCTCCGACAAAGAAGCCGTCGCCGTCAATCTCTCCGCCGCATCCTTCTCTGACATGCCTTCGCACCTCCCTCTTCTCCTCCGTTTCGTCAAGCACCTCTCTCCGACCATCATCGTCTGCTCCGACAGAGGATGCGAGAGGACGGATCTGCCCTTCCCGCAGCAGCTCCTCCACTCCCTGCACTCCCACGCCGCCCTCCTCGAATCACTCGACGCCGTCAACGCCAACCTCGACGCTCTGCAGAAGATCGAGAGGTTTCTCATACAGCCCGAGATTGAGAAGCTGGTCTCGAATCGTAGCCGCCCGATCGAGAGACCGATGATGACGTGGCAAGCCATGCTCCTGCAGATGGGGTTCTCGCCGGTGACGCACAGCAACTTCACCGAGTCTCAGGCAGAGTGTTTGGTTCAACGGACGCCGGTGAGAGGCTTTCACGTCGAGAAGAAACATAACTCTCTTCTTCTCTGTTGGCAAAGGACTGAACTCGTCGGAGTTTCCGCCTGGAGATGTCGCTCCTGACTCCGCCGGAGATATTTCTCACAACCTGCTTCTTCTTTCTTCTTTCTTTTTTTTTATATGATTATTATTTAAAAATAGTATATTCTTAATTGTTAAATTTATTACCGAATGACATATTTTCACATACTTTTGCTCGGTCTCAGTGCGATTTATTTTAATTTGGCATTTTTTATACGTTCACAGAGTATATAAAAATTTCTGAGTAATTAATTGTCTGAGTAATTATTTATTAAACACTTATATATGACAAATCCAATGCCATTGTGGGGATTCATTAGTTTTTTGTCGTCATGATAGAATGCTTGGTTAGCTCAATAAGTTTTTTTTTTTTCCTTTCTTTTTGGTGGTGACAGAGTGATTAAAAATAAATGGGTGATGATTTTGATGCGAGGCAGAAAGCTACTGCTCATTATTGTGATTAAATGATTATATAATGCTTAGAGTTTGTTGTGGTTTGTGTCTTTGTGAGGGTCTCTTTTATATATAAACATATGTCTCCATGATGTCACATGGGTTTTCCTAATACATATTATACATATTGTTAAAAATTATTTGGTCCACAATACATTTTTCATTTTTGTGTGCGCCGTTTCTAGCTTTTTTATCCGATGAAAGGAAACAAAGGTTTACTTTTTCTTTTAAATGGTCCATACATACGCATTACATAATGCAGCCATTGCTTTACACATTAATTACATTTCTCTAGATGTCAGTTCGGATGATAGTATATATTTTCTCCGTTTTACAATAAATACTAACTAAAGTTTTTACATACTGTACATATTAAAAAATACATAATTGTTCGTTTTTAAAGGAAAACATTATTTACTCTTAACATAATTTAATTTGGTATTGAAAATTGAAAACATCATATAATTTAACATTATTTATTTTCCTAAAATATTATCTGTTATAACACAAAGGAAATATATGTTTTGACGTTACATCTTATTTGCTAATAGCTAAATAAAGATCAGATTCATCCTGAAAAAAAAAATAGTCCATAATTGAATTACAAACGTGTGAAAAAATTGATCTCGTATTTTTGTGTAATTTGTTTGTAAGAAACATAGAGGAATCAACGAAAAAAAATGACTTCTGAGATAAGAAAACTCATCCAACAAGGATGAAAACATTGGTCAATCCTCTTGATTTTCTAACATCTTCAACAATTTTAAACAATCAAATTCGAGTACCACCGAGCATAGCATGAATATAAACATGACACAAAAACATCTTATAGAGCTTCTAAACCTAAGAAACCGATCGAATACCATTACCATCGTAAAGAACCCATCCAAAATCACAAATAGTTCATTCCTTTTGCCAAGATCCATAAACTTGGCAGAAAGCAACACTAGGATACATTCTCAAAGCGGTCTAAATCTTTGGCTTCATCAAAAGCTTCAACCATATATTTGCTAAACTTTGTTTGTCTGATTTTCGGATAACCTTTTTTCAAGTATCTTTAGACATTGTGAATTTTAACATTGAAACCAAAACGCTTCTGGTCTTGAAAAAAAAAAATCACAATATTCATGAAAAAACAACAGTATGTCTATCCTCAATTCTTAATCAAACAAATAAATCAAAATTCTTATAAATGAAGGTCCTGGAAAACAGTATCATTGGGAAAAGAAAACCGAGATAACCCAAACTTGCAATAACAAAAAATATTTGTATAAACATTATTTATTGTTTCCACTTCAACACAACACCAGAACATCTTCTATAAAAACAAACGAAATGTACATGTTTCTATAACTCTTTGGCTAAATAATCAAAGTAAATACCGTTCCACTGTTCTAGAAATGAGAAGAGATGATTAAACGGAGAAATACGAGAATTATAAGAAAATTGCAGTAGTGAGAAACGACAAGAAGCCCTAAGGTTAAGGTATTGTCTCTTGTGCAATAAACGTTGGTTGGAGACAGTTAATTGAATAGTTGACAGATAAGCCGTGTTTTCAAGTAGAAGAAGGGTCGTGATCGGTGGTCAATCTACACGTGTACGGCACACATGTGTCGTTTCTCTGTGCGAGATGATCAATAAAATGGACGATCAAAGCATCGCGTAAGACCAAAACCTGCATCAGTGCCAGCGTGGAAGAACACAACGAAGCCATCGTCACGCGCGCTCGGCTCCACTAAGTTTAAAGACTAGGTAGGTTTTGGTGGTTATCATCACATTTCGTAGGTTAAAATGCTAACCGTTGATTAAAAATTGGCCAGTGAGTAAATGTTGGCTGGTCCAGACGAGGTCTCGCAAATCTATTACTTAAGGAACTACGAGGTTTTGATCATTGATGTATATCACTCACTAAGATCGAATCTCATAATAACTACTTAACACTTCGTATATAAAACATTCAATATTATATAGTTCGTTATTAGGAAATCATTATTATATCATTTATATGGCATTAGGAAGTTTCAGCCTCCACGTGGATTACACTCACTTCCTGTATAGATAGATATACGATACGACAATTTGTAAATCTGATATAATAGTTTGCATTTTCTTTTTTGAGTTTACGGTCAAAACCATTCTCAAATAGAAAAATAAAATTAAGAAATTAATACTTTGTGTTTTCCTTCGCATAACTGGCGAAGTAACAAGCTCAAACTTCTCAATCCTATTTGTTTGTCCTCCTACATGTCTCGTCTCCATAGACTGTTGTTTTATGACTGCAACTTTGACTCAAAGTTATATAAATATGAGTTCTAGAGATCAATAAAAAAAAACCTTTTTTTCCTCTGTTTTACAACAAAATTTACTTGTGTTTACGTGTGTGTGTGTATTTTTTCAATCACATATAACCTTTTTTAAAAAGAATTTATTTTGTGCATTTTTAGATGGCACATATACTACACATATATTCTATTTTAAGGAAGATTTAAAATTTAGTCAGTTTATCGATTTTTTGCATTTGCGTAAATGAATATTAATTATTTTCTGTATTGTTTCAAATTTATTGGCTGTCCTTGAAGAGATGTGGAACATCTTTTTTTAATACGGAGGGCTAAAAAAATTATAAAGCTATCAACCTTTCTCTCCTTTTTTTTTTATGTTCTTTCCTTGTGTTTAATCTTTTAACTTAAGAACAATATGTGTGAAATGGAATCAGGAAATATATGATATTTGGCGGTTCATTGCTTATAAAAGTTTTTTTTTTTTTTTTTTTGCCTATAAAAAGTAAAATGATGATAAAATACGCAACTTTTATGTTTTGTTGTCCTTTAATTAATTATATGTTTTTTTATCTTTTAGACACAGCAAGTACTTTTGTCTCGAAGAAGACTCTCCGATGAGTTAGGAAGATTTTGATTTTGCTATGATCAGACTTTAACTAACATTTGTATAACTTCCATCTTCCCACCTTTTTGTTCATAATTTATTTAAAGTTGTCAATTATTTATTTATAAGTGCAAAGTCATGTTTGCTACAAATATCGCTAAGTTATGAGATGTGTTTATATGTATATGATCCCAACAATTAATTTCTAAACGTTGGCAATTGTCAATATGTATATGATCCCAGCAATTGTTTAATTATTTAAAATAATTAACGTCACGTAAAAACATACTCAGATTAAAAACCATAACAAAGTCTACAATGATAATTTTACTAATACAAAACGTACTTTTGAAGATATGTAAAATTTGGAAACATTTAATTTGACACAAAGAGTATCTAGAGAATAATCGATAATGTGAAAAGTGTGTGGTTCACTAACACAAAAGTAATAGTTATATATACTAATAAGGTAGGAGCAAGGGTCACTGAAATTGATGGATGTGTTTTTGTGTGCATAACAAAAGCTAAATATGAATATGTTTTTTTTTTATTATTGCAAAATTCTTTTTTTACTTTGTTTATTTATCAATAACTTAATCTAAGTAATGAGACAAGCTTTTGATTCAATTTTCACCATCTTTCAATCTCTATCTTACCTTTTGTAGATGCCAAACTTGCCCACCATATCTTCTCCTCAACCTCTCACTTTAGTACTTTACACAAGTGATTGTTCTATTAATTTCAGTAAACAAGATATACTCAAATTCAAGATTCAACGTATGACCGTCATAATGGAATCATTTATCAAGTTTTAGATCAAATATGTTTATCTCAATTTCTAAGTTTGTCTTTATATATAGCTGAAATAGTTAAGACGTATATGCTTAATTCACTGCAACTTTTTTTAATCTAATTCCACATATATCCTTGAAAATCAGTTACATGTTTTGATTCTTATCTTTTATCTTCTGTGTTTCTCTTTTTGTCTTGCTTTATCCATTTAAAAGTCAAGTCAGCTTAGAAACAACGCGGTATTTCCATCCCCACTAGTGTATATTTTTATTTTTATTTTCCTTTGGTTGATATGAGAGAAACAAACATTGACGAGAAAATAAGAAATTTTCTTAACAAAAAAAAAAACAAAGAAAAAGGAGAAAGTTGGTGTAGGGCCGTATAATATAGCCAATGACACGTTTCACACCATTTGCATTGCGCTCTTTCTCTTTCGCTCTCTTTTTTTCGTAATAATAACAACTGAAAGGTGGAAACTTTCTTCATCTGTATGGATGGTCTAAGGGCTTAACAAAATAATGTGAAGACTTAATTGGGCTTTTTGAAACGAAATCTTATTATGGGCCAAGTTAAAAGCCTAACTTAAACGATCGTCCAAGTAGTAGAGGAGACTCGAGGCGGCAAAATCAACCATCAAGTCTGCAAATCCCTAGAAAAGAAATTCGATTTTCAAGGGATAAAATCGATGTCCGGCGGCGAGGGATCGGAGTCGGAGTCGGAGTCGGAGTCGGAGGAGAGAGTTAAATACGAACCGAAGGGAAAGGTGTCGGAATATGAGAAGCAGAGGTTCTCAAGGATCGCGGAGAACAAAGCGAGATTGGAAGCTCTGGGCATCTCTAAAGCCGCCAGGGCAATTATGGGTTCGAGAAAACGCAGAGGAAAACCAAATTCCGATGAAGAAGACGATGATTATAGACCGGGCGAGGCTGCTGGTGACGAGGAAGAAGAATTCGAAGATAGTGAATATGATGAAGAAGACGAGGGGAATTCAAGCTCTGTTTCCCGTAAAACAAAGGTAAAAATCTTTTTGCTTGTTTCTCTTAAATAGATTAAGGCCCTGCATTCTCATCTATGAAATTTTGGATTGTTCTTTCTTAACACTGTTGTTGTTACTTTGAGTTGAAGAGCAAGAAGAGAGTCCTATCTTTGAATAGATCAGGCCGCATTAGAGAGGATGATGACCTAAAGAAGGTATTGGAACTGACATTAGTCTGTAACTTGAAAGCTATTGAGAAAAATGAACATTTTTGTATTTTGTTCCAATTTTTTTGACTGCTGCAGGCAATAGCGCTTTCTCTACAGGACTCTGAAGCAGCAGCAGCAGGAGGCTCTCGTAATTCCCCTGCCAAGAAAAGGAGAAGCCATCAAGAGGCAACAAGCTGGAATAAGAACAAACCGGTTTGTTTTGTTTTTATGAAATCAAATATTACTGGTGGAGGGAGGAGGGTGCTTGTTTTCACTAAGCAAGATGCATTGGTGTTGTTGTTGTGATGATATGTAGGAGTTGATGATGAGCAAGATGCAGATGACAGAAGATGAATTCGTCATTTACTTCTATCATTTTGATGGTAATATCTGTCAGATATTTATATATGTATGTATTGCCTTTATGCTATCTATATATATATATACTGGATCGATTTTTGTAAATTAATGCAGAAGCAGGAAAAGGTTTCATTACTCTGAGAGATGTGACGAAAATGGCCACGGTGCATGATTTCACATGGACTGACGAGGAATTACAAGACATGATTCGTTGCTTTGACATGGATAAAGACGGAAAGGTGGGTACTTTGTTGAACCCTTTTTTTTTTAAAAAAACGTTTATTTTGTAATTAGAAGAAACTTAATTTAATTGATGCTAAACATATTATCAAATTTTTTTTTTTATGTATTTTGGGTTTCAGCTAAGCTTGGATGAGTTCAGGAAGATTGTTACGCGATGTCGCATGTTGAAAGAATCTTGATTGTATTTTAGGATGTGATTTTGGAACATTCTACATGTATGAAAACATCATTTTGTTCCTTCTTTTGACAAGTCAACATAAATTATGTTTCTTTTTTTTTTGATGTTAATTTTATAATAAAAAACTAAAAGGAGTACTCCAAATTTACATCAAACCCGAAAGATTTATAGGCAGAACAGAGCAAAATAATTCCTTTGAAGCCAAAAAAAAAAAAAAAAAATCCCATAAGGTTAGTGAATGATCTCCGAAGAGAATCTGCGGCGATTGTGTTCACGTCAAGGTTTTAAAACATAAATGATGTTTGTGTTCTCTATCGATTTAAAATTGTGTACTGCAAGTAGAAAGTGGAATTTATAAACTTTCCCGCACAACATACGTATTGGACTGGAGGAAGCAAAAGAGAAACATCCGAAAAGAACTGAGGCAAAGTGAATGTGGCTCGATGAGATTGTTGTCCATGGTGGGTTGGTTGATGAAAATATGAGTCTTGGCTCTGCTTCATGTCTAAAGGCTCCGCATTCAACACACACAAAAAAAGGCCATCGTCATCAACACCACAATTTGTATCATGATATATTCTCCACCTATCACGTCATTTGATTTTCTGTGGAATTTCACTTGATTTTCTCTAGGTTTTATTGTGTTAGGCCGTTGGAGGCCTTGTCCATAAGCTCTAGCTATTTAAAGCTCATTTTGTTTTCTTCGCTATTCACCAAGTATCTTAATACAAACACTTTTCATTTGCTTTGCAAAAACTAGCTTGTGTTGTGAAATCAAATTTTATCTCTGATCTTCTCTTGTTTAGTGTGGTTTCCCCTTAATGGTCAGAAGCTATTTTGAGTCTCAACTTCCTTGCGTCCTTGTCCATTGGATTAGATAATCGAGTACATATCTCATATTCATTTCAATTTTGTGAAGTGTCCATCATTCACACTTTCACCTCTTCCGCATCAAAACCATTGAATGTGTCTCATTGAGTGTGTTTGCATTTGTGCTTCCTCGTGTCTACATCAATATTTTATAAATATATTATTATGATTTACGGATATATAAGAGTCAAGTAGGATAGATAATCACTTGTTACATCTATTTATGACTATGAAAAGTCACTATTAAATTAATTTTTACTTTAATTTTTGACATGAATTCCCCCCCCCCCCCAAACATGCAGTATTTCAAGTCATTTAACTTAAATATTCAGAAGACGTAATTGTTTCTCTCTTTACACACTAAGGAAGAGTACATCAGTCTATTACATCAGAGTAAATAGAGCATATATAAGATACTTTTTTGGTATAAGATCATCACATTGATTTCCGCTCTCCCTAGAAATCCAAAAAGTTAGCTTCACAACCTTTGCCCAATATCTAACTTGTGAAGGTCTTTAGTCTCGGTCAGGATGCTAGTTCTTTAATCGCATGTATCAGAACGTTGGAGCCACTTTCAAAGGATACATTTTCAGAACCCAACTTGTTGACACAAACCATATATAGCCGAGTGTAGAACATGGTAAAATTTGGCTCTAAACCACCTCACATTTCCCATTTTATCCTTTATGATCCTAGCTAGCTATACCACTCTGTAATGACTCAGAGGACCACGGCACACATCAACATTACATTTGAAGGTACTTTTAGGGTGAAGCCTCCATATATCTGATGTCAGTATAATTGTTTATGTGAGTTCTTAACTACCCTCCTAAAAAAATGTTAGATGTTGAATAATTTTTTTTTTTTTTTTTTTGGCTACTATTCCATCTGTTTTTATTTTTCTAACTTCTGTTGACACCATAGACCAAAATGTCACCATTTTGTTGTCTCTCATTGTAAGAATTACTCCAATTGTAAGTGTTATATAGCTAATTAAAAGGACGAAAGTAAAGAGATTGTAATTGATGTTGCATATATAGTGTATATAGTTGATGATGAATTTTTGGCAAGTATGAACATTGCATGAAACGGGTCTAATTTTTCTTCAACGCATTAAGCCGGCAATGAGGTGAGGTATCTCCATTTATATTCTTATCTTACCAGATCAATTAATCGATTTCATACCTATCACATGAATGTAAATATAGAAATTTCGTGTGGAAAACGACATGTACACGGCATCTCAAGACCAATTAGTGATATATTTTAGTGATGATTATATGTTTACTATCCAATAAGAATTAAATCATCGACAATTACCTTAATGTCGAAGAAGTCGTCCCCACTCCGTTTAATGAGTTATGGAGGAGAGATCGCGTAAATTGTCAAAAAAAAAAAAAAACTCCGAACTAGAAATCGACATCATATATCATTAAAAAAAAAACGTTGGACAAGTCATTTATCGTATACAGCTCATATTTCCTAAGATCAAATCAAGACCGTTGAAAGGGGTTATAAGAAAATGCTGAAGAAACCGTGGGCTTTAGAAGAAAGACAAGAAAGAAAAGAACAATGATGTTAAGTTGCCTATTTTGGTGTATAGGACTTGTCAAAAGAGGGGAGAGAGAGAGAGGGAGGAGAAAATTAGGTCAAAATAATGAGCACTAAAAATGGTGACATGTGTTGAGTAACTATTACAAGAGCGACTTATGCTTCCATATGGCAATGATATCCTTACTAAAGTGCAATGCTCCTTTTTGCCCTAATTTCGTAAAGTCTCTCTCCTTCTTCGTCCTTAGGAAAAACCCTAAATTAAATCCCTTGTTCTTGATCTTGTTTTTTGAGTAACCATGATTTTGACCACACACTATTTCTTCTATCTTTTGTGGTCTATAGGATTTTGCTTTATATGTGGTTTCATGTATTGCTCCGTACGTACGTATACAAATTTAAATGGTTACAACAAGGTTTATATAAACAAGCACAAATTAGTCCATGGAATAAGTTTGCACATAAGGTAGAAATATATTGAGTCTTTAAACGGAAATATATAAATTTGCAGCAACACTTCACTTTAATGATCTGATTATATTTTCCTTAATTTCCTTTGCCAACACGTACGGATTTTTGGGCAAGTTTTTGTCGAACTCATAATTTGAGACAACACTTCAACTAAGTTATAGGAAATACTCTCAAATCATAATTTAATATAAAAATTTGTCTAATTAATAGTATTGAACAAAACTTAGAATTAATTTGTTGGTTAACATATTAGTTTTTTATAGTAAAATTAGGATAAACTACTCATGATAGATATATGTAAAAAGTTATTTTGCTAGATCTGACAACTTTTGTATTATCTCAATGCTAGTTACACTAATTATTTTGTCTTAATTTTTTGAAACACTCGATTTGATAATATTTATTTTTTCCATGTACAAGGTTTTGATAATAATCCGTTCACTTGATATATCTCAAAGTGTATAAAGTTATTTGTTAACTTCTACGAGATAAAGATTTTTAGCCGGTAGTAGTCTTAGATTAGGGTGATGTTAGGATATTGGTGAATCAAAATACTTGAACAACTACTCGGAAGTTGGAAATACTTACTAATTTTTTTTTATTGTCTAGAACACACAAAATAACTATATGCTTTTAGTTCGCAATATACAGACCACAGGACACAAACCACTTAGAGCTCAATATATAGAACACAATTAAACCCAAGATGAAGCAAGTTTGAACTTTAGTAGACACCAGACATCTCAATATGAAGCAAGTTTGAAATTCTTGCATACACGACCCTACAAAAAGTTGAATACGCATTGTGGAAACTGAAACACAATAGTTTTATATATGATGTAAAAACACTAATCTTTTGGTTGTGATAAAAAAAAAAAAAGCTTTTTACAAATGTTCTTTTGATTAGTCCAAGCACATTTTACCTGGATAATGTATACTTCACCCATTGTACTTCATTCATATAATAGTGCGACGGATACACAATATATCGTACATTGACATGGTGCTTGAAAGATGAAGTTAATTAATTGATCGAGGCAAGGAAGACAGTAAATACAGAGAGGCTAATTTTCGCAAATATATTTAAATTATGAAATAAGAAGAGATGAAAATAGAAGAAATTGTTATGTATATAAAGAAAGGTCTACGCGTCTCTTGTCCAAAAACTTAAAATGTCTGGCTCAAAAGCAGATCCAGCCATAGCCCCAATAGTCATGATGGAGCCTCAACCTCAGGCTCATCATCTCCTCATGAATTGGAACAAACCTAACGATCTATTCACACAAGAATACTCCTTTCTCAACGATCCTCATCATTTCATCATAGACCCACCTCCTGAAACCCTAAGTCACATCCAGTCCCCGCCGACACTTTTCTCCGGTCACGGAGGAGGAGTAGAAGAAAAGGAAGAAGATGAAGAAGAAGAGGAGGAGGAAGAGATAGATGCGATGAAGGAGATGCAGTACACGATCGCTGCCATGCAGCCAGTGGACATTGATCCAGCCACCGTCCCTAAGCCGAACCGCCGTAACGTAAGGGTAAGCGACGACCCTCAGACGGTGGTGGCTCGTCGGCGTCGAGAAAGAATAAGCGAGAAGATCCGAATATTGAAGAGGATGGTGCCAGGCGGTGCAAAGATGGACACAGCCTCTATGCTCGACGAAGCCATCCGTTATACCAAGTTCTTGAAACGGCAGGTGAAGCTTCTTCAGCCTCACGCTCAGCTTGGAGCTCCTATGTCTGATCCCTCTTGCCTTTTTTATTGCCACAACTCCCAAACCTAACTCTGTTTTCATGCTGCTCATGCTTATATATTATATATACATATAGACGCAATATGGTTCAATAAGGATTTCGATCGACGATTGTATGGCTATTGTATAAGACAATTAATTAATTCATGAGGTGTGGCTTTATATTGTTATATCATATGATATATATATATATATATTTGTTGTTGAATAATGGTTTTGATGCATTCCTTTATATGGAGGTAATACGGGTTAGGGCTTTGATAGTTTGCAAGTTTTCCGACCAACAATATATATATATATATATATAGAATGTCTCATCAACGCCAAATGCTATCTTCAAAAGAATCGACCGACTTGTCCGAGATGCGATCCACGGCAAGAGGAAAAGTAAAGCTTTTAGAGACCTAATGCAATCATGCCTCGCTTATGAGTAAACTGGTTTATGAAGTTATGTATAGTCTTATCAAGGATTGACCTTGTTTTTTATTCTTTTTTGCCAAGGCTTCTTCTATTTGCTCAATCCTTTTGTAATTTTCACAAACTTTCTCATTTTGAATGAAATTCAAATGCTTAGCCAAAAAAAAATACAATATATACAGAAAATACCTGTCTGAGTGTAAATTTATAAATTGTATGAATTGAGTGCAGTTTCTACATACTATATATATATATATACTGCAATGTTTTTCGTTTGGTATAAGAATTTCCAAAGGACCAAGTGTTTCTCCGATTCCTGATACAATTGTAGCTACGGAAACGATAAAGAGAGAAGAATAAAATCGTCCTTATTACAAATTAATTAACCACTAAATGAATTTCTAATTTAAAAGGTTTATTTATCAGAAGATCACAACACCATAAAGGACTCTAATTAAACTCTAATCAATTTTATCTAGAATAGAAATTTCATATATGTAGTATATTATAAATGTAGCAATCAGAATAAGAACAAAAAGCTATTTAATTATCTTAAATCTATATAGTGCATCAATATGCTCATTCATTTGATCGGGAAAGAATTTATATGGAATGGATTATGAAATGAATGTATCTAGTTGAATAACAAAGTCGAGTACAAAGAAAGTGTGTTGCCATCAGAGATTTCAGCGAGAGTGAGCATTAAAACAGGACAGGCCACCGATACGGTGTGGACAGTTTTGGAGTAAGTGCACTGCCCGATGTGCTCTACAAGAAATTTGGACTCACCGTCGAAGCAGTTGTTGCAGCCGTCAAGGACCTTTGCTAAGCTATTACGTATTTGCCAAGACCATTTTCGACCTTTGTGTTTATTAAGTGTCTTTTTTCACACGTAACTCACTCACTAGTCTATAAATAAAACAATAAAAATGGAAAATTAAACTGAATATTTGAATGAAACTGAGCCTAACTGAGCTTAAAGATTAATTACTCTTTTGTTCTTGTGTATTATTAAGTTTTAAATTATTCATACCTTTTTAGAAATATAGTAAAAAAATTATCTATCGTTAGAGTTCCACGTGACGATCTTGGGTTGCACCAACATGTATTTGTGTGCGTAATTTTGTATTTTATAGATGCGGGCAAACATATATGGATACTATAAAGTGCATCGAATTTGATGAACCAATTATATTGATTAATGATTCGAAAATTTGTTATCTTTTACGGTCAGATAGATATTATTAGGAATAACAGTAATGCTAGCTGTAACCATTTCGAGAAGAGGAAAAAAAAAGACATCTTTCACATATTAAATTTTCCTGGAGAGTGATCAAAGCATCATTGATTCGAAAAGCAATCTAAATTAAGAAGATAACTAAGTAAAGTTAATCGCTCTAGAAACTTCAATAAATGTAAAGGAGAGAGTGAAGTAATTCATGTATAGTTAGGATTAGATGAGACTTGAGAGAGTTGCTTTGACTATTTATCTCTTCCTCTTTGACCACCATCTCATCTATCTTCTGCGTGTGTGAAAAACAACGACATATACATAAATGTGTTTCTCAAGAGATTAAAAGAAGAAGGGAAAAAAAAGCCCAAAAATAGAAAAACAAAATCTTGAAATTCTTGATCTTGGCATCGAAATCGGAGGGCCTATAAACTCGCACCAAACAAACCCAATCATCATCGCCTCCAAGAAACCTGAAGATTCTCGGGACGCCATTATCGCCCCTTCCACACTTCCCTTCCCTTTGAGAGAGAGAGAGAGAGAGAGAGAGAGAGAGAGAGATCGAGATCATTCAATTCAAATTCGATTCAATTCAAATTCAATTCAATTCATTTGGGGATTAGATAGGCAGAGATCTAGAGAGAGAGAGAGGTAAACAACCCGAATCAATCGAATCTCTTATAAATATATAAAAAATATAGGCTGCAGAGAGATGAAGCAAATGTCGCATCTCGATGACATTCCTTCGACGCCGGGCAAGTTCAAGATGGATAAATCGCCCTACTTCCACCGTACGCGGTGGCAATCCTCCGTGGCCAAGCTCGCCTTCTGGTCGCTCGTCTTCGTCGGATTGATCTTCATCTTCTTCTACCGATCTCCCTCCTCCAACCCCGTCTCCTCCGATCCCTCTCGCCGCTCGCTCCGCACCTACGCCTACACCTGGGGTGGACCCGCCTGGGAGAAACGGGTCAGATCCTCCGCCCGTGTCCGTACCCGCCACGGTATCTCCGTTCTCGTCACCGGCGCCGCCGGTTTCGTCGGCACCCACGTCTCGGCCGCCCTCAAAAGACGCGGAGACGGCGTTCTGGGTCTCGACAACTTCAACGATTACTACGATCCGTCGCTCAAGAGAGCAAGGCAAGCCCTTTTGGAGAGGAGCGGCGTCTTCGTCGTTCAAGGAGACATCAACGACGCGGCTCTCCTCAAGAAGCTCTTCGAGGTCGTCCCTTTCACCCACGTTATGCATTTGGCCGCTCAGGCCGGCGTCAGGTACGCCATGGAAAACCCCAGCTCCTACGTCCACAGCAACATCGCTGGCTTCGTCAACCTCCTCGAGGTCTGTAAATCCGCCAATCCCCAACCGGCCATCGTCTGGGCTTCCTCTAGCTCCGTCTACGGGTTGAACACCAAAGTCCCTTTCTCCGAGAAAGACGCCACTGACCAACCGGCTAGTCTCTACGCTGCTACCAAGAAGGCCGGTGAAGAGATTGCTCACACTTACAACCACATCTATGGCCTCTCTCTCACCGGATTGCGCTTTTTCACCGTCTACGGTCCTTGGGGAAGACCCGACATGGCCTACTTCTTCTTCACCAGAGACATTCTCAAGGGGAAACCCATCTCCATCTTCGAGGGCGCCAACCACGGAACCGTCGCTAGGGACTTCACCTACATTGATGACATTGTCAAGGGCTGCTTGGGGGCTCTCGACACAGCCGAAAAGAGCACCGGGAGTGGCGGTAAGAAGCGCCGCCCCGCTCAGTTGAGGGTTTTCAATCTCGGCAACACCTCCCCTGTCCCCGTCACTGATCTCGTCACCATTCTCGAGAGGCTCCTCAAGGTCAAGGCCAAGAGGAACATCATGAAGCTGCCCAGGAACGGCGATGTCCAGTTCACTCATGCTAACATCAGTTCCGCGCAGAGAGAGCTCGGTTACAAACCCACCACCGATCTCCAGTCCGGTCTTAAGAAGTTTGCCAGATGGTATTTGGGTTACTACAATGGCGGAAAGAAAGCTACAAGCTGATTGACCATCCCCCTTCATCTCAATGTTGTAGCTTGTGTAAGCCCTCTCTTTTTTTTTTTTTTTTTTGATTCGAGATTCTTGTGATCGTTTCACGTTTTTAACACTTACTTACTTGCTCCTTTTGTTGGTTCTTTGGCCGGCTCATACTCTTTGTCTTCTCCGTATATGTTTTTTACGCAACGATTTATACTCCCATAAGAACCATAAATTCGAGATTACATTCTTTGTCACACTCCCATATACTTCTTATCGCTCAACTCATTATATTAGTAGATACTAGAAAATGGTTCAAAATGCACATGGTTCCAATGGCAATATCATGATCATATGATTCTCTTAAAAGCAAGGGGCATACCATGCACAAGGATTCAGTGGGGTGATTTCATAATACTCTTAAAATTAAGGAGCATTAAAAGATTCAAAAGGAGGAGGCCAGCAAATGTCAAATCTTGACACAAAAGAGAGTAAAGTTCAGATAATCATCAAAACAAAAGGGAAGCAACAGACTTGTAGAGTCTTCCTCCTCCCAAAAGCTGATCCTACTCCGGCTTAAGCCACAAGGGTGCTCGCGGTTGTGGATTCGCTGCACACCAAGAGTGTAAATACAGCAAATCAGTGTTGGGAACAGGTTAAGACAAATACAATTACTTTCATGCAAAAGGGTCAACAGAATCGAGACGACAGTATTGGAGAAGTGCATTAGGAAAGGATAGTTTATAAGACGTTCCAAACAAAACTAGCCGTATATACAGACACAACTTGTTTGCACAGTCCAGTTGATGATAGGATACTGAAAGCAAGATGTAATGAATGAGGATAGGAGACAGGTACTCACTACTTCCAGACGGGAGGGAGCTTCTTTGTCTTCTTGTAATAGCGAGCGAGGCGGTGAATCCTGCTCTCGACCAAGATGAGCCTAAACTTGGAATCCTTGTCCTTCCTGTTCCTCTCTAGATGCTTACGGATGGCCACAGCCTTCTTAATAAGGTGGTAAAGATCCTCAGGGATCTCCGGAGCAAGGCCTTGCAAGTAATGTGACACCAAAATAAGACAAATGACATAGTAGAAAAAGATAGACAAGGTCGCAAATTGTAAACACACACACCATGGGCTTTGAGTACCCTCAAGATCTTGTTTCCTGTAACACTCTTGACCTGAGGAATTCCGTGAGAGTCACGGAGAATAACACCAATCTGTGAAGGGGTCAATCCCTTTTTGGCAAATTTGCAGATTGATTCAGCAACCTGTGATCATTCAACCAAAAAGCTACATCGGACTTGTACGGTTCTCATGGCAAATTAAACTAATGAAAATGGAACAAATTGGCCACACTAGAACTGGAATAGTCAGTTCCGAAAGTGATTACAAAAAAATAAGTAAAGGATCTTACATCCTGAGAGGTAATCTTGACCCAGCTCGGAGGCGTTCTCTTGTACGGCAACGCAGAAGCTGAAATACCCTTTCTACACACACAAAAAAAAAACGATATGAACAAACGTTAGAATACGCAATCCACGTAACGACGAGGAAGAGGAAGAGGAAGAGGAAGAGGAAGAGGAAGAGGAAGAGGAAAAGTAAGAGGAAGGGGAAGAAGAACAAACCCTCGACTGTGCATACGACCCATGGTGCTAGATTCTTGAAGCTCCCTGAATTTTTTTCCTTTGGATGCTGACTGCCGAAGATGACAAAGAGGAACCCTAAATTCTGCTAACGGGGCTTTTTTAGGCGTCAGGGTTATTTATATCTTGGACTTACGTGGGCTTTACATGTTAATGGCCCATTTTTGTTTATATGCCCATAAAAACCTTAAGTTATTGTTATAAATAGAAAGAAATCTGGAAGAGGTCAAGTGTGAAGACAGAATTATAAGGAAAATTCAAAATTTCAAAACAGTTGCGGTGACAGACAAGAAGAAACTTGAACCTCACATATCATTCTTTCCGCTAGTTTTTCACTAGAATTCCTCATTTGTTTTACGAAGGACTCATCAAAAAAAAAAAACATAAAGACTAGGATTCTCTCTGTGTATCTCTTGTAGTTGTGCCGTTAAATATCCCTCATGTGATGAAGGAGGACTCTCTTTTTGTATACAAAAAGTCTACATCGATTGCGACTTTGGAGCTTCCCACAGCTTCACTCTTTTGTCAACGCCTGCTGTCGCTAAAACCATGGCCTGTCTCTCCCCTGAACCAAAACAACACAAACTCCAACAATTCAGATGACAAATATCACAAACAACTGCGACTTCGTTCAGACACATACCCACTGTGATAGCCTTGGGTGCCCACGAAATGCATGTGATATCCCCTACACATAGTTGCATTCATTCAAGAGTGTTAGATTTTTTATTACAGCGATGACCATGTACCTCGATATTTTTGAACAGCCTATTTTTCTAGGGTGAAATCACCTTCGTGGGCTTTCTCAGCTGTGTCCAATACATTTCCAGTTTCTGCACATATCCACTGCAATGTAGAACCATGGCTTGCTGCCAATATCTTTCCTTCCGGGCACAAACTGAGCCGATCATAGTGCAACGGATTGCCCCCTGAGTCGCATAGTGGAATCGGGAACACCTTCAATGTCTTTGGATCCTCATCAAGATGATACCGGACTTCAAAGCAATCACACAACGCTTTCAGATTTTTTGTTTGATAAATGAGAATCATTCCATCTAATCATAAACGCCAAGCCAAGGTTCTTGCAAAACCCTAATGCTATGAGGAATCTGTTTACATGTGGCACCTAAATTATGCAGATACTAACCATTGATGTTCCAGAGTCGTATTGAACCATCTTTTGAAGCGGTAATGATTCTCTCCGAGTTTGGAGAAAAGCATAACCAAGTCACTGCACTCTGGATAGCATAGCAATAGGTTTAAATATGAAAATTATGCAAGAAAAATGAGAAAAAGAGAGAGTCTACAGTACGCAGGGGAGATGAAATGAAGCATGCTATAGGTAGTGAACGGATACCTTGTGGCCTTTGAGTTGCATAACTCTTGAAACCTCCTTGACAGAACCATCTTTCAGATACACAATTTCCCACACCTGCAAAGCACTTACTAAGTCACACATACAATCATTGATGAAATAATGGTTTAGCTTATATATATAAAAAGAAAAAAAACCACCTTCACATCTGCAGTAAATGCTGCAGCTGCCAAAAACCGTCCATTTGGTGATACAGCTGCCATGTGATTCTTCAACTGGTTTGTATCAACATGTCCCAAATTCCTCCCAGTTTTCCCATGCCAAAGTATGATATCAGTCCCTGGGGAAGAACACGGTTTAACGAATAGAGGAGGAAATTCCACCCAAAGCAGCACACTTGCACCGCAATACAGGAAGATATATTTGTACATTTGAATAGTCATAGCAGTCCAAGGCCACAACCTCTAGCAGTTTATAATTAAAAATTCAAAACTAGAGATTCTGCAGCCAGTTAAGCATAGCTCCGAGTGTGACACATAGTAGAACAATATCTATGCCCTTCCAGTCGAAGATGAATTTAAAAAAAGGCTGCTCAAATGAGGAAAACAAAAAAATCAATCGAATGCTTAATACCTTCGGAACAAGAGGCAATGACAGCACTTCCATCAGCAGTACCGTACGTTGCAGTTGCTCCAGAAATGGTAAGGACTGCTCGCTTATCATGAATATTATGGCGCTCCCATTTGATCCCGGGAAGAGGAAGCTTCGCCTGAGGTTCCTTTTGCTTTTCTTCACCGTACATGTACAAAGATGAACCCGACATGTTATGACAAGCCACAACAATAGAGGAGGCATCATCACCAAATGCCACAGCAGTTGGATGCCCTCCAGCAGGAAGATTTATCCTTAAAAATCTGGAGACAGATGAAGGAAAAAAAAAAAAGAGTTAGGCAATGAGAATGGTCTTGAACAATAAACTTTCACCCGCTAACATCGTGTACTCAAAATATATACTTGAAGCTTTTGCTTGAGGCATCATCTAGCTTGAACACCCTGATCACTCCATCACCGCAAGCTATCCACAGAAACAAGAAGAAATATCATCAAAGTGAAAATTCAAAAAACAAAAAAAAGGAAGACCCTATTTCACAGTGGTGTTATTTCTGCATTCAAACAGGTTTAGCTGCCTAATAAGAGGTGCAGAGATAGAATCCCCAAAAACCAAAAAGGAAATAACCTGTAGCCAAGCTTCTTCCATCAGATGAGAAACAGAGTCCAGTAACAGAATCACCGTGGCCTTTCAACGTGTTCAAGTCTAGAGGATGATGCCGCTTGTTCTGATTCTGCATTCCACCGGCCGGGGAATTAAAAAAAAAAAACACGAGAAAAGCCGAAGAAATGCGGCGTGGAAGTCAACTCATCCAAATCCCTAAACTCGGGTTCGTTCGCAAATGTCAGTAAAAGGTACCTTGTCGGAGGCGTGAGATTTGGGATGATTCTTCTTGGGATTCGATTTGGGATTTCGGATCGGATCCTGAGGCTCCGCTTTGGCCATGGACTGCACCTCCGATGTCCGCTTCCGGAAGTAGGTACCGAAGAAGATGACGGCAATCAACGCACCGAGAATAACAGATGCGATGGCCACTGGAAGGACTGAATCCATCTTCCGAATTCGAAAACTAAACCGGTGGAGAGGATCGAGTGATCGACGGTAGCGACGGTGAGAAGATGAAGCAACGGAGCCGTTAATGGCGGTGTTTGTTTGTAGAGCTATGGAATGATCCACATACTAGTAACCGGGTCGGGTTAATTAAAACATAAATTTGTATATGGGTCTTCTTAGATCCATCATTATAAAGCCCATTTAAAATATTTCTAAATTAAAAATATTATCGCCCACCGTGGGGCTCGAACCCACGACCACAAGGTTAAGAGCTTTGCGCTCTACCAACTGAGCTAGACGGGCTATGTTACCATTGTGGATAGATAATAAATTTTAAATAAACTAAAATTCTGTCCCTTTTACATACACCAACTTTCATTGCTGTCCTTTTAATTATTAAACATATAGAGGTATGAACTTTAAAATTTACACAACTGGTCAACACATACATAGATATATTATTTGTTAACTAAACAGATCGAGAACATCCGTATAATTAATTAAGTAATTTCGAGATCAAGAAGTAAAAACAACAGATTAAAGCAAGATGTATATGTGATCAAAACACAAGGTTGCAATAAATGGGAGTGTACATGTGGTCAGGGGCGTCTGGCTCTGTACCTAGCAGCGGCGTAGTGGTCGATGAAGGCGAGAGCATTGCTTGTGGTTTCCTCAACATTCTTCACCTTCCCTTTAATGGTAGCCTTCAATTTGCTCATCCTCCGCCCGGGGAATTGACTCACGCAAGTCTCGGCGTCTGTGAGAGCTGTGCTTGTCCAAGTCTGCAGGTTGTTTATGTGCCAGTCCAAATCTCCTTGGCTCTTTCCGCCTCTCCTGTTCACCCTGTCCAGCTCCGCTATGGCTAGGCTCAGCTGGTTCACGCTGTCTCTGATCTGAGTCAAGCATTCGTGAACCAACGCGTAGTATTGGGGCCTCAGCGTCTCCAGGTTCTTCACCTCTTTCAACAAGAACGCCTTTGTGTACTTGGCTCTGTACAGGCTCGCTTTGAGCGCGAATCGGGCCAGGTCCCGTGGATTTTGCATCGCTCGTGAGCGCACGTAACGTGATAGCGACCGAACACACAGGTTCGGGTACAAGGTAGTCCGGCACAACGACTCCACGTGGGCCTTGGTGTCGTAGTGTTTTGCTGTTGTGGCGGTTGCCAAGAAGATGATGATGTGAGGAAGCAGGGAGAGTAACACGAGTATCAGTTTGTTGTTAGCTGCCATGGGAACTCAGGGATCTGTTCTATATGTGAGCTTAGCTTGTAGGGATAATTGGTATAATAATTACATGTCCCTGTGTGTCTTGGTATATATATATATATATATATATATATATGCATAATATCTGCATGGCACGTGAATAGATATATATCTATGGATGAGCTGGATTTAAGATCAGTTGTGCTAGCTATACTTCGAAGGAAGGTTATAAGAAGGCCGGTAAGCAAGCAGCTACTCTATATATATATATATATATATATAATAAAAACTGTATAGAATTAATATTTCTTAACATGATTATTATATTTTTGTTCAAGCTAGGCAGTTGACCGGATTCGAGTTTTCCAACAATTTATAATCTTAAATCAACCATTCTAGTTCTTATTTATTCATTTATGGAACAGAGGATCTACGTTATGAAACACAATATCTATACTATCTATAATACACGCACGACGCGTATTGGAGAGAGTTACACGTGAAGTGCAGGTTATTTATAAGTGTTGACCCAAAGGGTGCGGCAGGTAGGCAGCGCGCGGAGAAGAAGAAAAGGGAGATGAAGCTCTCGTGGCCAACAAGATCCTTGTTTAACTCTCTAAGCAAATACTAATAAGCTGCACAAACTTATATTCCATCCGAGATCCGACCACACATTTAAACTCGATGCGTGTCTTCTCGATTCTCGGAGACAATATGCATGCACTTTTATTATATACTACTAGTTATCAATATTTCATTGCAACTTGCAGGATGATTCTTCTAAAAATCGTCCAACTCATTTAATCACAATTAGTTATATAAACACACATCATTAAATCTTTGTCACAGAAAACACATTGACGAATGAATAATCCAACTTGTCTAAGAACTGAAAGCAAAAATATAACTTTGGTACAAGAGATGAAGATGTTGTTTGAACATTTCTCTTTTACATTCATATATATATAATTCAATTAAGGTTTACAATCGGTCGCATAATAATTCTATGTATACACATTTGTACTTAAAACCCTAAGGTTTGTAAGACATGTGGCATAAGCAGGCAGAGCAATTTGAATCAAGGGTTTCAAATTGATTTGACAGCTCCATGTTCCATAGCGCTTATCTTCAAATCTTGCTCTGCTTTTCAAGCTACATAAAAGAAGAAGAACGTTGAACCCAGATGGGCTTCTTCTTATTAATCATTCCGGCCCATTACATATTTCCATTTTGCTCTTTATTTTGTGGCTGTAATGAAAAAACTCTACCAAAGTCTTCTCGACACTAGAAGGCCCATTTTAAATGAAACCGTCACTTTAACAACAACTAACAAACAAGTAAGACCGGTTCCATTAACCGGTTCGTAGCTCCGGCGAGCGAGGAAGTCGCTTTGAAATCAGACACAGTCGTCTTCTTCCTTTGGCAAATAATAATAATATAGAGAAGATGGAAAAACGCCATCATCCCCCTTCCAAACTTTCGAACTCTGGCTCGTCCATGGCTCAGAATCAGCTTATCGATTCCCTCACATCTCACATCTCTCTTTACCACTCCCATTCTTCTTCTTCTTCCTCCTCCTCCATACCTAATCCGAGGTCCGCGATCCTCCGTTGGTTCTCTTCTCTCAGCCTTCACCAGCGTCTCTCTCACCTCACCTTCGTTGATCCTAAGTTCGTCCAAATTCTGCTCCAGATGCTCGGCTATATCCGCACTAAAGGCCGTGGCTCTTTCATCATCCTCCCAGACCTCCCTTCCCTCGATCTCCCCAGTCTCTGCTTTAAAAAATCCCGTGGCCTTATCTCCAGGGTTGCCGAGTCCAACGTCTCAGAGCTTCGGATTTTCGACTCCACTCGCCTCTTTTGTTCTAGGCAATGGGAAACGACTCGAGATTGCTCTCGCTCCGTCGATGCCCTCGACTCGGTCGTCATGGCAGAGGAATTTCTCACGAATGTGGATCGCTTCGTGGAGACTATGGATGCTTTATCGAATGGGGCGTTTCTGAGAGGGGAAGAGACTGATTTGGGCTCCGCTTGGGTAGAATTGGAGTGGCTCAAAGCCAAAGGCTATTACACCATGGAAGCCTTCATCGCAAATAGGTTAGAGGTAAGCCTGAGATTAGCTTGGCTGAACACCATTAGCGGGAAGAAAAGAGGAATGAAATTGAAAGAGAAATTGAACGCTGCTGCTGCGGCTGCAAATGCATACTGGAGGACCAAGGCCTGCGCTGATTGGTGGGTGCATCTTGATCCCCAAACACACAAGAAAATCTGGACTTGCTTGTTGGGGAAGTCGGCCAAATCTGTGGTATGCCAAAAAAACCTCTAGCTTCCTATATGCATTACCATTGAGTAGCATTTCGAGCCAACCACATAATTCTATGCCTTGAAGTATATAGACTAATTACGGCTTCTTCTTTGAAATCGTGAATGCTTAGTACTTGTCAATATTAAATTCCTTCTAGGTTCAGGTTGCTTTTGTTTTATTGTGAAATTGCATCCAGGACGTCTCCTGTCATTCTGGTGTGACCTCTGCCACTATGTTCCACTACATGTTATATAAGTGTGTATCTGCTGTTTTTGTCTTTTTTTTGTTTTTAATCTAAATTTCTGTTGTCACTACAAACTCAGATATACGAGATTCTTAGAGAAGCAAATGAAGCACCGCAAGGAGATATGTGGCTCTTCAATTTTAGTGGGGGTACTGCAAGGGAAGGGCGTATAGAAACTTCCGCAGTTTCATTCTGTGACATGATATTGGAACAGACCTCTTTATCAAGGAGACCTAATAGAATAGTCAGTAATTTAAGTGGCTTATACTTGCTTCAAGAATATGCTTCATTCCTCATCTTATGTCAAAATGGCTTAGTTTCAGTGCAAAGTGTATTCTTCAGCTCATTGGGTTCTCTCACAACCTTAGTCGATTGCATATTAAGAAAATTACGGGGTTTTCTTATGCTAATCTCTGTTGATTCTGTTAAACTTGAGCTTCTTGAAGAAGATACTCAGAAGTGTTCCTCAAGTTCATCTTCCAAGCAGAGGCTTGCTTCGACCAGCCGTAAACACAAAGGAAAAATAAGGAACATGAAAAAGCCAACCCCAGATGCAAAGTCTGATAAAACCGTAAATTTGTCCGGGAAAAGCATAAAGGTATATATTTTCTCTCCATCCGCAGGTTATTTTATTTTCATTAACATTTTTGTGGGAACTTGAATTTTGATCTCTGAACTTATCTCCAGAAAGATCAGGCCAAGTTGGACTTTAATAAAAACAAAGATGCGGTAGAATGCAAGCAAGTTCCTACATCATCAACAATGGTCAATTGTTCTGAGGCCTTTGCATCAAATATGGTGAATATTTTCCTTCCTCATATTTTGGCTAAATGGTAATCAGATTGTTTTGAACTGAATATATTTTATCAGGAAGTTGTCCCAGGGTTGGTTGCCAGGAAAGGAAGAACTAAAAAGAAACGGAGAGAAAAGAATAAGAAGTGTACAACTTTGGAAAACACCGGGGAAGTGAATAAATCCGTAGTGAATAGTTTATCCATCGATCCCGAAAGTGATTCAAGTTGTACTTCTGCCAATCAGCTTCCTCAGGAAACTATAGATGCTCGGAGTATTGGAGAGTGTGGTTCAGTTAGCTGTGATAGGAATGGCTCTGGTACAGGTGCATCTGTGAATGGTGCCCTTGTATGTGAGAATCCTGGAGAGGAAGAATTGCACGAAAAAGCTGAAATGTATGCGATTTCATCCGTTTTGACTTCTGCGGATCCTGTAGGTATTTCAAGCTGTGAGGACGTGAGCTCTCAAAAATCTTGCTGTCCTGGTGAACGTAAAGACATATTGACAATGTCAAATGGACGACCCAGAACTTTGGAGGAAGGGGAATCCCAGCGGATTCACCATCAAAGAAGAGAAGCAGCAGGTTATGGTATTGCCTCTAGCAGTTCAGAGTTTGTTTCTTATGAGTGGCCTGCCGTAGCTCCTATGTACTTTCCACATGTTAATTCTCACCTTCCGACTGCCACTGACAGACTTCATCTTGATGTTGGTCAGAATTTGCATGCATATGTACGCCAACCTTTTGTGTCAACTGTGCATCATGCTAGAAATCCTTCCATTGAAGGTACACACAAACAAGTTCTTTCTCGACCCATGCCCATGAGTCTAGATTGGCCTCCCATGGTTCATAGCAATTGCGGCTTGACAACAGCATTCGCTTGCAATTATGATTCTGGAATTCTCGTGGACATTCCTGAACAGAAAAATAAGCCCGAGCTAGGGAATGAATGCGAGACTAACTGGATGTTGGAGGAAGATTTTGAGATGCACACTGTTTCTGGAGTAGACTATAATCAATATTTCGGTGGTGGAGTTATGTATTGGAATCCTTCCGATCATCTAGGGACTGGATTTTCTCGGCCTCCGTCCCTTAGCTCTGATGATAGCTCATGGGCTTGGCATGAAGCTGAAATGAAGAGGTCTGTTGATGACATGGTTGCGTTTTCGTCTTCTTACAGCACAAATGGACTAGCTTCTCCAACTTCAGCTTCGTTCTGTTCCCCTTTTGATCCATTAGGCCCGGCAAATCAGCCTCTTGGTTATGTTTTGCCAAGTAATGAAATAGCTACTAAAGTACTGCAAGCTCCCCCAACAACAAGTGAAGCTGCAGGTGAAGAGGAAGTCTCTGGAACTTTGGCTACTTTATCAGGGGATGTTGAAGGAAACTCAGGAGATTCACTTCCTTATCCCATTTTGCGCCCTATCATCATCCCAAATATGTCAAAATCTGAATACAAGCGTAGTTATGATACTAAAAGCCCAAATGTTCCACCTACAAGGCGCGAGCATCCTCGTATAAAGCGGCCACCATCACCTGTAGTACTATGTGTTCCACGTGCTCCTCGTCCACCACCACCTTCTCCTGTGAGCAACTCCAGAGCACGACGAGGTTTTCCAACTGTGAGGTCTGGAAGTTCAAGCCCAAGACATTGGGGTATGAGAGGCTGGTTTCATGATGGTGTAAACTGGGAAGAACCTTGCGGAGCGGAGGTTGTTTTGCCCTGGAGAAACAAAACCCTTGCAGTCAGGCCGATCATTCAACCTCTACCTGGGGCCCTCCTGCAAGATCACCTTATTGCAATGTCGCAACTAGGCCGAGATCAGGAGCATGTAAGCAACACTTTTGACGTCTATGTACAACTATACTCTGTCTAAGTTGTGTTCATTGTCTGTAATGCTCTTTTACAGCCTGATGTGGCCTTCCCTTTGCAACCACCGGAGTTGTTGAACTGTCCTACCCAAGGGCAATCTCTATCATTGATCCACGGTCTTCTTAATGACGATATAGATTCTTTCTGCAAGCAGGTAATCATAATACTTTTTTTCTCCCATATGCTTCAGTAACTGCCTTTAGTTTGCAAAGGTCTATATGAACGTCTTGAATTTTTCTATTTATATTTCCTGGGATGGCATCTATTCGAATCCTTTAAGTCATATACTACTCCTAAAGGTTGCTGCAGAGAATATGGCCCGTAAACCTTATATCAACTGGGCAATCAAGCGGGTTACTAGATCTCTCCAAGTTCTGTGGCCCAGGTCTAGGACGAATATATTTGGTTCATCTGCAACTGGTTTGTCCCTCCCTTCTAGTGATGTGGACCTTGTGGTTTGTCTTCCTCCAGTGAGAAATTTGGTGAGTAAACCCTAAAACATTCCTCTTATGCATTACTTTTGAACGGGAAGATCTGATACATAATATCTGTCTCAGGAACCTATCAAAGAGGCAGGAATTTTGGAGGGTCGCAATGGTATAAAGGAGACTTGCCTTCAGGTATGCTTAGTGCGGAAGTCATGTTGCAAATGTTGAATGTCCTTGAGTTTGTAGAATCTTGTTCTTGAAATTAATGTTTCCCTACTCTTGAGGTGTGTGGTTGTTAACAATCATGATTATGTTCTTAACTTTTACAATTGCTTTACTTTATTAATCATATTTACGCTTTTATGTTTTTCTATTAGGCGCTAGTCTAATCTTTTCATATATGGACATATCTTTCTTAATATGCTGGTTGCTCACATCGTGTTACATATGAGGAACTGGGATTTCTTTGGTATTGTGGAAACCTTGTAAAATACTAAATTTCTGAATCATGGTTGAGCCTGCACTCTACTCTATTTCTTCTTCCTTTAATTCCTTTTTTGAAACTGTTGTTCTGTTTGTTAAGTAACAGTTCCTATATCTGACAGTTCACTGGTTACATTATTGAATCATATAAGCTCTCGTGTTTTGTTATTCAGCATGCAGCCAGATATCTCGCCAATCAAGAGTGGGTAAAAACGGACTCCCTGAAGACAGTTGAAAATACAGCTGTAATGCCTCGTTTATAGTGTTGTTCTTTGTTCACAGTCGTTAGTTACTCATCATGCTTTCTTTAATATGATTTGTTTATGCTTGCGCAGATACCAATAATCATGCTTGTTGTGGAAGTCCCTTGTGATCTTATATGCAGTATACAGTCACCAAAAGAGGGCCCAGACTGTATCACCGTTGACCAGGACAGCAATAGTAACACGGAAATGGTTGGATTTGAAGACTCTGTAGCAGCAAACTCTTTGCCGACATTCACTGGAAACTTGGCAAATGCAAAATCTGTCCGTCTTGACATCAGTTTCAAAACTCCATCCCATACGGGTCTTCAAACCACACAACTGGTATATATTTTATTCTCTTTTTCACAGAACGATATTTTTTTTTTCCTTACATTATACTCTCTTCATGTGTGTGTATCTCTGTAAGTTTTTTTCCTTCTTTTTTGCTCATTGTAAGAAGTTCTTTTCCGCAGGTCAAAGATCTGACAGAGCAATTTCCAGCTGCCACGCCACTTGCTTTAGTGTTAAAGCAGTTTTTGGCTGATCGTACCCTGGATCAATCATACTCTGGTGGATTAAGCTCTTATTGCCTGGTGAGCGGTATTCGTTTACTTAAGTAAAATGCTCATTTCTTTAGGATTCAGGTGGTCACTTCTGTATATGTAATGCGGATCCTGGTAAATAGTAAATGGTGTTTGTCTAATTTGATTTGTACCGATGCAATGTTCTTGAACAGAAATATTCAGCCACATTTTTTAATTTAATCCCCTAAAACATGTTCAAATATCTGTTTGTAAATCTTCAACTATGATTATTGCAGGTATTACTGATTACACGCTTTCTTCAGCATGAGCATCATCTGGGGCGCTCTATCAACCAAGTACTTAGTTTATTTGTTTGCCTATTTTGTAACATAGTAGCTATCTTTGTGTGGGGTTCCTTGTTACAGTCATGCAGTTCTTACTAATTAAAAAAGAGTATTCTGCAGAACCTTGGGCGGCTTCTAATGGATTTTCTTTACTTTTTTGGGTCGGTGAAGATGATTACTGCTTCTCTTTATAAATTTGTTAATCAGTGATATATATCTAGCGCAAGAGGGAATATTGATGACGATTGTTGGTTTAGTGGACTTCTCTTTTTACTTGTTTTGCAGTAATGTGTTTGATCCTCGCCAGATGCGTGTTTCAGTGCAAGGAAGTGGTGTCTATAGGAATCGGGAGAGGGGTTATAGGTAATTATCGTAGCTCTGTCAAAGTACAAGTGATATATTAACTATTACACGTTATGTTATTCTCAAGTTTTTGGTTGCCTGCTTATAGTATTGATCCGATACACATCGATGACCCTCTTTTTCCAACAAATAATGTCGGGAGAAACTGCTTCCGTATACATCAATGTATTAAGGCAAGTTGGATCCTATTTGCATCTATGAATGCTTTTATTTACAACATACGATTATGAAGAAATTTTATGAAAGTCAAGATGATTTATTTTGCAGGCATTTTCTGAAGCTTACTCTGTTCTGGAGAATGAGCTCACATGCATTACTAGTTCTAGTGATCCGTGTGGAAAACAGCTGCACAACTTGCTTCCAAAAATCATCCCAAGTATCATTTCATCTTAGGATGGAGATGTGTTTTATGTACGTGTTGCTTTACAGAACTATCTTGTTGCATATTTAGTATGTAGACTGACATGAAGTCTTGGATAGATAGTTTGCAACTCTGATTGAGATGGAGAAAAGCTTCCTTTTTTTTTCTTTTTAACCATTGACCTTATTTTCTGCTGAAAATGAAGGTGGCGCACAAACTCTGGAAATTGCAAGCTGCTGATGATAACCCTAATTTGTTATATTGTGATTCGAGGCTGGGAAGCTTACCTCCATGACTCAAATTGTTATTGTGAAGATAGGCTTCGGCAACTTATACCAGATTTGCATGGTGTTGTTGATGTAAAAAAACTACAGGGTAAGTAATTCTAGTTGGCATTCAATGGCATCTTATGGTATATGCAGTTCAGCTCTGAAACGGTTAATTTGTTTTGTACGTAGTTTGATGACTCAACGAGTTTGGTTGGTCGTCTAAAGCATATGCTTGGTCTACACCCAACCCAAGTAAGAAAATGCACTGGTTGAAGAGAAAAAAGCAGAGCCATATAAAAATGTCAATACTGGGACATTAGAGAGCAGATTATCAGGAAGCTTTGGGAGAGTTATTGAATCAAATGCTTACTGGAGAGATGATGTGGAGATTTTGCACAAGTAAACTAATGCTTGATGACACATTATCGAGGTATGTACAATATATCTGTTGTGAAGTTTAAGGTGGATCCAGAAAACTTAATTTATCTTGACATGAAATTGTTAATATCACTAGCTCTTAATCAGGAATACTTTGGGAGAGGAAGATAAAGTATTATGAGTGTGACGAGACCTTCTTCTTCTTCATTTGATTCCCACTGTTTGGATGAAATGAGGAATTAAAGTTAAGCCCTTATGTAAATGTATGATCGGCGAATGTGCCACCTCCCTTTTGTTCCTTCTATTTTACTAACTTTGTGCTTCTCATTTTTCCACGTTTTCTGCTTTTAAAACCACATTAGCTAACACGTTATAGTATACTCGAATCGAATTTGTATCATGGAATTCAGTCTATTTATTTGAAGCTAAACAATCGTACAATTCCATGCAGCTTAGAATATATATATATATATATAGTACAGTAAAACATCTATAAACTAATATTCGATAAATTAATAATCACTATAAATTAATAAATTTTGTTGGTCCAAGTCGGGCCAATATAAAAATCCATCGATAAGATAATAAAATAATAATTTTGTTTGAAACTCTTACGTAAATTCATGGTTCCAACAAAAACATAAATTAATAATTATATAATTTTATACAAATATATGTAAATTTAATATTCTAAAATATAACTAATGTATTTGTTTTTAGTTAAAGTTGAAATATCATTGGTTCTCATCTCTCTAATTATTACATCAGTAGCTCTTATTGTTGTTTTATTATATACATTTAAAATTTATGATGATTTTTTAATGTGATAATTGATTTTCTTACATGTCAATATTTGTAAATGTATTGTAGTGTTATCTTCAATTTTATCATCAATAAGACTGATAGTAGCCATTGTGATAGTGAAAAAAATATAGTGAAAAAAATCCAATATAGTGAAAAAAATATTTTTATATGGATAATCCAATATAGTGAAAAAATATTTTATTGTGATAATTATGATTTTTAATCATAATTTATATTATGAGATTTGTTAAAATTTTAAAATATAATATTATTTTAAATAAATTTTTAGAAAATTATATGTAGAAAGCAATTTTTCTCTATAAATTAATATCACGATAAATTAATAAAATATCATAAACTAACATTATTAATTTATAGAGATTTTACTATATTTAATAAGTTGATTTTGTCTGTAGTCAACATGACTTGATAAATTAATATGCGTTTCTACTGAATTATTGTCTCGATCTCGATGTAGACTAGGTTGAAATCTAATCCGGTGGGGGGGCTATTTTGAAACTGAGAATGGGCTTTAACTGAGCCTATTCTCTCGGTCAGCCCGTTGGCTCAGCGAGATGATCCCTCCTTTGATAATTCTGTTACAAATGGCCACCACTCGTGAGTGTTATTAGAGATTTGACTTTTTCTCTCTTTCAGTTCCTAAAATAATGTGCAAAGGGGTCTTTAATCCAGTTTCTTAAATATTTTTTGTAATAAAACATTAAAAAAATAGATTGAACTAAAAAACGTCTCCTAATTAAAAAACGTCTCTTAATTAAAAAACTTAAGAAACGTTTTTTATATGAGTTTCTTACAAGTGTCAACAATTTACAGGATCGTTGTTTTTCTTCTCTCTCTATTAGAAAAATTAAATTCTTTTTTACAAAAATCTTATGGGTTTCTACCATTAAACCTTTAAAAAATGAAAATCTTTTATATAGGTTTTTTAACCCAATTTATATAATATTATAAAAATAGATAAGAAACTCAAATGGATTTCTAGCATTTCACACGCCCTAAGTCATTATCAGTGTCATTATCCACAATCAAATTAATCTACGAAATTACTAGAATTCATTTTGATAAATAAAATACATATCCAATCATCTAAAAATATGGACATGGCAATTGTTTGCGTCATATATGTTGCATATACAGTACACTTATAAAATAACGGTACAGTCGTTTAGATTTTAATATCAGATAATAATCTGAACGATTCAAAATATTTGTAAATGATTGATCTCATAGATATTAAAAAATTCAAATTGAAACATTTCATATTATGTTTGTGTAAATGGATTAAAATACCATACATATAAATTCTTAACTTTTGTTATATCGCTAGTCGTAACCACCGTTTAGTTGGGGCTTTTCATATTTGGTGGGACTGGGAGTATAGCATACTTAACTATCAAACCAACTGGTGTCGGTCTATGGAGTAATCTGATTCGATTTGATTTGATTTTGTCCTTTCTACAATTTTAGAGATGACCAAAGTAATATTCTCTCCGTTTTTAATAGATGTTTTAAAATATTTTATTTGTTTCATTTTATGACTTTATAAGTTCTATTTCTACGAATAATGAGTACTTATTTAATACTGGTATGATTCTATTTGTATTAGTGAAATTGATTTTAATTAAGTATTAGTACTATTTTTTATTCAGAAAAGAAGAAAAGTTAGTTTTCATGATTTTTTAAATATATGTGTTTTTAAGTTCTCTGGCAATGAGAGTGGTGCTTTCTCCAAGGTCAGGTGTTACATCAAGGCTTATGTTCTCTTCCTTGTAATGGATAAAGCGATTCCTAAACTGTTTTTAAATCGTGATTTCCTCATCACATTCACATGGGTGGTGATTATCATGTATTTTGGTAGAGATGTGTTCACTTTCATTAAAACTAATCACCCACTGTCAGTTTCCACGTTGGAATCGAAAACCCGACGTCATGAACAATTATCATAGATTTCATGTGAAATTCTATTATTCTATGATAATTGGTGGTGGCTAACGATTATTTTCAGGATTTTTTCTGGTGCTTTTCAGAGCTCTCGCTCATTTTAGGTTTTCTAATTATTTTTCAAAACTTGTATTTTATTATCTTTGTACTTTTTATTAATTTTCGATTATATAAGAAATAAGATAAATGTTTTAAAAAGAAAATATGTGTTTAAAAATAACGGAACATAGAGCATTTTGATCTATATTCAAAAAATTTGGTCCCATAGCATTTTTTTCTTTCTTTTGCATGATGTCGTGTTCCCACAGCATTTTAAATTAACATAAAAGAAATTAGTGAATAATTATTGTACGTCTGCTTACAGTAAAAAGGACAAATGGAATCTAGGGTTTGTGGTCATGACGATTGATTACTACTTAACTTGGTATTTTTCTCTTGATTTTTGAGTCACTTTTGGTTATTAATAATTAGTAGATTTTGTTTACAAACGTGTGGTGATAGTCAGGGCCAAGTTGACTTGCTGAAACCCAATCATTTACAACACCTTTTTACAAATAAAATATTCGCTTTCCTTTTTTTTTGGTTCCTTGAAATAGCATACTAACATTATCTTCAAATATTGTTGAATTTTGCAGACAAAGCATATGTCGTTGTGTCTCCTCCATTTTGGATTTTCAGTGATTCTTTAGTGACATAATTAAATTCTTGAAAACGAAAGATTATCTACTGTACGTTATTGAAACCACACATAGAAAAATGGAGTTAGTGTGAGGTTACAAATTCACTCAAACATGATCATTAATTCTTCGTGGACGACATCTAATTACATCTAATTCTTATTTTTCTAATAATAATTTTATTCACAAAAAACTTTGATTCGTCCAATAATTCATTATTCGTGTTGGGTAAAACAAATAATTAGTTTTAGATATAGAGTCTAGTATCTTATCTCAAATTGATTAAATAATGTGAAGCTATAGTTAATCACTTCAAGATCGATGGTTAATTACTATTTAGATATAACAATATTTATTTGAATCTTTCATTTCGAACTATATCTGAATACCAGATAAATCTTGTTATCTAATATAAAGAAACATATATGTTTTGTATTTAAAAAGAAAATCAATTTTCTTTTATATGATTAATAATACATATTTTGTCTATTATTCTTTTTGGTTATATAACATCTATTCACCTAATTTCTATTCATAAAATTTTTAGTTTTATGATATAGGATATAGTAGAATATGAGAAATGAGTTTTCAAATCCCTTACATAATTTGATATGTTAATACTAAATTAATGTTAGTTAATATATAAATCAAAATTTTAATCTAATAATTATCAAAATTAAATATTAAATGATGTGGTATACATGTAGAAGATAAGGTGTTATCACAAGAAAAGAAAAAAACTACATATATATATATATATCATGATTCCTGTGTAGCCTGTACATATAAAATAAGATGTAAAATGTATGGTGAGTAACACATATTTAGACGTAATATGGATGTGTTGAAATAATCATTTTTGATTCGAAGGAGGAGGAAGCTGTTGCTGCATTTGCTGATATAATGCAGCCATCCTGCTATATGATTCCATCGTCGTAGGCTGTAATTCGAATAAATAAATATGGTAATGCTTAATTAGATTTTGATAAAATGAAGCATAAAAGTAAAAAATACATATAAGAGTTGTATAACCTGCGAGGAACATGCAAGAAAGGCTGCCATAGGATCGGGGATGAGAGGAGACTGAAATCGAGTGTCGTTGGAAGAGGAGGCATCCCACGATGGAGAAGTAATGGGCACAAATGGGTTTGGCATCATGTTGGCATGGATATTAGGAGGCGTTGCAGCAGCAGCAGCAACTCGGTTCATGGAATTAAGGTCGAGGAGACCGAGACCGGGCATCCCCATGCCAATCCCTAAACCCATGGGATTGGACATGAGAGACAACTGAAATTGTTGTTGCTGATGTTGCTGCATGGCCATAGGAAGCATCATGGAAGGCATGTTCATTCTGCTCATCATGCTCACTTGTGCTTGGAGTTGCTTCAAGTACTCTATCACTTCATCCAACATCGACGCTTTATCCGTCTAATTTAAACCAAGCAACTCAACTCAAAGGATGATCGATGAACATATATAGCCAAGCATGTGTATACGTGCACAATACATTATACACATGTAAATATTGATTGTCATGGTTGAATTTGTTGAGTCGACAGCCAGACGGCATATAATAATTAAGGGTGTATTAATGGACCAACCGGACCAAGTAATAAAGAGATGTAAAATAAGTTTTTAGGGGACAACCAAATAAGAGATTGAGCACAATTGTGTGGAGTAAGACCATCGTATGAGGTCCATTTCTTTAGGTTCATTCACTTCCCTTTGGTCCACCACCCTTTTCTTTTATGAGCTATTTTCATACTACTAATTAATCAACTATATAACTTCTATTTTTGTTTTGTTCGTAATACTATAAATTTAGTGGTTGACCGAGAAAATGATAGTAAAAATTTTAGCGACATTTTACGATGCATGTAAAAAACGAGGTACCTTGCTTGAATTAGGAACCAATTTCTGCAAAGTCTTCATCCTTTGATTGATCTTATCTCTCCTCTTCTGCAGTTAAATCAATCGTAGGGTAGTTTTAATATCAAGAGATAGCGCATGTCTAATGAATATCATGAAAATTAAAGTAGACGAATAGTACCATAAAACTCTTTTTTTAAAAAAAAAGAGAGAGAGAGAGAGAGAGAGAGAGAGAGAGAGAGAGAGAGAGAGAGAGAGAGAGAGAGAGAGAGAGAGAGAGAGAGAGAGAGAGAGAGAGAGAGAGAGAGAGAGAGAGAGAGAGAGAGAGAGAGAGAGTAAAAAAGGGTGAATATGAATTACACGTTCGGATTGGTTATGAATAGCAGCGGCTCTGCTTCTCTTGGTTGAAACCGATGATTTTCCTCCCCCTTGCTTCTCTCCTTCTTCTTCCTCCATCTACGCGCGGTTATAATAATAAATAGAAAAGGGTTTCATATGAAAAATAACACAAAAGTAAGTGATATGATAGAAAATTAACTAGATGGAGTTGAGCCGTGTAAAAATAAGGAAATATTGCCTGTGGACGGCTGTGGCAGACGGAGTCATGATCGTCGATGGTGGTGGTTTTGGTGCAAGGCTTCCCTCCGGAGCTGGAGTTATCATCCAGCGATGTTGAGGTGAAACCGTAAGTGTCCATGGTCAGGCGCTGGCTCCCGCTCGCGCTCCACTCGGGAGCCACTCTGGCTCGTTTCTTACCAGCCATGTGATGACCATCGCTACACGAGCCCACGTGCTGGCTCTGCTGCTCTGGCACAAGCGCGTCCATGGCCGCCCTGGAAGAGCGGTGGTGGAACCATGGCACGAGATCATCGGTGGGCTTAGGGTTAGGGAAGCGAGTAGCTTGGTCCACTATGGACTCCAACGTTCCACCGGCTCCAGTAGAGTACTTTGAATGAGCCGGCACTCGTGGTGGACCTAAGCCGTGCAACCCCAATTGCCCATTCTCCCACGTCAGCTCGGCTACCTCGTAGTCTAGCCTGCACAAGATATATATAGAGTCATATATATAGACCAAACATATTATATATATAGTAAGTAAAAATGGTACATACATGGGGATATTTGCCGCTTTTGTGGAGCGGACGGTGACCGGCGGAGTACCATCGATGTGCCAGCTTGGAACGCGCTGGCTCATCCCAAAGCTGTGTTGTGTATAATATTGCTTTAATTATCAAAATTTTAAGATATTGCGTTGTTGAGATGTTCTTCTCTTTCTTAAAATGATTTTTTTTTGTGTACTTTTTTATTTGTAGCAATGGAGAGGTGGGGACGTCATACTTGACTAGTTAACCATATACATATATATATATACACATGTAGCCTAGGTCCCTTCTTTCAATGCACTGCTTAATAGCTAGCTGTTCAATGTTTTGTTGACAGCCTATTTAAATGTGACAATTTTTAACATAACTTTTCATAATTAGAGCATCTGTATTGGGGGGTTCACGAGGGGTTTTAAGGTGAAGTTCATATGTTTTTTTATTTAAAAAAATGAAAAAAGTCCAGTATACTTAAAATCGGTTGTTATTTAAGAGTTTTTAGACTCACTTTTAGAAGGGGTTCATAACTGATGTGTCAATTTCTAATTCGCTGCATCTAGAAAAGAAAAAAAACTTCGATGCTCTCTCTCCTCCTGTACTTTTCTTTGCTTCTTATTTTTAAAACCCTTCATAAATTCACCATTATAGGTGAAAAATCTCATGGGTTTCGAATTTTAATATAATTAATTCTTTTTATTAAAATAATAGTTATGAACCCCTTTATGAGGTTCACTATTGTGGATGGTATTAGTAGGATTCCCTAAAAAAAGCCTCTAGTGCCAATATGTTATGTATGTTTGTGGAGTTTGTCGATAAAACCAAAGGAGAAGATAATGGTCAACTACACATTATCTGGGCAAAGCTTCTATTCTTTTGGACTCAAGCCCATACGTGTGTTTACAAGAGTGTGCAAGAGAAACTGATGTTGGGCTAGGGTATAAGGCCCACATGATTACTCAAAGCTATATATAAAACTTTTTTGGAGTTGCAGACTTTGAGAGAGAGCAGAGATAATTAACGAGAGAAGGAGAAGAGAAACAGAGATACACGGTTAAGGGTTTTTTCAGGCTTTCGTCTTCATCTTCTGGGTTAAGGCATCTGTGGTTGAAACTGAGGTGAATTAGTTTCTGGTCTTTCTTCTTTGTGGTACCTGAAACAAAGGAAAGAAGAGAGATACGTGAGTTTAACGGTGAAGTAACAAACTCATTATTGTAAACACTTGATCGATTATAGTGGACCGTTGAGAGTACCGTCTCTCCCCAGACGTACCGAAAGGGAACTGGGTTACCAAATTTTCTTGTGTCTTGCTTGAAAACAACAAACAAACTAAGTATCAAGGTTAATTGATCTAAGTAGTTCAGGTTAAGAGCTAAGACTAGAGGTTGAAATCAATATTAAAACCTCACAAGTGGTATCAGAGCACCAGGTTTAAGCGGAGGATACGGTTTCAGTTTCTGATCTGCGATTGGTGTTGTTTCGGGAAAGTCCAAGTTATTCAATCAAGTGATAACATCTACAAAGTCTGAATCATGGAACCATCTTTTGGTAAAATTAAGGTGGAGAAGTTTGATGGTAAAGGAGATTTTGGTATGTGGAAATTCAAGATGCTTATGGCTCTTGAAAATCTAGGGTTAGATTCTGCAATTAGTGAGGAAGAAACTAGCGCAGCATCTGACAAAGGAAAAGGAAAAGAAGATGAGACAGATGCTAAGGCAACTCCATCTCCGGTTGATCCAAAGAAGAAGGAGACAGACAAAAAGGCAAAGAACTTGATATGTTCCAGCCTTAGTAATCTGGTCTTGCGGAAGGTTATGAAGCAAACAACAGCTCTAGGTGTGTGGAAAGCTCTAGAAAAGGATTACCAGACAAAGACCTTACCAAATCGCATTTATCTGAAGCAGAGATTTGCCAGTTTTAAGATGGAAGAGCACAAAAGCATAGAGGAGAATCTTGACGTGTTTCTTAGACTGGTGGACGATTTGGAGAGCTTGAGTATAACTATAAGTGATGAAGATCAGGCAATTCAGGTGTTGTCTAGCTTACCTAAGCAGTTTGATTCACTAGTTCATACTCTCAAATACGGCAACGGGAAAGAGACACTTACTATGAATGAAGTTACCGCTTCAGCATATGCCAAGGAAATCGAGCTAAAAGAGAGTGGACTTCTAGGAAAACCAAAGTCAAGTGCAGATGCTTTGGTTGCAAGTAGAGGGAGGTCTGAAAAGAGGACTACAGGTCAGAGTAAAGGTAGATCCAAGAGCAGAGATTCAAGGTCGAAGTCTAGACCAAAGAATCAACCAAAAGCTAGAGAATGTTGGATATGTGGGAAAGAAGGACACTACAAGAAAGAGTGCCCTGAAAGAAAGTATGGGAAACAAGACTCTGCAAATGTAGTACATGAAAGAGAGGAACCTATGATCTTAACAGCAAGCGTCCAAGACACTATGGATGAATGGGTCATGGATTCTGGGTGTACTTTCCACATTACACCTGATAGAGATGTCTTGTATGACTTCAAAGAAGTTGATGGCGGAAAGGTGATGATGGGTAACAACACTCACAGCGAAGTCAAAGGCATTGGGAAAATCAAGATCATAAACTCAGAAGGAGCTACCGTGATATTAACTGATGTGAGATACATGCCAACCATGAGCAAAAATCTCATCTCTTATGGCCAGCTAGAGAAGAACGGGTGCAAGTATGAAGGGAAGGACTTCATAGTTACTTTCTACAAGAAGGGCCAGAAAGTGATTTCAGGAAAATATGAGAACGGGCTGTACTATTTGCAGGGAACAGTTGTGAGAGGAGAAGCATCTGTGGTCAGGACGGAGGTAAATCTAACGAACAGATGGCATTCAAGGCTAGGACATATGAGTCTTAAGAACATGAATCTTCTGGTCAAAGGAGGTTATCTAGACTCAAAGGAAGTCCACACTTTAGATTTCTGTGAAAAGTGTGTGTTTTGGTAAGTCTCACAAGCAGAGTTTTCCAGTTGGCCAACACACTACTACATGTATTTTGGAATACATTCACAGTGATCTTTGGGGCTCAGTGTCAAACAAGCCAAGCATGACAGGGTGTAGATACTTTCTTACTTTCATTGATGATTACTCAAGGAAGGTTTGGATCAGATTCCTAAGGAGTAAGGACGAAGTGTTTGAAAATTTTTCAGAGTGGAAAGCACTAGTGGAAAATCAGAAGAGTAAGAAGATAAAGCGTCTGCGAACTGATAATGGATTAGAGTTCTGCAACAATCAGATGGATAAGCTATGTCAGGATTCAGGGATTAAAAGACATCGAACTTGCACTTATACTCCACAGCAAAATGGAGTATCTGAGAGGATGAATCGGACAATAGCTGAGAAGATCAGGTGTATGTTAGCAGAAACAGGAATGGAAAAGAAATTTTGGGCTGAGGCAGCTTCTACTGCAGTTTATCTCATAAACAGATCACCAAATGCATCACTGAAGTTCAAGATTCCTGAAGAGGTTTGGTCAGGATCAAAGGTTGATTACAGTCATCTCAGACGATTTGGTTGTGTTGCATATGTTCATGTAATACAAGACAAGATGAGTCCAAGAGCTGTTAAAGGGATTTTCTTAGGATATCCACAGGGTACTAAAGGTTACAGGGTTTGGATTCCGGAGGATGGAAAATGTACTAACAGCAGGAATGTAGTCTTTGATGAGGAAAATTTGTATAAGGACCGAGATCAGAATGAAGTAACAAAATCTACAAAGAAGAAGAAAGTTACTTTCAAAGCTGGATTGATCCAAGGACCTACTCCAAATGGTTCGGTTCAAGAGTCCACTGGTCAAGGTGGAGAGGTTTCAGGAAATACAGATTCTGCTGGTCAAGGTGGAGCTACTTCGGAACATTCAGAATCAGAAGAGGAGCAGGAATCTGAGGAAGAACAAGAAAATCAGGATGAAGAAGAGTCTCTTGATGATTATTTGCTGGCAAGAGACAGAGAGCGAAGAACTATCAAACCACCATCGAGGTTTGAGGATGCTGATTATTTAGCTTATGCTTTAACTAGCGCTGAAAGCATAGAGTTAAATGAACCAAAGTCAGTCGCAGAAGCTAGACAAAGTAAAGACTGGAAGAAGTGGAAGCAGGCTATGGAAGAAGAAAAACAATCTCTGGATAAAAATGAAACTTTTGAGATTGTCTCTAAGCCGAGAAAGCAAAAATTAGTTGGGTGTAAGTGGATCTTCAAGTACAAGGAGGGCATTCCAGGTGTTGAAGAACCTAGATACAAAGCAAGACTTGTAGCTAAGGGATTTACACAGGTTGAAGGAGTGGATTACAACGAAATATTTGCTCCGGTGGTTAAGCATGTTTCTATTAGAATCATGTTGTCAGTTGTGGTTAATTTTGATCTGGAATTGGAGCAACTAGACGTGAAGACTGCTTTCTTACATGGTACACTTGATGAAGTCATTTACATGAGTCAGCCAGAGGGTTTTATAGAGAAGGGAAACGAAGACAAGGTCTGTCTTCTTAAGAAATCTCTATATGGTTTGAAACAGTCACCTAGACAATGGAATCAGAAGTTTGATGAATTCATGAAGTCAATGGAGTTTCAAAGGAGCGCTAGGGATCCATGTGTTTACACTAAGGGATCATGTATTGATGATATGGTTTATCTCTTACTATATGTCGATGACATGCTTGTGGCAGCAAAGAATATGGAAAAGATCAAAGCCTTGAAGGCAAGCTTAAGTAAAAAGTTCGAGATGAAAAAAATAATAATAATGTAGAGAACTAACCATCTCCAATGGTTAGAACTACTCATGGGTTCTAACTAAATTTTTAAGCATAAATTTTGATAAAGTTTGTTTTAAGAACTTTATTTAGTGTTTTTATTTTTTAAGCATAAATTTTGATAAAGTTTGTTATAAGAGCTTTATTTAGTGTTTTTAATTTTGTGCTTTTCCAATGATTAGAATCCAAGTGGGGTTTTTTAAAAAAATTCGTTTTTGAAATTTATGGAGAATAGCACTGGCCATATATGGCTGATGGATTTGGTCAACATAACGAACCATTTAAACACCATAGTTGATGAACATCGAATATACACTGAGCATACATGTTCGGCCAAAAATTAAAACATCAACCATACACTGGCATTCTTCGGCCAAAAATTAAAAACTCGGCCAAAACATCAATCTCGACCAAAAATTAAAACAAAAAGTGAGACTATATATATAAAAGATCTCTGAGAAATACATTTTTCCATGACACTGAGCATTATTCCATAAACTCTATGCTTCCTTGAAACGACATTCAGTTTGAACAATCTCTACTCTCTTCGAAGACTGCAAATCTTTGGGAAACTTTGTCAAGAGCTGCAAAACATAGAGAGTTGTATATCAGAGTTAGAATAACTGCTAGGAAGGAAAGATATATCCCACTGAAAGCACGCATAACAACAAAGAACCGGAAGCCAAGAACCAGAAGCCACATCTTCATCCATATTCTCATAGACTGAGTAATTAACAGCCATGAATTTAAGAGGTCAACAACACCAAGCTCATTGAGTATCGTGGATTACAGACATGTGGAGTTCATTTATTTACTTAGAGAGAATCATAGACAATTAACTCAGCTCAGCCAGTCTTATCTCTGAGATACAAAAAAACAAAACCCAAAAATATTCAATACCAATATCAAAGATCGGATAAGAACCATATGCTAAACTTTTTCTTATGATCATAAGCAAACATTCAAGCATTTGAAACACCAACACATATAAAACATGAACTGACTCAAACAAGAGAAACAAGAGAAAACAAGAACTTTTACAAAACTCAATCAAGAACTTTTACCATCAGACTATATCTAATTAAGGTCAATGAATCATATCTTTTTTAGCTAATTAGGAACTAAACCGCAGTCAGCAAATGTAAGCATACTGAGAAGAAAGCTTAAAAAAAAAAATAATAACTTCTCTAGAAAGCAGTAAAGAGCTTTTTGGGAAGTGTCTGGTTTTCTTCATCGGCCATAATGACCAATGTACATGGCCGATGAGTTTATATAAAAAGTCTCATATTTTTTTCATATGGCCAATGTACATGACCGATGAGTTTAATTACATACCAACTTGTTTTATTTAGTTAAAACATAACTTGAACATTCAAGCATAAATTAAAACATTTAAGCATATCGATTTTAATTGAATTTTGTATTCTCCGCAGAAGGAGAGAAAGGAGTTATGAGAGAATGTCTCGGTGTCACAGTATCATTGGACAGTGATGTATGTTTATGAGTACCATTAAAGAACAAACTAACGCAACTATACATGATACATGTGTTCATGAACTGGCCGTATAGTTAATGTGCCGATTCTTACCCTAGAATTATGCATGAGAGATGATGTTATCTTATTTGTTTCTAGTGGAACGCCAAAGTTTACTTATTTTGTGGTCGCGGTTCATAGACACTTAGAGGCTCCTCATGAGGAAGCCCTCGAAGGTGATTCCCGGTCCGAAAGCTAAGCCCAGACCCCACTCTTCTCCTCCTCTGCCTTTCTTACCAAGCTCATCCCTTACTTTGTCCATTATGTAGAAAATGGTGTTGCTGCTAGCGTTCCCATAATCCATCAACGCCTGTCTGCTGCACTCCAGCTTCCCCGGCTTCAGCTTCAGTTTCGTCTCCAGCCCGTTCAGGATGGCTGGTCCACCGGGATGAACTGCCCAGAACAGGTCATTCAACTCCAATGAACCAGAGCCAGAGCCAGCCTCTGCCACCAGCTTCTTGCAGAAGTCCTCTACGTTGTCTTCGATCCTCTGAGGGAGGTCTCTTGCTAGCTTGAAGCTTATGCCCTCCTCTGACAGCCGCCCGTCGATCACCCCCTGTGTTCCAGGCAGGAACTTCTGCATAGCACAGTGAAGCTCAATGAAGGGAGATTCTGACTCTGTAGGGTCTGCTCCGATGATGAGGGCAGCTGCTCCGTCTCCAAAGAGAGCAGCCCCGACTAAGTCGTAAGGGCGAGCTTTGTTGGGCGGACGGAACCCCAGAACCATAGTCTCAGAGGTGGTGAGCAGCACCCGGCTACCTCGGTTGTTCTCAGCAATGTCCTTGGCCAGGCGCAGGCCAGTCACGCCTCCGTAGCATCCCAGAAAATACAGCATCACTCTCTGCACCTCGTGGCGAAGGCCCAGCTGTGCCGAGAGGTAAAGGTCACCTCCGGGCAAACGGAACTCACTGGAGGAAACATAGATAAGATGAGTGATATCTTCCACTGGCCTTCCCCATTCCTTGATGCAAGCCAGGCTGGCTTCATATGCCATTTGCACAACCGCCTCGTTTGCAATCTCGAGCCTCTGTTTGATGGTTGGGGAACCCTCGGTTGCTAGCTCAGGGTATTTGTGCAGCGTCTCCCTGGACATGACCGTGTAGCGTGTCTTGACAGTTGTAGTTTTACCTAACACCACATAGATATGTATGCTTATACATATATATATATATAGATAGATAGGCGGTGAGAGAGAAAGTTTGTGAAAAGAAAGATGATGAATATACACAAGTGTTGCAGCTTGTGTTTGATAGAGAGGTCATCGCATTTGATTTCGCGGAGATACTCCTCCACGAGATTCTCTTGAGAGACAACATTGCTGGGGAAGGCCTTACCGAGAGCAAGAACTGTCGCCTTTCCCTGATTCGCAACACGCCTTGTACTTGGGGCTATCTCCTTTTGTTTCTCTGCCCTTCCGGTGGCCAACGACATGTTTGTCAATTTTGTCACAGTTTCAGAACACACAAAGGATCGATTGATTAGTGGCCTTTTAATCATAAAAATTCTGAACGAAAAAGGAAATGTGGGTGGTGTGTTTGTAACAAACACCAGACAAAAACCCTAAATAAACTCAAGGATCACACTTTGAATGATCCCTTCAGATTCCTCTTTTTTCCTGCGATCACTCCTTTCTTAGGATTTCTATTTAGGGGAGAGAGAGAAGGGGAGAGATGGAAAAATGGTGTTTATAATACAACAAACAAAGGTCGGTTTTTAATTATACAAAGAGGGAATCATTCTCTCCAGTTAAAAGGAGCACGATCAACGACTAAGTAGTCTCCTCTGATGTCCTTGGCCACTCTGATCTCGCCATCCATATACACAGTTTCAAACCTGCGCAATCAGATTCAAACCAAACTCAACTCTCTCGAAGAAGAAGAAGCTACGAATAGCTTGTTTGAACCAGAAGAACTCACCAGCCCTGACCAAATGGTGGCAGCGGGATCTCCCAATTGCTTCCTCTCAACACCGCACTACTGAATCTGATATCCATCAAAACACCCTGATGGTGATGATAAGCTTCTCTGCTTGTTCGAGAGACGAGAGGAGAGGGAGGAATCTAACCTGAAATTGACTCTCTGCGGAGAAGCAATGTCGATGTCAGAGCGAACGAAGAAAACCCCGTCGGGCGGGAAAGTGATGACGTTGCTGAGCATCCGTCTCTTCACATCGATCACCTGCAGAACGTCTCCAGCGCGCGTGCCGAACAACCCCGCCTTCTCAATGATGAAGAGCTGTTCCTTCTCCGTCGTCCACAGCAGTCGCCACGTGGCAGAGAGCGAGTCGCCTGTGGTGACGGAGCTGCGCCCGATAACCGCCATGGATTCGATGGCATTCACGATTGCATCTCGCCTAGCGGCGTCTTTCTGGGTTCTCAGGCCTCGATCCTGGTCGGAGATCAGCTCTAGCAGGTTCCGCTTGGCTCGCTGTGCGGCGAAGAGCGAACAGCTTGTCCGTCGAATACTGCGACGGAGCCTGAGTGGAGGAGATGCTGAGAGCAGCGAGAGCGCCATGTGTTGTTGCTGCTGCGGTGGGGTGGGCTGAATATCATACAAGAAGAAGACATGTACAGTTGTATTTGCGTTTTTAATGGGCTTGGGCTTAGGAAAAAGGGAGATGTTTGAAGCCCACTGAACGTATTCGAAAATGGCTACTGAAAGTGAACCAGCGACTTGTTCATGGAGGAAAATATTTCCAATACACACTCTCTTTGTTTCGTCTAACAACACAACTAAAAACAATCCAGCCGCTCCGGAATCAAGGTGAACCGAAAAAAGAAGAAGAAAAAGATACGAGTCTAGGCGGGCAAATAAGACTCCAGCATCAGTTTGGCTGGGGAAGGAGTTAAAATCTCAACGATCAGGTACGTGTATTTCCATTCCTTGTCTGTCTTGTCTCTAAACATCTCCGTGTACACTTTCCCGGCTCCTTGAGGCCCACGGATGAAGAAGTTTACCTGAAAGCATTTTCAATATCTTTTTTTTTTGAGTAATTTTATTTTAGAATTGATTTTTTTGCTAACAATCAATGAGTTACCTCAACATGCTCTACTCCGTCTTCATCTGTAAATACTCTGTTGGGTATACGTTGACGAGCAGCTCGGTTCCTGGTTTCTTGTCCGTATCCTGTGATGGGGGATCCAATCCTAACCCTCACCTAGTTTACATGTCAAATTACTCACAGATTTCTTTTGACTTAACACCACCTATGATCCAATCTATGGAGTTAAGTTTCTTATTACCTGACTGTCATCTTGAATTCTCTTCAAGGCTTTGTCAAAGACCTTGTACCTACAATACAAAACAGTAGTATCTTTAGATTATTCCACTCCAAGTGTCATATCAGACAAATCATCTATACATAAAGAGTTCTGAACCCTCACTCTTTTGGTTGAAATATGAGCTCTTTAAACACTCCGTACCCAGCAGCTCCAGCGACCCCAAGCCCAGCCAGAATAACAAGACTGTAGGAAGCACCTTCTGTAAAGGTCACCGGCTTCTCCGGGATATGGTACGTAGGAGAATCAAAAGGGTCTTCCACAGTAGTCACCTCTTTCTTAGCCTGTATGACATTTTTAAGAGAATCCACAAAGCAGCATCAGTGTCATAAGCAAAACATATCGATTTACTACTAATTATACTGGAATTAGATGATGTATATCGCTTTTGATGCCTCTCATTGTGATAAACGGCGAACAAAGAAAGGTACAGAGATGGAACAACAACAGCAAAAAATAAAAGTTGGAGGTCAGAAGCATATTTTTATTAACACCTTATTCCGCTGTACACCAGGTTCTTTAGAACTTGTTGATGCAAAAGATCTAGAAATGGAAGACGACTTGATGTTCTTTGGACGAGATTCCATACACATTCTTCCTTGTTGATTTCGGAAGCCAAACAATAGTCCTGCAAACAGATCCACTGTCAGAACAACCACTAGACAACCCTAGGATTTGAAGTTTCATAACACATTATTTTCGCTGACCCTTAGCACCATTTGAGTCCTGCAAAGCAAAAACAATGAGAGATATATTAAACTAAGAGCTAAGCCCAAAAGGGCGTAAGCAGCAATGAAGCTAACATCTTACCACACTCATGAGACCCGAATCAGTAATGGCTTGCCTTGATGCTCCTCTTTGTAAAACGGTTATCAACTGCATCGGAAGGGAGAAAACAGGATGCTTAACAACTAAAGCCTTGTAAGAGAAACAAGAACTATATTCTCTTTTCTCGTCATGAGAAACCACAGAGTGTGAATAGGGGTATTGCAAAGAAATGAACAAAAGCAATTGTGTGACTGTTCCCGAGAAGAAGGTATTTATTTTTCACTAGAGAGAGCTCAAGCAGGAGTAGAAAATCATTCATCCGATAAATAGAATTGAGAAAAAAGCAACCTCAGACCAAAGTGCGTTTCATATACAGATACTGGAAACTTGTGCTAACTCGAGCAGGATTAGAGGATAAATTATGCAAGTCAAATTCCTTTTTTGTTTTTTGTTTTTTTGGGTTTGTGAACAAGATATCATGACTATGTATAAGAATCGATTAGCGATTCTCGTTACGGTGCTGAAGAAAAAATTGAAATCCCCGAGTGGGAAAAGGAATGAAATCCTACTAGAGAGAAAGAGACAAACCGATTTTCGGATTCCAGAAGGTTGTGAAGCGGAGGAAAACGGGAGGGTCGAAGCCAGTTTCGATTTAGATATGCTTCCGAGGGATCTCCTTACGAGGTTCATCATGTCTGATGTCTTGTATCCAGCAAAGTGATGTATGAAAACTTAGGGAAAAACTAGGGGAGATCAGAAGTAAAGAATGAAGCCTTGAAACCTTAATCAGAAGCTTTACAAATTGATTTGTAGAAGATGAAGAAGATCATCGAGGTTGCGGAGCAAGGCGAAGCCGCTTCTGGGGTTTTACCGTAGACACGTGACAGGAAAGCAACGCACGTGCGTGATCTGGTCTTGGGCCTGGGCTCATGAGATAATCCGTTTTACTGGAGATGCTGTTAGTAAATAAGTCAATCAATCAAACAGGCTTACTGAGCCCAGGCCTGGAGACTAATTACCATAAGTTAGTTGGCCTGTTTGTTTGACTTATTCACTCCCAGTCTCTAGTTCTTGTTTACCGTGGTGAAAATACTTTTAAGATTCTTTTTTTTTTTTTTAAATGTTAAGATTTCTACCGAATTAATACTTGAGATACCTAACTTATGGTAATTTGAATGCCTCTTTGTTGCAGAGATAAAATTAGCCAATGGTTCAATTTGCGCAACCGTGAGAAGAAGGAAGCTCAAAGGCTAAGAGCTGCGTTTGAAGCCAATTGTTTCACACAAAAAAAAAGTTTGAAGCCAATTTTACACACAAAAAAATAGTTTGAAGCCATTTTTTATTCTCATTACTCTCTCTTTCTAAGGCTAACAGTTCATTTTTTGGTGGGTGCACCTCAATCTAACAATAACATCCTAAAAAAGAAATATGATACCTTTGTTCACATTGAAGCTATCAAGACAAGTAGTATAAACAATTGTCTTAAAAAGGCAAGTATTTTTTTTTTTGGTTAAAAAAAGGGAAGTATTTACTAGAACGTCGAAAGTGAATGTTCTTAATTAAATGCAGAATTGACAAAAAAAAAAAAAAAAAAACTAAATGCAGAAATGACCAAAAAAGAAAGAAAAATACACAAACAACTGAAAAAAAAAATCGAAACACAGTCATCCTTGGCTTGATAATACCGAAGTTTTTCTGTTGGTGTAATGTCTTTTTAGGAGAAGATGAGGGCAACGGCAAAAGCCAAAATCTGTTAAGAGTAAATGGTAAAAAGTGGTTAAATTTTGGATGTCAATAAAAAAAAAAGGTGAGAAGAAACCCTAGAAATGTCATAATTCCCCTAATCTCTCTCTCGATGTTCTTCTCAACATGCACAACCACCACCGTCCCGATTCCGACTCCGACTCCGATTCCGATTTAAGCTCCCTCCTCTCTGATCAGCTTCTCCTCTGCGTCTTCTCCAAACTTCCCATTTCTCAACACACCTCCACTTCACTCGTCTGCAAGCGCTGGTTGTATCTTCACGGCCGCCTGGTTCGTTCTCTTAATCTCCTGGACTGGCACTTTCTCGAGTCTGGTCGGCTTTTCGCACGCTTCCCTCATCTCACCGAAATCGACATCGTCCGTTCCTGTCTCCGCCTCACGCCGCCATACTCGGGTGTCTTCTTCAACACCTTCAGTCCCTTCTCCTCTCTTCCTATCAGTACTAGTACCCATGACTGGTGGTCTTCTGGCAAAACTGTCGGTGATTTGTTGCCGCCTGATGGGATTTATGAGTTAATCGCCCACAAGTATCCCAATTTGAGGAGAATTGCGGTGCTTGGTGCGAGCGAATATGGGCTGGCCAGCCTAGCTGACACGTGTCAGACATTGCAGGAGCTGGAGCTCCATTGTTGCGGAGATCTGTCCTTGAAGGGCGTTCCAGGATGTGTAAACTTGCAGGTAATGAAACTGTGTGCAAGGAGAGATGGTTTTTCTACTTGCGTGGTATCGGACATTGGGTTAACCATTCTAGCACAAGGTTGCAAGAGGCTGGTGAAACTCGAGCTATGTGCTTGTGAAGGAAGTTATGATGGGATCAAAGCTATTGGGCAGTGCTGCCAAATGCTCGAGGATTTGACTTTTCAAGACCATAGGATGGATGGTGGCTGGTTGGCTGCTCTCTCTTTCTGTGCGAATTTGAAGACTTTGAGGCTTCAGTCTTGCAAGGCTATCGATTCTAATCCTGGACTCGATGAGCACCTGGGAGTTTGTCCTATGCTCGAGGAGTTGCACTTAGAACGGTGTCAGCTCAGGGATAAGAAGAGCACCAAGTCTTTGTTTCTGGTCTGTGGGGATGTTCGGCATATCGTGCTGCGTAACTGCTGGGGTTTCCAGGATGATTTGTTTGCCTTTGCCTCAATCTGTAGGTAGGGAAACAACCCCCCTCCCTTCTTCTTCTTCTTTTTTTTTTTGGGTAGTTCAATAACTGGTCTGTTATAAAGTTATTTCTGATGATAATGTGTGTCTTTGTCAGGAGTGTGAAGCTACTTTCTCTTGAACATTGCTCATTGCTGACGACAGGAGGTCTAGAATCAGTACTTCTTTCGTGGAAGGATCTTCAAAGACTAATCGTTGTTTCGTGTAGTAAGATAAAAGACAACGAAGTAACTCCAGAACTTGCTTCCCTCTTCTCTATGCTGAAAGAGCTCAAGTGGAGACCGGATACGAGATCTTTGCTGTCAGCAGATCTCGAGGGCATCGGAATGTGGAGAAAAGGCGGTAAATTTTTCGCCAGTTCAAAGGTTTCAATGTGAAACATAAATTAGTGAGCGGAGAGGCAGGAAGAAGTTGGCACAGGAACAGTATTGTTACTGAACAATGCATGTCTTTGTTTGTCTTCACCTTCCTTGTTGTAAATGCGGTAACTCTGGTACGCCTTGAATTTGGAAGGCATACGGGTTAACTTCTCTTAGTGCAGTCTTATACTATAGTTGATGGAAACTTAAAGACACTGAAAATGCACATGAATAGAATAAAACATATCCCTGTTTGGGATTTTTAGTTCCTTTTTTGGTCTGTAAGGGACTCTCTTCTTCCGGGAACATCCTGCAATAGCAGCATGTCATTTTGCCTTTGGTGGTGTTTGGTCTTTCTGGTTTCTTGTGACTGTGCAGGTTGAAGCTCAGACAAGAGAGCGGCTAGGCCATGAGTGAGTTTTCATTCTTACGTTTAGACTTTTGAATCTGTTGATCATCCAATGATGCATATGAATTAGTTGGTTAGCATCGATGGTAATGACTAATGAATGTACTGGCTTGTTGACGCGAGAATAGGAAATCTGAGTAAGCATAGGGGCTGTGTGGCCAGTTCTAGCCAGTGGATTCATAGCCCTGCCTCCGTGTTCTCCATACAACTGATGGGGTAAGCTCTAATTTGTTTTACCAATAAGGCTGGTCAACTTTGTCTTTATTCATGTTTTTTTTCTTTTCTTTTGTTTCTCCGTTTTCTAACTTCAAAGCTTATAGGAAACATTTCATTTTGTGATCTCCGGGAGGAGCATTTAGGCATTTCATTTTGTATCATTTTGCATCGACGCATTTGCATTGTGAGAACAATTTTTGTTTTTTTTTATTGCATTAACATTATGTATTCGAATTGAGGATAAATTTTGGTTGAAATGGACATCCAGTAGCTGAAAAGCAAAGATAAATTAAACAAACATGATTTACACATTCTATCTTTGTGATCTTCATATTGAACATCATCTTATTGCCAAATGCAGACATTTACACATATATACATAGCTAAGTGGAGCCCAAAATATCCATGTCCACTGGCTTCAGACCACCACAAGAACTGGCCACCGATTTAAACAGTTTCTAAATTTCTGGTGCACACCTTATGAACCCTTGTTCTCAAAACTCATATCTTGGATTCTTGATGAGCTCAATGAATATTCTATCACTTGCATACATAAAGCACGACTAAAATACTTTTACATGACCATAAACTGTGCAAACCAAGGATTGTATCGATTAGACAAAATTTCAGCGAATTCTTTCCCTTTAGATTCAATGTTTGCTGCTGAGACATTATTCATTACGAAAGAGATGTTGTCCTGAACTTCAGAAGGTGGAGCCTGGATAAAAAACAATGCCTATTCCTTGTCATCGTTCAAATAAACAACAGACATTTGACACATTGATCTTCATTGAGCAATTTATTACCTTGCCATTTTCAGGGAAAAACTGAGAGCGGCCAAGCTTAGGAGTAAAGATGAAAAAAGAAAAACTTATCAATGTTAAAACCTGACAATGACAATTTTAGTCTTTAGTGAAGAAGATACATAAAGGATAGAAAGCACAAAAGTCATCTTCATTCATTCCTTCCTTCAAGTATAGTTTAACATTCCCGAGCATCCTTTTCTATTAGAAATTTCATTTACAATATCTGAATCCTTACACCGGATGTTGATGTCTCCCACAACAACGCCGTAACTCACTATTTACTCAAACATTGTCAGTGTTTACCAAGAGTCGCTTTCAGTTTCAGGTGCCCTCTGATAAACCAACGTGCTTGTATCTGCATGGTACTGTCCATACAAGGCATAAAAGGCAGTTGCAAGCACACTCACAACAACAAATCTTATCCATGCTTCATAATGCAACTGCAAAGTAGTACAATCTCAGAGTAAAAATGTATATATATGGTATATGGGATTAATACAATGTTAGCTCTTAGCGTGTACCTGAGCAAATAAGAAGATGTTGAAGAAAATGCAAACGCATGGCACGATGGGTACACCAGGACAGCAAAACCCAGATCCCAGAGACTGAGCATAAGCCTGGAAGCGAAAAGCTGAGGGGGTTAACATGGAGAATTGCTAAAAACCATGAGGGTATATTTCAACTGCATCGTCGTGTCATTTCTAATTGCTGTTAGCAAACTTCTCTAAACCAAGAATGCCAAAGTTGAATCAATTGTCATATACTTTCAAAGTATCACCAGTGGAGTTCCCAAGTGCCAGAACATGCAACTTGTGGTCTCTCTTTGTGCTGTACCACTGAAAGACTTGTTGGTATTTAACTTTTCAAAATTACTTAATCTCCAGCATTCAATTATTTTGGCGCTCTGTACTTAAGAAGAGGATTTATATGCTTATGCTTAAGGCCACTTACTTGGCGATAATGGAGAACTCCTGAAGCGATAACTGCTACACCAACTGAGAGGAGAAGAAACATAATTGAAGCACTGAAACGGTAAAATACGCCAGCACCAAAACCACTGCACGCGATTATAACAAGGCAAATGACGCCTTCCTGCCAATTTGATGTCCATCCATTTGACGACTCTCTTTCTTTCTTATCGTTCAATCTCAGAGCCACAAGACAAGCCGCAACAACTGAATACCCAGTCTGAAAAAACGGGACACCAAAAATAATGTTAAAACTGGATGGGATAAGCATCCATCAGAAAACCAAAAGGATATTACAAAAAAAAAAAAAAAAATGGAAGACCTTGACGTACCAATGTACCAACTGACAGAATATGGGAAAGACTATGTACATTAAATAAGCCAGCTAAAACGCCAGCAACAATGCCACACCAGATTTGAGAATGAAGAGGTGTATGAAGAGTTGGGTGTATTCTGGAAAAGATCGAAGGCAATAGACCATCCCTTCCAAGTCCCAGATACAACCTGGACTGTTAGTGAAAAAAATATCATCTGAGCATTCAGAGATACTCTACATTGGTTTGCATGAGAACAGGTGACTGGGAATCAAAGATATTACAAAAGGGATCACCTGAACATAAAGACCAACAAGCAGAGTAGTTGTGAGTCCAGCAACAGCACCAATACTGATTAAGATTGAGACGAACTTCATACCCTTTGATGAAAAGGCTTCAGCTAAAGGAGCATCTTCGCTGAGGAGACTAAAAGGGACCATCCCAGTGAGCACTAAACATACGCCAATATACAGCGAGATACATACCAGAAGGCTCCCCATAATTCCGATTGGCAGATCGCGCTGAACATTACACAATGGGATGGAAGTAAACAGGTATAAGACACTGTGTAAGAAAAGTAAATACATGATAATGTATACTATATATATATATATATATATATATACATGTGCAGAGACCTGAGGGTTCTTGGATTCTTCAGCAGAATTAGCAACTGCGTCAAATCCAACATATGAAAAGAAGACAACAGTAGCTCCAGTCAGTACTGCCTTAAAACCATTAGGAGCGAAAGGAGACCAATTTGCTACATCAATATCAAAAGCTCCGGCGCAGATCACAACGAGAACGATCATGACCTTGGTAGCAGTCATAACGGAGTTGACAGCGGAAGATTCCCGCACACCCTGGCAAAGAACAAGGGTCAAGAGCGCAAGTAGAATGGGAGCCAGAATATTTAAAGAGAGAATCCCTCCTAACAAGTCTTTGCCGCTTCCCATCCAGAGAGGAATACTGCCCTTGAGAGCTGGAAAAAGCTCAAGGAGAGCTACGGCATAGCTTGCCAAGCTACGTGAGATACTCGCCGCCCCAATATGATAATCAAGCATGAGTTGAACGAAAACGAGAAAAGCCGTCATCTCGTTGAATGCTGAATACGAGTACATGTAAGCTCCCCCAACAACAGCAGGGAAACGAGATGCAAGCTCTGCGTAACATAGAGCGTTCAACACACACGATGCTCCAGCTAGCAAGAAGCTGATCGTCACTCCTACACACACACACACACACACATACACACAGGGTAAGTCAGTAATTGCAGCAATTAATTCTGAACGAATCGATGGAAAAGGAAATTATGAAAAAGGAACTGACCGGGTCCAGCATCGCGAGCTACGGTTCCGGTAACGACGAAAACACCGGCGCCGATGGAAGCGCCGACGCCCAACAGTAAGAGATCGAAGAGGCCGAGACGACGAACCAGAGAATCGCCGGACGTGGAGCGAACGGCAGTCTGCGAGGACGGAGGAGCCAAGGATTTAAACCGGCGAGCTGAAGCACACAAATGAGAGAACCATGTGGCAGAGGAGAAACCTTCGTGGCCTCCCATGGAAGATGGAATATTGGAATTGTTGAGATCGACTCGAGACGATGAAATGAAATCAACGATCAGTCGGATCTATCCAACCCGGGGTAATAAGAGAATCCAGTTAAAGATAGGTATTGGGCCAAACAAAGGGCCCAATAGAAATCAGTGAGCCCAGGAATCATCTAAGTCAAGCAATCGATGATCTATGGCTGAAACTGAAAGAAAAGATAAAGAAAGCAGCTACCGAGAAAGCGATAGAATAACAATAACCTTTTATTATTATTATTATACACTCAAAAGTTTAAACAACTCAGGCTAAAATTTGTCAGCTTTCTTTCGGATACACTAGTTTATAGGGAGAAAACTAATCATCATACATAAGCGAATTTAAAAAATATGGAAGACTGAACATTGAGTAAAACGTGATGAATTCGGGCATTTCCAAGCAACAGCAGATAGTGTACATTATTATAATATATGATCCCTATAAATTAAGGAGGGTGTATCCCCTTTATATATAATATTGTCCGTGTAAAGCTGAGATAGATCCAGAACAACAAGACATCGATCGAAGCAGAGTGAGTGAGGAAAATAATGGAGGGAGCGCTGAGATGGGAGGAGGAGAACGACTCGGCAGTTCTGGATTGGATTCGTCGGCAATTGCTGGAGGAGGATGACCTCCTCGATCTGACAGCTGCCGGAGATAAAGGAGATTCATCATCGTATTCGTCTGTGCCGCCGCCACCAAGGACAAGGACAAGGACAAGGAGAGGGTCGAATTACAAAGGAGTAAGGAGAAGACCATGGGGAAAATACGCGGCTGAGATCAGAGATCCAAACAAGAACGGAGCCAGAATGTGGTTGGGCACCTTCCAGACCCCTGAGGAGGCTGCTCTCGCTTATGACCGCGCAGCTTTCAAGTTGCGTGGCTCCAAGGCTAAGCTTAACTTTCCTCACCTCATCACCACTGAGGAGACCACTTGTGGTAACAAACGCCAGCGTTCACCTGAGCCCACATCTCCGCCACCTAAAAGGCGAAACAACACCAACATAATTAACCTTACCACTAGACTTCCTTCCCTCGGATTAATGCTCTCTGTATTTCAAAAACACCTACAATGACTATCTATGAGACTCTGAAATTTTTTTTTTTTTTTCTTTTTCCAATATTGTCCAAAAATACTAAATTCAAACCATATATTATCTCTTTTACCATTTCACAGTAAAACATCCCTCCCGATTCTCCGTCATCATTCTACGTCTTCTAAAGAATCATCTGTGAAACAACTTCCATTACATAAGATTCATCTTAAAGCTTCGGTCACCTTTTTTTTTTTCCAGCGACAATACATTACATAAGAATCATCTTAAAACAACTTCCATTACATATATAAGAATCATCTTAAATGCAAACTCCTATTGCAATGGCGTTTTAGTGTTATAACCATCGTTCTATATGTTATAATTTCAAATCACTCTACTTTGAAGATGATGCCCACCCATGGATTTAGGCCTTTTAAGGTAATTGATTCCTACCTAATCAAGGCTGAAATCGTATCCGGGAATTTTTAAGGATCCTAGTTAATTAGCAGATCACTAGCGGGTTCTGGAGGATGTAACATAGTCACTTAGCTTATGAACTTGATCAGGAACCAACTGACAAGTACAGCTAGCATTGCCTAGAGTAACTTGAATGATCAGAAGATGCAGTGAAAGTACTCATCCATAAATAACATAAAACGTTAGAAATTAAGAAATATCAAGTGATGTATGTTATGTACAATATATAATTCTATATTTCCATTAATTCTACATTAAGATTAAACTATGTTTATTAGTTAACAACCACAATATCCTGAGATTTGAAACATCAATTCCCTGATTTGTATTGTGTCTCATGCTGATATAAACTTTTTCAGGAAGATAGACTTCTAAATGACCAGCCTTATTGCATCGTGTCTCTAAGAGGGATTAATTGTTTCTATAAGCACCATTGAAGATTAAGTGACTTTATTCTTTGTTCTATAAGCATCGTGCCAACCAAGCATACAATATATATACGAAATAAAACTAGGCCAAACTATAGCTCATTACATCCCTTTAAGTTGGAGAATAAACATTTAAAATGTCCAATTTGGACACTAAACTATCAAACTGTTGAAACTCGAGTGTTTTAGTTAGAATATCAACTAATTGATCTTTTGTTGAAACATGAGCTGTATAAATAATACATGTTATCACTATGCATCATCTTGACTTGTTTACCTGGCCATTTTCAAAATGAACGCAAAAATTTGCAGAACTTGCCTAACTATTTGGTATTTTGTTCGATAATTCTCTGCATACCATCTTCTAGTTTCAACTGAGACTAGTTCCATTTTGTGAAAAGGATAATAGAAGCCATTGAATATATGATTAATGAAGGCCGACAAAAAAAAAATGATTAATGAAGTTGTAGAGAGAAAAGGCCCATCGGCCCATCGTCTAAAAAATGAGCGCTTATTGTCGGGCATTTAGGGTTGCTATATAAACCCGTCCTCTCTTCGATAGAGCTTCGATATCGCCGACGACAAAAGGATCGACAATGGAACAAACTTTCATAATGATCAAGCCCGATGGCGTCCAGAGGGGTCTTGTACGTTTCTATTATCCTTCCTGTTTCTGGTTTTTTCTCGTATCGAGGGAGTCTTTTGAATAAGACAACCTTTTCATTTTTCATGTTTTTTCAATATGAAAAAGTAATTAGAATGAGAGGTGTTAAGTTTTTCATCACAGTTTCGTGATTATGTCTTCCCTCTATGCTCCATCTCGAGGATTGTGGACTTGACTATGATTCCATATTTTTGGTATTTCAGGTCGGTGAAATCATCTGCAGGTTCGAAAAGAAGGGTTTCACTTTGAAAGGTAAATCTAATAATTTTAGTTAGATTTATGTTTTATACTTCATGTTAATAGCTGCATAATCATCGTAACTCAGAGTTGCTGATGTAACTTAGAGTAGCTGATGTAACTTTGAGTAGCTGATCTAACTTTCTCTAGATCTGTTTAGTCATCGAAAGGATCATATTTCGTAATATTCTCTTCTGTCTAAGTTACATTACGGACTTGAGAGTGGCTGAGTAGTTGATGATAATTGGCTTGGTTGCTGGCATGTGCAGGTCTTAAGCTGATCACTGTGGACCGTCCTTTTGCTGAGAAACACTACCAAGACTTGTCTGCCAAGCCCTTCTTCAGTGGTCTTGTTGATTACATAATCTCTGGCCCAGTCGTTGCCATGATCTGGGAGGGGAAAAATGTTGTTTTGACTGGGAGGAAGATCATTGGAGCAACTAACCCTGCAGCTTCTGAACCGGGAACCATCCGTGGGGATTTTGCAATTGACATTGGCAGGTAAGAGCCATCCTTTTGTTTTTTTTTTTAAAATATATATAATTGTCAAATTGTATTGAGTTGGGCAGTTAAACTAGTAGAATGAAAAATGTGATTATTGCTGCAGGAACGTGATCCATGGGAGTGACTCTGTGGAGAGTGCCAACAAGGAATCTGCGCTATGGTTCCCAGATGGACCTGTGAACTGGCAGAGCAGCCTTCATCCTTGGATTTACGAATGATTCTATTTCTATCGTGTGTGTTTGTTTTTTTGCCTTTGATATGAATCAGAACATGTCTCTCCATTGTTGTTGTTCATGGCTTTGTTGCTTCCGCTTTCTTTCTTAGATATATCGATCGAGACCTTTCTGTTTTCATGTTTCTGAATCAAAACATACGCTCCTCCATTTCCAGTTTCGTGTGTAATGGATTTTCTATTTCTTTTCCTTGCCGGCTCGCACAACGTACTAAAATCTCGATTTCTTCGATCAGGATAAAGCCTAATGAGTTTCTTCAACAGTTGTATTAATTTTCTTGAATTCCGAAAATTACACTAGAAATTGTTTATTGGTAGGAACATATCTGCATCTCAAAACAGTCGGGACCACTGGCTTGTAATTAGTTGTCATGTCACAAGAGAATTGCAACGCTCCTCTAGCTAGCTAGGATTAATCTTTGATAAGAAATTTACAAAAAACCATTAATGCGGCTGTGTGTGTATATTTTAACGAGAAGAGGTCAGAGCTTGGGGGTATAGTGGGTGTCATTCCATGAACCCCAACACTTAACATGAGGGCTCCACTTGGTTTTGACATGTGAGGCTTTGTAGCGTTTCCAGTCACGAAGAACAAGGGTGAGATCAAAGACCTTGGCAGCGATGTGGCGGCAGCAGTTGGCGTGGACGGTGGTGACAGCGCCCATGTCAGGACTGTCTTGGCAGAAACCGCTGAAATGGGTGGTGTTGAGGAAGCCAACGGTTATGCCGAGCTTGTGCAAGTGGCCTGAGTCGAGGAGCTTCTTGAGGACGTCTTGTTCCTTGAGGCCTGTCGAGTTGAGCCTCATGTCGTACCATTTCTGGAAGAGGGAGATGGTCTTGTTGTTAGAACGGACGTGGTAGAAGCCCGTGTTGATCAAGTGTCCTCCCACGCCGGCACTGTCCACGCTTATCTGCATATCCAAGCTCCCATTGTTGCTTAGCCGGGAGAAAGGGCTCCTTAGCCACATCACGTCCGTGTCCTGACAAAATTTAATACCACGTACTAAATTATGTATGCATATATATACTAAATTAACTGTGTTATATATTTTATGTTCCAAAATCGACAACAACTAAGTAAACCGTGAAAAGGAGATGGTAGCCACGGCGGAGCACGTCTAGGAGCAATCGAGTCCTCCGCCACATATCTCAATGAAATCGTCCGACATGTACACTTTCTCTCCCTCCAAGTCAATCCCCTCCGTCTCCATCTTGTAGCAATGGAGCCTCCTGAATTTGCAGCGATCATAGGCCGTCTGATCTGCTGCCACCACCATCAGATGGTCCAGCAGCGGCAGAGTATCCTCTCCTTCCCAGAAACTCTCCAGGAACAGATCCAGCATCGTCCTTCCTCCAACCTCCTCCACGTACGCTTTGTTCACCATCGCTATTATCACCGTCTTGTTGTTTCCCGCTGCCGCCCTGTTCAGCGCCGCCTCTAGCTCGTCCACCGGAAACGTTATCGTTCTCTATCACCACTTCACTATTAATATCATCTCCTGTATATTATATATTTTCTACTCTATATTCTAATATATATGTATGTATATTACGAATCAACGTTACCACATTGTGTTGGAGATCGGAGATAGGATCGATAATCAAACGCGAGGAGAAGCAGATATATAGGGCGCCGGCAAAAAGCAGAGCAACGGCCAAGGCGAGATTGCCGGAGGAGATATTGCAGAGAGGCATGTTTTCAGTTATCGAATTGTTAGGAGTAGGAGACTCACGCTATCTTATGTGCCCTTTCTCTCTCTCTCTCTCTCTAATTCGTACACACAACAATTTAACCTACATCAGTTTATATAAGGAATGAATTATTCACCAAACTTGAGTTATCGCAAATTGATGTGAACCTAGTATTTTTTTTGTTTTCTTTTGTGTTGGGGGGTGTTAGAAAAATATAGAATCCACATTTGTTTCTCTAGTACTCTAATGATACTCATTCACCAGCTAGCGCATTCATAAAAAATACAAGATGAATTGAGGAGTTTTCTGTGTTATATAGGTTTTCTCTTTTTTTTTTTTTTTTTTTTGGTGGGGTAAGGAACAACAATCTGTTAATCTGTTTTGTAATTGTTACAAACTCTCTCATAACCTAATGAAATTCAACTGCTTATATTATGTAGATTCATTTTCTTAGCGTGTTACATATATGATATATACTTGGTGATCATATATATATATATATATATATTTAAAAAAATATATTTATTGATTAGAATTATAGTGTATGCAATACATTAAATATTTAAATCTATTATATATGGTTGAATGTTATTAACGTAATTCAATTTGGAATTTCATACACATATATATGGTTTATGATGTTTAATCTATAAATAATAGTATCTAATGTAAATTACAAATACTAATACGATTGATTTCGATAATATTATATATATATATATTCATAATTTAATTAAATATAGATTTTGAAATCACTTTTTATTCTATTTGAACTTGATTTTAATTAAGAAAATAAAAATAATGAATCAGTTTAAATATGTTCAATTTTTTGAATAGACACGAAAACCAAAAATTACTAAAAATGCCTCAGATCTACTTTTTGCAAACCAAAACCCTTCATTTTTACCAGAAATAACTACCGCCTCCTTCTCTTCTCCTCCCCTGACCGGATTCCGCCATGGCTCCTGCCTCTAATCTCGCCGGAAACTCCTCTTCTCAGCTCCTTTGAAGCTCGCTGATGTCCCTGTAACCATAATTCCATTGCTCCTCAAAGATCTCACCAAAATTCTAGCTCTAAGCTATGCTCTGGTCTGTTCCCACACCAAAAATCTTACATCTTAAAGAAATGGCCCTCCCAAGCTTCTGCATTTCACCTTTGACCATGTCGACCCTTTCCTTTGTCCAAGACCGAAGACCTCTCCCTTTTTAGGGAAGCAAGACGTTGCTGTTTCCACCTTCACTTCTAGCATTGTGCTAAGCTCCTAGTTCCTTCTTTCCAGCTTTCTCTGTGACAGTTCCCAAGCTCCTTTTCTCTCAGACACGAAAACCAAAAACTGAATGAAAAAGTAACACCCAAAACAGTAATAACAAGAGAGACCAAGATGGAATTATCATTATATGAAACTATATCGAAGTGAAAAATCTATACCGAAAGTTCTCCGCCAAGACTGAAGATCCTCACCAAACAAGATTGAAGACCTCTCCCTTTTGGGAAGCACTTTTATGAAGCTTAAAGATTGCAACAACAATCCCAGATGCAGGATTTCCGACGGCTCCTTTGGACGCCTAGAGTTCTACGGCGGCGCTCATCGGCAGCGCTCTCTGTTATTTCTCCGTCGTATCGGTTTTCGATCTTGTCGGATCCGTTTTTTCCTCCTCCTCATTTTCGATTCTTGGCTCCATGACAGTCTTGAACAGACAACCCAGTGATATCTGTGTTGCACCTCCTTACTTTCAAGATCTGGATCCGATTTCTGATAGATCCGATCTGCGAAACCCATGTTTCTTCAGATTTTGTTGTCTCTTCGCTTCTCCTCTCAGATCTGGCCTCCCTCTCATGCTTCTCACTGTGTGCTCATCTCAGGACTAAGCCGCGAACTTTGAAAAACTAAACCTCCTTCCGCTTAAAGCGAGTTTCTCTAAGACATCTTCATATAACACAAGTTTTTTCAGAAGATTTCTAGCCTAGTGCTAAATTTATTGCCGATTTAGAGATTCAAAGATCTATCATTCGGGAACCAACAAAATATGAATGTGATTGGATGGAATTGTCACGGAGCCGGTTCTGATCTGATAAAAGATCATTTAGAAGAACTTCACAAATGTTTCCAACCAAAGTTTCTATTTTTGTCGGAGACAAAAAATAATCGTTACTTTCTGCAAAACATGCAAGTTTACTTTGGATATGACCATGTTCTTACGGTTGAGCCGAGAGGCCAAAGTGGAGGATTAACACTTTTTTATATGGATGAACCTTTGGTTTCTATTCTATATTCGGATAAGCATTTGATAGATGTAAAAACCACTCTAGACGGACACAAAATCTTTATGACGTTCGTCTACGGAGATCCGGTTGTAAAAAACCGAGAGATTGTATGGGAACGTCTCACCCGGATGAACCTTACTAGAAAAGATGCATAGTTTATGATAGGAGATTTTAATGACATTACGGGTAACCACGAAAAACGGGGAGGGCGAAGAAGATCTGAGTATTCTTTTATCCCATTTCGAACCATGTTGGACAATTGTGGCATGCTAGAGTTTCCGTATAAAGGAAACTCATTCTCATGGGTTAGAAAAAGGCGTTCCGGTAAAGTTAAGTGTCGGCTTGATAGAGATCTGGGTAATGAAGAATGTCAATCAAGATTTCCCCACACCTCTGTGGAGTATCTGAAATTATGGGGTTCAGACCACCGTCCGCTTCTAGTTATGATACGAGTGGATAACCAACGAAGGAAAAAATCGTTTAGGTTTGATAAAAGATGGGTTGGAAAGCCGGGCTTCAAAGATGCAATCATTTCTGGATGGGGCCCTTTTGATGGTTCTCACTTCGAGATTTCCACCAAAAAGTAGCAAACTGTCGTAAAAGCATCTCCATTTGGAAAAAATCTCTTCCAACTAATTCCGAGAAGATGATTGAGGAATTAAAGAATCAACTAGATGTAGCGCAAGACAATGAGAACACCACTACAGAAGAAATAGAAGAGATCAGGAGAAAACTCTGTGCAGCACTTCGAGAGGAAGAAATCTATTGGCAACAAAAGAGTCGGGAGCGGTGGCACAAGGATGGGGATAAGAATACCAAATTTTTCCATGCTCTAACCAAACAAAGGAGAAGTCGGAACCGCATTATCTCCTTAAAAGATAATAATAGAAATTTGGTGGAGAATGCGAAAGGTATTGAACGGGCGGCGTCCAAATACTTCCAAGACCTTTTCACTTTGTCACAGCCTATAGATCCAGAAAATGCACTCCGGTATATTACCGAGAAAGTCACAAATACCTTTAATCAGCTTCTGCTTATGGATCCTTCAGAATCAGAGATTAAGGAAGCCCTATTCGATATCAACTCAGACAAAGCTCCCGGACCCGATGGGATGACAAGCAAATTTTACCAAAAATTCTGGCTTGACTTTCGCCACGATATAGTTAAACTGGTCAGAGATTTCTTCGCTTCGGGATCCTTCGATCCTAGACTTAATCAAACTAACATATGTCTTATCCCTAAAAAAGAAAAGCCCAGCGCGATGACGAATTTCGTCCGATTAGCCTGTGCAACGTAAGCTATAAAATTATATCTAAGCTTTTATGTAAGAGACTAAAGAAGACTTTGCCAAATTTAATTTCAGAACTCAATCGGCCTTCATGGGTAGACGTCTTATTACAGACAACATTCTGCTGGCACAAGAAAACTTTCACGCTCTCCGTACCAACTCCGTTTGTCGAGAAAACTTCATGGCCATCAAGACAGACATGAGCAAAGCTTATGACCGGGTAGAATGGAGTTTCCTTGAAGCCCTTATGATCAAGCTAGGATTTTCAGAGAGATGGGTCAGACTCCTAAAGTTCTGTATCTCCTCGGTCTCATATCAAATCCTTATAAATGGAGAATCGAAAGGAAAGATCATCCCATCCAGAGGATTACGCCAAGGAGATCCCCTATCTCCTTTCCTATTTATCCTTTGTACTGAGGCTCTCATCTCGCTACTAAAAGGTGCATAGGAGGAAAATCACATTTATGGGCTGAAAGTAGCACAAGCAAGTCCACCGGTTTCACATATTCTCTTTGTTGATGATAGCCTCTTCTTCTGTAGAGCGGAAATTCAGCAGGGAGCCGAGATTTTCAGGATTATTGATACATATGGAGGGGCCTCGGGACAACAACTTAATTTGGGAAAATCCTCCATTATGTTCGGAAATAGAGTGGATCCGCTTTTAAAGCAAGGCATCAAAAATGCTATAGGAATATCATCAGAGGGCGGCATGGGGATGTACCTCGGCCTCCCAAAGCAGATCTGTGGATCAAAGAATAAAGTCTTCTCCTATGTTCATGACCGTCTGAGCAATCAGGTCAATAATTGGTCTGCAAGACTTCTTTCTAAAGGTGGAAAAGAAATTCAAATCGAATCCGTTGCACAAGCCGTCCCTACGTACGTCATGTCATGTTTTCTATTGCCCCAAGGAGTGACAGACAAATTGCGGAGTGCCATTGCCAATTTCTGGTGGAGCTCAAAACAGAATAGTAGCGGAATACACTGGATTGCTTGGGATAAGATATGTGCCCCTCAGGATATGGGAGGCCTCGGATTCCGAGACTTACAAGACTTTAACCTAGCCCTTCTAGCAAAACAGCTATGGCGCCTTATCCAATACCTCTCATCACTCTTGGCACGGGTCTTAAGAGGCAGATATTTTAACCGGTCCGATCCCTGGAAGACCGGAACGTTTACTCACCATCCTATGGGTGGAGGAGTATAATGGCCGCAAAACTGTTTTTGAGGATGGGACTGAGGAAGACAATTGGATCGGGCCTAAATACGAGAGTGTGGAGCGAACCGTGGATTCCTGACCTTAGAGCTCGGCCGCCTAGACCGGCCCCGCATATCGGATTCCAAGAGCCGGGAATCCTGGTATACTCTTTCATCCGCCGAGACACCAAACAGTGGGATGTTCCCTTGCTTAGAGAATTTTTCCATCCTGAGGATATTCCCCTTATCCTCGGGCTGAGACCTAGCCAAACACGGACCTTGGATGAAAATGCCTGGAATCATTCCAAATTGGGACTGTACTCAGTCAAGTCGGGATATGATCTAATTAGGAGAACGAAGATTGAACGAGAAGCTGGAGCGTTTAGGGAACCAAGCATCACAGCCTTACAACGACATGTTTGGAGAGTTCGTTCACCTGGGAAGATGAAACACTTTATGTGGCAATCTTTATCTGGGTGCGTGGCGACATGCCAGAACCTCACACACCGACATTTGGGTTCCGACAGACGCTGTCCCCGCTGTGGGGATCCCGAGGAAACCATAAACCATCTACTGTTCTTATGTCTCCCGACATTACAAGTCTGGGCGTTATCAGACTTTTCGTCCCTTCCGGGTGTTTTCCCGAGTACTTCTATTTATCAAAATATGAGCTTCCTCTTTTGAAAAACAAAAGAGCTAGGCATGACGGATCCTATAATGGATATTTATCCTTGGATCCTATGGTTTATTTGGAAAGCAAGGAACGAGAAGATCTTCAAAGGGAAAAAAATTTTCCCGGAGGATACATGGATACATGCAAAACTGGAAGCAGAAAGTTGGAGAGTTGCAAACCAACCTGAGGACAGAGACGACGCTCAAGTTGAGGAAGTAGGCCTTCCACCGGACACCATTGCGATACCCGAGGTACCGCAAATCCCAATATGCCGGATTGACGCCTCGTGGATCAATCACGGACAGGTTAGCGGCCTCGGTTGGAGCTTTGTGGATGGCGGAGGATTTGAACTTTTTGGACTTTAGGGATGCCGTATAAGCCTCTCGGCCCTCCATGCCGAGATGGATTGCCTCCTCTGGGCTATGTCTTGCTTGAGAGAGAGACGGATCTTTTCGGTCCACTTTCAATCCGATTGTTTGGATCTGGTGCGTATGACTGAGGTTCCAGCTGACTGGTCGTCCTTTAATGCAGAGCTAGATACCTTTCGTTTCCTTCAAGATAGCTTCTTAGAGTGCACTTGATAGAATCATGGCCGAGATGGGAGCTAAGTACGAGGAACAAATCGAGGTTCAGCCCGGAACGCAAGATCAAATGGCCGAGGTGACCGAGCTGAGCGAAGTCGAGGTTCAGGGAAGGGTACAAGACCAAGATACCGACCAGCCCGATGTCCTGGCCATACCAGTTGGACCCATGACCAGGTCGCGTACAAAGAAGCTTATGGGGGCCATCCAACAAGTCTTTACTGAGCTAAGGAACCAAGGCCGAGCTGACGACCCAACACCCGTGAACAAAGTCATGACCGTTCTCAGGTACTCTGGTCCGAACTAACCTGGTTGGGGTGTTGTGTTAATACTCTTTTTCCTTACATTCGGTTTTGTCCCACTGGGTTTTCCGAATGGGGTTTTAACGAGGTTAATGCACGCCCATTTCACGACCATGGTTCGATTCGCGGCCAAGTATAACGGTCAAGGAAGCTTAAAGGTCTAGCGAGAGGACGCGAAGGGTCATCCGGAAATCCAATCGATATTCAACGCATCTAGTCTCGTTTAGTTTTCATTAATGTCTTTTAATTTCCGTTAAGATCTATGGTCTTCCTTTTAGCCTCTATATAAAGGCGACAATGTACTTGGATCTATGATCACTTATCTTTTTAATAAAATTTCTCTTTGAGTTTTCTCTTTTGTTCTTTATGAACTTTGTCGATATTTTGGTGGTTAGCCATTGATCGATCTTCGGTTTATCAAGTAGTTTCACCCTGCTTGACGCAGCCTTCGAATCCAAAGTGTGAGAGAGAGTTGTAGTCGTATTAGGGGCTTAGGGAATTTCGGGACTTGTCTCACACCCTAACATCCGATATCGCAACCCCCTTGATCGTTTTGTCCATCCCCTCGTTTCCAACCTCTTCTTTGAATTTGGGCCTAAGGATTTTCGAGCCACAACTCACGCCTTAGCATCTCTTTCACCGAATCGGACTGGATCCAAGGATCTATCAACCTCCACCGAACCAAGTGTGTGACAATCCTAGGACGGTCTTCTATCAGCACTTTATCTCATATTCCAAGGGATCTAAATGTCCAGGCGGATAGTCTTGCGAAAGGAGCTCGAGCAAGAGGCGTTATCTTTTCCCAATTCGATCATAACGAGCTTGCCGATGGTGGTCCATGGATCACTAATACGACGGGCCAAATGTGATTGTACTAGATGGATAATGGAAAAAAAAAATGTTCAATTTTTTTAATCATTTATTTTGGTTAAGGTTTGCTGATTATTTATACACAACCTATGAGGCAATATAAAAACTACGTGAACTTAAGAAAAATTTGAAATTACTACATGAATCAAAGAAATATGGTCGATTCTATAAAATTCACAGATAACATTAGTTTCAAAGTCAGTTGTTGTTGACTAAGATGATGCAGAGTGGATCAGAACAACGATGTTTTGATAAATTAAGTTTGAAATCCCTAATTAGACGTCGTCATTTTGATTTGTTATAAATTTTTTTATCTAAGTTTTTTTGGCATGTTTGTCACTTATTAATTGCAGAGGATCGAGTGTCATAAATAAGCTTTACCGCAAAAGGAAACAAGGGTTTCATATAATCTGAACAGCTTTGGGGTTTGACATCATCCAATATTTCAATCTGAATAGCAATAGTCTATAGTTAGGAATTAGGATCGAAGAGCAAAAGAGTATCAATCAAATTTAGAAAAAATGGGACTAATTTTGATACTATTAAAATAGTAAATAAAAAGAAAAGAAAAACTAAACTTGGGGGCGAAGGAGGGAGGGGGACTTTTATTGTGGTTCTCTTTTCATAATTAAAAACAAAAAAAAAGAAGAAATTTTCTCTTCGATCCCACTTATCTATCATCTTCCTCGACGAGCCAGCCCTGAAATCGATCAGCAGCGGGATCTCCATTTATGTAATGCATCAGAAGAAATCGGAAGCTCAGATCGGAAAAGAAAGCAGCGGCGTCTCTTCCGATTTCAACCCTTCTCCCCCTCTTCTTTTCTTCCCTCAGATCGTCTCTCACCATCATCATCATCACCACCACCGCGATCTCTCTTCCTCGGTCGCCCCTTACAAGCGCCCTCTCCTTACTCACCGGTTCTCTCCTACTCTCTCCCCTTCTTCCTCTTCGCCATCCTCTTCTCATTTTCTCTTGCTCAAATCCTCTCTCTCCCGCTCTCTCCGCCGCTTCCCTCTCTTTTGCTTTCTCCTCCCTCTATCTTACTTCCTCCTCTCCCACCCAACTCGATCCGTCCTCGTCGATTTCCTCTCCGCCTTTGTTTTCTCCGCCGCCCTTCTCTTCTCCCTGAATCTCGCCCTCCCTCGCCTCCCTTCCATCCGCCTGTTCCTCACGCGCTCCTTCACCTCCCCGTCTAGGACCCCTTTGCCCGTTTTCTGGTCCATCGGCTCTCGTGCTAAATCTGACAAGAGGGGAAGCTCCGGGTGTTGGGTCCAGGTCTTCAGCAACGGAGACGTCTACGAGGGAGAGTTTCACAAGGGCAAGTGCTCTGGTAGCGGCGTCTATTACTATTACATGAGCGGCAGGTATGAAGGTGACTGGGTTGACGGCAAGTACGATGGTTTTGGTGTTGAGACCTGGGCCAGAGGCAGCCGTTTCAGGGGCCAGTACAGGCAGGGTCTTCGCCACGGTTATGGGGTTTACAGATTCTACACCGGAGACATGTTCTCCGGCGAGTGGTCCAGCGGTCAGAGTCACGGTTGCGGAGTTCACACATGCGAGGACGGAAGTCGCTATGTTGGGGAATTCAAGTGGGGCGTCAAGCATGGTCTTGGTCATTACCATTTCAGGTAACTTCTTCCTCCTCGGAATAGAGAAACAATTTATGCTTTGTTTCAAGGACATCATCAAATTGTTTGCCCTAGCTCTATCTAAGAAGCCATTCTTTTGTCGTCAAACTTGCTCGGACTTTGATCTTATCTTCGAGTCACTGCTATCTAGGTTATTGAGTTGTATCCCCCTGATTATTATCAGGTTGTACTTATTGATTGTGTGTCCTGGTGGTGGTTTCCCTTTTGTTTACAATGTCATTCATTATAACTTTGTTGCAAGTTATAATCATGAAAATGAATTAGATATTAGAGTATATATCTGATTCCATGTTGCTTGTTTAACTAGGAACGGGGACGTATACGCAGGAGAATACTTTGCTGACAAGATGCATGGATTCGGGGTCTATGGTTTTGCAAATGGTCACCGTTATGAGGGAGCTTGGCATGAAGGTAGGCGGCAAGGGCTGGGAATGTATACATTCAGAAATGGAGAGACACAGTCGGGCCATTGGCAAAATGGGATCCTCGACATTCCAAGCACACAAAATACAACCTGTCCTGTATCTCCTGTTGCAGTCAACCATTCCAAAGTGCTAAATGCAGTCCAGGTTTGTCTCTGGATATTATAATAAAAAGACCAAGTCTTTTGCTTCTTGCAAATACATTTGTATTGAACAAAAAAAAACCATTTGTATTCACAGGAGGCACGGAGAGCAGCCGAGAAGGCTTATGATGTAGACAAGGTTGATGAGAGAGTTAACAGAGCGGTTACAGCCGCCAATAGGGCAGCCAATGCTGCAAGAGTGGTGGCCGTCAAAGCTGCCCAGAAACAATCTAAAAACACAGACAACTTTCCGATTGCTGTCGTGTGAGCCAATTCTACTACATGAGCCAAGGAAGAAGCAGCCGTCAAGTTGACAATTATCAGCTCAGAAAGTGTATTCTTTCGGGGGGTGGGGTGGGGGGGGGAGAGAGAAGCAATCCAAAACCATGTATTGGTCGGTGGGTTTGTATAAAAGAGATGAATATGATGCAAATGGCGAGCAGCTACTCACACTCAAAATCGTTTGACGAGGTTTTCTACCAGAGATGATCAAAACTGTCCATCTTTGGGATATATTCCATGCAGCAGGAAGCATGACTCTATCTGGCCATTTATCACTATTAGATCATCAACCAATTACGAGTTAGTGAAGTTTTGGAAATCTATTGTATGTTGTATATTGTGGGAGTATAAAATAGTGTAAGAAGAGCTGGTATAATGTAGTTTTCTGGGACTTCTTGTATCAAGACAATTTGCTTACACTGGAGGCTGCAGATGTCATCATTGCTCTCTAGGCCGAGAGTTGGCCTGTTGGTGGTAAGGCAGGTAATAGTGTTTGACATGCCTAATACCATCAAGGAGTACATACATGTAATTGGCAGGGCCTCTAGGATGGGGGAGCAGGGCAGTGCCATTTTGTTTGTGAATGAGGACAGCAGAAATCTATTCCCTGATTTGGTTGCAGCTTTAAAAAGTTGTGGAGCAGCCATACCTAAGGAACTTATCAATTTTACATCCAGGAAATGCACAACAAGAAGAGGAGGGTTGGATACTGAATTGTATGACCTCGATCCGAATGTATGTTGTAGTATTTCAAAGAAAGAAATGAAGTCACCAAAAAAACTTCTAGACCAATAAACTGCAGTGGAACGACTCAAAAAAATGGACCAGAATTGAATTACTCACATTTTGGATCAGCATCTTCTATTATGAAACTCAACACATTTATATTGTGCTGTCTACAAAAAATAGCCTACTCTAGTTTAAAACTACTCGTAAAGTTCATAAGAATAGGAACTAAAAGCAAAGCTAGAGGGAGTTATTTTTACAGTTTTAAGAATGACTTCAGATCTTCACACAAGCGGCTTTAACCCGCAAGTTCATGAAAAGCAAAATGGGTCAAAACTCCAAAAAGCCTAATCTCTGTGTTTACGTATAATTTTGTCTTGTATCTCACATACCTATAACCATCTGGAATCAGAATTTTAGGTTTCAACAGAGGTCAATAGAAGTCATGTTGCTGGTTGCCGGAACAAGTTCCACTGTCATGATCTGCCCCAAGATTGCACCGTCCTCATGTGATTTTAAACCGATCGTGATGCAAGAGACATACCTCTCACCATCAAGATTGGACCGGATAGAATCACCATATTCCCAACAAGAATGGCCATTACAGGCTTGTGATAGATGCGATCAGACAAACCATCAAGGCCTTTCACAAATTTCCAAGTTGCTTTCTTTCGATCATACACGACAATTGTCGCCCCATAGTACAACTCAAGTGTGTACATCACACCATCAATGACGCATGATGCCCCTTGCCACAGAGATAAGCTGCTTAGATCATGGCCACCCTCAGACATTAACTAACAGACATTAACTAACAGCCTTTAACGGGGTCAAATACGGAACATATTTCAAAAGTAATTTCATGATAAGCTGGAAAAACAAATTCTGCATGAAAAGACAACATATCTAAAAAAACTTAACTAAAACTTGATATACAGCCCAGACGATGATAATCAGTAAGCAATCAAACAAACAATATTAAGATGCATAGATACAACAATATCCAAATATTTTTCTTAATCACCTTCTGATCTGGTCAAATACGCAACATAAAAGTAATTTCATGATAAGCTGGAAAAACAAAATCTGCATGAAAAGGCAACATATCTCAAAAACTTAACTAAAATTTGATATACAGCCCATGCGATGATAACCGGTAAGCAATCAAACAAACCTGTTGCCGTGCTATCAAAAACATATTAAGATGCATAGATACAATAATATCCAAATATTTTTCTTAATCACCTTCAGATTTTAGATTCTCTTCAATTTTTTTGGTCCAGATCAATTCTTAAGAAACTTCATTTATTTAGAAAACAACAAAAACATATTAAGATGCATAGAAGAAAAACAAGAATAAATATATTCTACATAAATTTGAAAACTAGACTACACAGGTTCGGATTTCTATTTGTCTTTGATTATCTATGCAAATCAGAGTTACCCATGATGTGTATAAAGTTTTTTAAAATTAATTGATAAAAAAGAATAAAGTTGCAAATAACTTTCAAAACTTGTTTAATTAATATTAATCTAGTGTTAGGGTTAGAGCGTAGGGTTAAGACTTATAGCTTAGGGTTAAGGCTAAAAACTTAAGGTATGGAATATGGTTAAGTTAGTTTATATTAATTTAAAGCTAGATTATGGTTAAGAGTTTAGGATTAAGATGCCAAATATCATTCATAAAATATATAAATTTAAGGATTTAGGGTTTAAGGTTAAGGCTTAGGGTTTAGAGTTAGGGCGTAGGGCTTAAGGTATTGATTGTGGTTACGTTAGTTTATACTAATTTGGAGATAGAATGTAATGAGGTACTGTATAGAGAGATGAGGATTGTTTTCTTAATTTATTGTATTTATTAAAATTATTAATTTTTTATAAGGATTAATTCATTAAGTTCGAGATATTTTTAAATATGTTAGTTAGCTTGTCCTAATACATAATACATTCTACATAAATTTGGGAACTTGTAGGCAGAGGTTTGGATTCCTATTTGTCTTTGATAATCCATGTAAATCAGGATTAATCATGATGATTCTAGAGTTTAAAAAAGAAAATAATTGATAAAAAATAATTGCTTTAAAAAATAACATTTGAAACTAGTTTAGTTAATATAAAACTAGTGTTAGAATGATGTTAGGTCTTTTAGAAATAAAATGAGGAGAATTAGTTTTTATTTAGTTATAAAATTGAATTTTTATAGGGGTTAGTTCACTGATTTTGAGGTATTTTTGAAAAATTTAGTTATCATGATTTATTACATAAATACATCCTATATGGATAAAGAAACCAGAATGCAAAGGTTTAAGTTTCTTCTTTTCCTCAATTATTCAAAAAATTGAGATCTCATCAAAGTTATCCAAGTAATTAATGATGAATATACAGTTCTTTAAAATTATTGGTTAAAAAGTATTAACAAACCTAATAACATTCAAAATAAGTTTAGTTATACAAAGTTTAGTGTTTAGGGAAAAGATTTAAGGTTTAAGGTATAGAATATATTTAAATTAGTTAGTATTGGCGGTTTAGGGTTTAGGGCTTAGGGTTTAGGGTTTAGGGTTTAGGGTTTAGGGTTTAGGGTTTAGGGTTTAGGGTTTAGGGTTTAGGGTTTAGGGTTTAGGGTTTAGGGTTTAGGGTTTAGGGTTTAGGGTTTAGGGTTTAGGGTTTAGGGTTTAGGGTTTAGGGTTTAGGGTTTAGGGTTTAGGGTTTAGGGTTTAGGGTTTAGGGTTTAGGGTTTAGGGTTTAGGGTTTAGGGTTTAGGGTTCAGGGTTTAGGAATGTGGTTAGTTTTTATTAATCTAGAGGTAGAATGTAATGAGGTACTTTAAAAATAGAGCGACGAGAATCATTTTCTTTATGGTCTAAGGGTTTTAAAAATTTTAATATGGTTTAACGTTTTAAATCTCTAATTTCGGGTTACTTTTTAATATTTTACATACCTGGTTCTAAGGCTTAGGGTCTAGGGTTTAGGGTTTAGGGTTTAGGGTTTAGGGTTTAGGGTTTAGGGTTTAGGGTTTAGGGTCTAGGGTTTAGGGTTTAGGGTTTAGGGTTTAGGGTTTAGGGTTTAGGGTTTAGGAGTT